GCAGAAATAAATCGTCGACACTGATGGACAATTTATTCCCTTGCTTTGGTAAGTGATAAACACGAATTTTCCTTTCCTATTGACTCCTGTGCTTTCCCATTCACGGGAAATGGGGAAGGGATCAGTTGAACACGACAAGCTTTTAAATTGGACTATCCTGTTGGTAGCATAGAATAATTATGTTAGCGCCCAAGCGTATGTCATATGGCCGTGCAAACTATCGGCAGTAATTCAGAAGACCACTTCAGGAGTGCGGAGAGGACGTCCCTCACGCCATGCTCGCACTCGCGGCCGCCAGGGCCTCTGGCTCGGGCCTTGGAGGGGCCTGCACTCTCCCTGAATCGCCCAGGCGGCTTCTTGGTTGCCAGGGAAACGGGGCTTAGCATCACTAATCCCCGTGCGTGCAGCCGGCGAGCGGCCTCTCGCTACTACGTCTCTTGTGGATGCGACGCGTGACCAGGCCTCCCGCGCTCCGCAGAGTCGGGCCGCCTCGGGGAAAGAGCGTCCCCGCAGGTCGCCTTTGGCAGCACCCATAGGAACGAGAGGGCTTCTGCGGCGTGTGTGCTGCGGCCGAGGAAGCCGAGGCAGGAGCCGCCACCGCCGCGCCGCATTCCCTCGCTCCCGCGCGGGGCCCTGGCGGGGCGGTCCGTGGGGAGGAGGGGCGCGTCTGGGCCCGGCCGCCGCGGCAGGGGGCGCTGCGAAGAGGGGGAGGATGGGCAGCCACCTGGAGGAGAGGCTGAGAGAGGCGGCTGCGCTCGGCGACCTCGCGGAGGTGCAGACGCTGCTCCGCCGGGGGGTGGAGGTGAATGCCCAGAATGAAATCAATGGCTGGTAAGAAGAGTCCCCCTCCTCTCCTCTCCTCTCCTCTCCTGTCCTCCGCAGTTGCTTCCTTGCCGCGTCCCTTCCCGCTGCAGCAACCATTCCACTCCTCAGGCCCTTGCACAAGATATTTATGGCGGAACAACAAAACACGTTCCACCTCAATGCAGCTCCAGTGTGTCTCCGCATAAGTTCATCTCCCCAGTGCTCCTCTTTCTGCCCCCTCCGCCGCCTAGATGCGCTTCATAAAAGGAGTTACGTTCCCACCAGTATCTGATGGGCCTAATACCGACCAGCTTCTGGTGATGGATTGCCTGGTTATAAAATTCCAAAGCTTTAGTTCTCGAAATACCTGGAAAATAACTCTCAGGCTGAGCAAACACACCTGTAACCCATCACAATCATTCCTAATGACAAGTAACATTTATCAAGTGTTTTCTGTTTTGGGGAAGAGTGCTTAAGCCACCCAAGGAGGATCAACCACATTATTTTTGCTAATAATTAAGGTATTTTATAACAGGTCACCTACAACTGAGTACTGTGCAGAAGGAGATAAATGTTGGTGTAGCTGAGCAGCAGTAGTGCTAGAAGATCCAGGGCTCAGACCCACAGGACAAAATAATGAATTAAATTAAAAATGCACGTATTTGCCTATTCTAATTTACATATGCTCTGAAGTCTGTTCTCCATGTCTCTTTAAAAAAAAAACCTAGTTCATAACAGTACCCCGGTTTGTATGGACAGGGGAAAGGAGGGGATTTGATTTTAGGAAAAATCACTTGGGCAGAAAGATTCAAAGGAGGGCGTGCAGCAGAAAGTGAAGCACATGTGAGCAACAAGCCCGCTAAACTGAGGGGATCAGATGCAACAGAGATCATCCTCATCAGAGATCAACATCATTATGAGCAGTCCGTTGCATATTCCAACTGGTGTCTGTAGGTACTGTGGCCCAATGTGAGCTTAGGAATCAACAACAAGCGGTAGTGTGTTGTCCAAACACAGTTTCTAGTTTAAGAAGTGAATCATCTTGTGGTTATGACTGGAGTACATGTACATAACCAGGAGATCAAAGGTTACTTGAAGAAAGGTGTGATAAACAAGAGGTGTGAAGGGCTGATCTGGATTCATCTAAGGACCTTTGAGCAAAAGAATTCAGTAACCAATCCCATCCTGTATCATGTTTGAATGTAAATCTAAGAAGTAGAAGATAATGCCCAAGGTCACCTCTGCTAGCAGAACACAGTAACAGCTGTTAATGTGCATTATTGTAAGCTTGTGTCTTCATTTTCCTGTTCTAAAAGTTCGTGAACTAGTACCATGATCCCTTAGTTTATCTAATATTGTCTAAATATATTTCAGTTTTGCTAACAAATGTTTTAAAATAGAATATAATCATATGAAACCTAATTATATAACTTCACTGTTTCTGTGAAATTCAACGTGAACCAATTGGGCAGGGTTTGAGGAAACACTGTAGCGGGGATACTATTACTTAACTCTAAAGAACCCAAGTACATCTGGGCCCACAGTGTGTCCATCCAGCACACCCTTTCCTCACACCCAGGCTCTTTAGCCTCTATCCCTCTCAACTATCAGCCAAGCAAACTCTGGGAATTACTGAAGAATGTACCTATGTGTACTCCTCAGCTTGTCTTAGTGAAAATTGACTTCGTACTTGTGGGTACAATTTAAACTGGAGGAATGGTGTGTGTGGATGACTCTCCCAGCTGCCTCCTTGTACACCATGCTTCTGCAGCCTGCTAAGCTGCTATTTCACAGTTTGGGGGAGTGCAGTTGTGATGGGGAAAGTGCTGTGCAGTGAGTCACTCCAGTGAATGGCCTTCCTTATCACAACAGCCCTTCCAGGTGTTTAGTGGGCTGGAGGGGCACAGTTACTGTGGAGAGAAGGGTATGTGGGGATGACCCTCCCTATGTGTTCTTTTCCTTATGTAAATTGTACTCTCATAGCCTGCCAAGCACTAATCAGCCAGCCTGGGGAGGGGTGAATACAATTTTATCAGTGGAAAAAGTATTTTGGCAACAGGAAGGTACCTGTAGAGCATGGTAGTGGTATTTGCAGGCTACCCACATGTGCTCCAGAGCTGCTAAATAACCTATATGTTTCTTTTACCTAGGACATGTTTGCATTGGGCTTGCAAACGAAACCATACTCAGGTGGTTGCTTACTTGCTGGATTCTGGAGTTGATAAAGAGATTTTAACCGTTAATGGAGAGCTAGCAGCAGATTTAACTTCAAAGAAAGAAATCAAAAGTATTTTGGGAGGTATACTTGACATTTTGTATTTTTTTTATATACTATGGATTTTACTATAATGCATTAGATGGGCAAAATCTTCCTTACATAGTAGAATCTATACTATCAGCACATCAGAAATTTCAAATGAAGAGTATAATAGAAGTGTAAGATACAGGTTAGGAATCTAAGCTTACTTGGGCTTTATGCTTTATATTAGTGGTGCTTATTACTTTTAACAACTTACGACTATGTCACTTGGATTCATTTGTTTTATAACGGTTTTTATACATTCTGTGCTCATTTCATTGCTTCAATGCAAGAAAATATCTCTCATGGCTCTTTTTGCCTAATACCATATGATTTAGGCAGAGTTTATATAGATCATAAGGGATTCCTTTTCTCCAAGGCAGGAGGTTATTTCTATTTCTGACTCCCTCTGAAAGGTTATTGCAGCTCTGTGTTTCCAGATTGCTTAACTTCTGGGAACCTGTTCCCAAAGGTGGATGTACTATTAGGCACGCAGAATAAGGCAGCTACATCAGACTGATTTTGGAAGCTGTAAACGGACAGCAAATTGTTTGTTTTGTGTATGTTTTCTGTCAGGGGGTGGGAGACATGCTTGCTTGCTTTTCTGCTTGAGTTGCTGCCTACTTTGGGTACTATGCACCTTGACTTGTTGGGGGGCATACCATTTACTGCTTTGCCCCAGTCTTGAACTAGCCCTTTCTTTTCCATTTCCATTAGTCTGCTGAAGCTTCTCATTAGATTTAGAAACCCAATATGATACAGATATATATTCTAGAGAGGACTCCAATTCTCCTGGGGGCCAGCAACAGTTACAGGGCTTGGTTATCACCATATCTAAAATGAGAATGACCTGGTTCACATATGACAGTGACAAATTGTGTGCTAATAAAAACATGATTTGCTACTGTGTGTGCCAATGCAACTTCAGATCAACCTGATAAGAGGTGGTCCCATGAGGTGTGAACCCTACCACAATAGTTTGTTGTTATTTATTTCATTTCTGTGCCACCCAATATCTGCCTCTTTCTGGGTAGTTTAATTGCTTTCAGTTTACTTCATAAAGAAAAGTGGCTCCCACCATGTCCCCAAACTGGCCAATAAGCTATACCAGTCCTGGCATAGAGTAATTCAAAGAGAAGGAGTCAGTTAATAGAAAGAAAAATCCAGCTAGGGAAAGGTGAAAAAAAGAATGAACTCATACTTCTCCCTCACTTCTGCCCTGCCAGTAGGAGTCCAGGAAAGCTTTAGGTTATTTGGGGGCTCTAAGTGCTATCTATGATTGTCCTGTACATTTTTCATTGGTTCTTTTTAAAGTGTTCTGCTTTTCTTTTTTAAACGATGTTCGTATATAATAGTTCGACAAATATGTTTGTCAGATATTAGTATTAGCTTATGGGTTCCAGAAGGCTATGAGAATTCTATGTGTTGTTATTTTAAGAAGGCAAAATGGTTACACTATTTTCCCCCTTCATCCTGTCCTGAAGTGCAATGTGACAACCAAGAACTGAATGATTCAAAGCTGCCATCTTCCAACTGTCTAACCAACCCACGATTCCCCTGCATCTACAATCAAGAAGGGGGCAGCATCTTTGATACCTCAGCCCCACCTAAGGACACTAACACGGTCATTTCATCCTTATGTGAGGGTGAGCCTAATCCTTGTCTAACAGCTGCTCGAGATGACAATGTCTGCACACCCACCTCCTTGCACAAAGAAACTGAATTTCATCATGAAGGGGAGCTCATTTCTCCCATCAGCACAGGAAGAGCAGAATGTGCAAGGCCTGGAGTCCAGAGCTGTCCTGTTCATCCCTCGCCTGCATATCCCAACAGAGCTCTCTTTACCTCAGCTGTCCCCGGGCAACAAGTACCTCAGCCAACAAATGGCTCCTGCATGGGCACTGGTCTGCCACTACAGCCGCTACTTCTCACAGGAGCTTTTCCATATAATATGCAAGGTATTGAAAAATGACATTTGCTATTAGAATGCTTTTATATTGCCTAGCTGGAAATTAAAGTGTGCATCACTACCTGCTGTTTCTAGTTGCTGCTTTATTTTTTTCCTCAAAGATTGTTGTTTTCAACTCGGGCCTATTTCTTTAATTGATTCTCAGTGCAGAGTCATTTTGTAAATACTTGAGGGTGAGCAGAAAGTTCTCCAAATGTTTTGGACTTAAGTTCGCAGCATTCCTGACCATTAATCATGCTGGCAGGAGTTTCTTGGAGTCCAAGTTCAAAGCATCTGGAGATCTGGTTTTTGTACACCCCAAAGTTGAGTACCACTCACTGGGGTCCAGTGTTTCTGGGGTCCACCCATCCATTTCTGCCCCCTCCAGAAGCTGGAATTCTGCACTATATAGCCCCTGTGAGACAAAGGGGAAATGGTGGTTTGTCATAGAGTAGTCAAGGAGGGAAAAAGCTTTTAAGATGGATGTTAAGCAAAAATAGTACCAGGCAAATAGCAAAAAGGCTGGCAGGTGCTCAGAGTAAACAAAGTTGGCATTCTCCTAGAGGAAATAGAATTTTCTAGTTGTGGTCCAGCCCTCACATCTACAGTGCAAACACACAGGTGTTGAAAATAGGGTATAACATTCTACCAATTGTGGCAGTGCAACATTTAAAAACATATTACTCTGCTTATGTGTTCTGTATGTGTCAAGATGTTCCACTTCTGGAAAGCTCAGAGTAGCTTCTGTATGACTCCTAAAGATGTCTTCCAGCTACTTAGCTTCAGTAGTAGAATGGCATTATGTGCTTACTGACTGTATGATATGCCACTGCAAATGGTTATCCATCTTGGAAAGCAGCCACCACAAAGTAAAGAGGTTTAGATGGGTGCTAGGACTAGCTGCTGCCCAACGAACTGAAAGCTCAGTTCGTTGGGCAGGCAGGATCTGTTGGGGTGCAAGGGGGAGATCACCTCACCAACAAGCAATGTAAGTTTTTTACAGCTGCTATGTGGATTGCCTACTGGGGAGGCACTGACTCCTCACCTCTACCACCCAAAGATCAGGGCCTGTTTCCATGGGCAGTAGCCATCTGTTTAATGCTCTGCTCTGCTTGCTTCTTCAGTCCACCCCATCCTAGATGCTTATTAATATTCTCAGGTAATTCTAATGAACTCAGGTAATTCTAATGAACTGAAGCCATTCCTCTGCTGTTTAATGTTGCTACTTTTCCTATAGTTGCATCTAGTCCAGTGCTTGTAAAATTAACTAGTGATACTTTTTTTTTTAAATGGTAGGATGTCTTGTGTTTTATTTGCTTTTAAACACATTTCTGCAAGTTATACAATTCACTTCGGTTTTATTTCATGCAGATTTGTAATTTAATAATGACTTTGCTATTGGTTCTTCAATTTTTTGTTCTTTTCCTATTTTAAAGGATTTTCCCCAACTAGTAGTATTTCATTCTTTGAGCTCTGCTAATACCACCTATACATTTGTCAGAGAATGTGTGATCATACAGGCCAACAAAGTTTATAACTACAATAGAAGAAACCAAATTGCATACTTTACTGCAGGGATCTCTGGGCAATTATCATTAAGAACTTACAATTGCAAGAAAATGACCCTAACAGTCCTAAAGTATATTTCTGAAATTATACTATCTTAGGGTAGCAAGGAATAGAGTTGTGCATGGAAGGACTGTGAACTATGTTCACGTTTGGGTTTGGGACTGCAGTGAAGAGATTGCCATTTCAGTTTCCCTAGGTTAACAATGATTTAAAACATATTTTCCTCCATATGATTTTATAGAATTGGTGCTTAAAGTAAGAGTTCAGAATCCCAGAGAGAATGACTTCATTGAAATTGAACTCGACAGACAGGAGCTGACTTATCAGGATCTGATCAGAGTGAGTTGCTGCGAACTGGGGGTTAATCCTGAACAAGTGGAGAAGGTTAGAAAGTTACCCAATACACTAGTAAGAAAGGTAAGAAGTAATTTTTTTCTATTGGTATTTGCTTATATTTTGACATTTCTGCCTTGGACTTGTTGGTGGAAGTAGATTTTCCATCCGTTTTAGAACACCAAAAAATAAATAAACCCCTGCCCCAGGCTGTTGCTTTGTATAGGCAATATGTTATCATATGTATTCAGTGTCTAGTCCATGCATACTGGAGTACACTATATTCAACTGATTTAGTCTCTAGAAAATGCCAAATTGGTTCATCTTAATTTGTTGGCCCAGCTCTAGCTCAAATTCAGAAAGCTGCACATATGTTCGTGTGTGCAAGGATAATCAATTTCATACAGACATTACTGATCAACTCCCTATTCCTGAACAGCAGCTGCTGTCACCCCTTTACTTCCGAGCAGGTAAACATTCCAAAGTTTAGACCATGTTTGTAGTTTTATTCTGATGCATGAGTGAAGTTTCACTTAAGCAACAGGGCTTCTGGCCCCCTCCTTCCCACTCCAGTACCTCACATCCACCAGAAACCATTTGGAGAGGAAAAACAGCTGGGGGTGAAACCTTGGTTGGAAATGGCAACACCCCTCTCTTAGGCAAGCAGAAGTGCCTGTCCTTGTGGTGGGGACTGTCCAGACCTTGCCTGTTCTGTACTTCATGCCGTTAACATTCTTGCCGTTTAATATTAAAAGAATTCATATTTCTAACCATACCAAACAGCTATCTCCTGAACCACTTTTTGTGAGCAAAATGAGAGAGCAAATTACCATCAGATTGAAATGCCATTTAATGCATAATTTAATTATGTATTTTAAACTCCATTGACCTTTGGGGTCATCTGAACTTGTTCTCCAATTTAAGCAAATACCTCTTTGCTCCTGCAGGAAGGGAAGCTTAAGCTGAAGAATGTATTTACTAGTTTCCTTCCAAAACTTTCAGATACCAGTTGGTGGCCAGTCTTGAACTGCATGCTGCTGGTCATGAATTAGTTAATCCATGATGAGCTGTGGTACCTGCAGGAAATAGGTTATATATTTATCTCCCTCTTGGGGTTTGTTGTATTGTGTGAACCTAGGAAATATGGTGTATGTGAGGGTTAAACAATCCTCACAGAACCCTAAAACAAACCATGGTTTATGTGAGGGCTCTTTAACCTTCAAAACCCCATGCTTATTGGATTCCCATATTCCTGGTTAGGTGGCATTGGCTAATCTAAAAGTGATCAATATGCTATGCCAAGCTTTCTTCTCTGACATGTTATTTATGTGAGTGTGTGCGCGCGCATGTGCACACATGTGCAGAAAGTTTCTGGATGGTGAAGCATTCAATAGTGGTAGGCCATGCGTTCTAGCACTGTCTACACCATAAGTAGCCCTTCAGTGTCTATGGCAAAATGTTTTTCTACTAGTCACACACAGTGATTTTAAGAGGAGATGCCAGATGTTGAATCTGGAACTTTTCAACTGTGGCATATGAAATAACAGGAAAAATTGAAAGTGCTGGCCCATGTAGTCCTATGTAAGAATATATTGGTCTCAAAATTCTACTCTGGAGAACTTGCTCATCAGTTCACAAATCAGTTTACAGAATACTGAGACATTTTCAGTAGGACATCTTTTTTAGAATGAAAAAGTGTTGACCGTAATGATTTAGCTGCCTCATAAGTTACACAATTTGAGATAAGCTTGTCTTGAGAATTCTTGTGTGCCATCCCACAGCAATGATGGCTATTAGTTAAACTTCAAATTAGCTGAATGGTAAATATGACTACTTTGTGAAAAGTAATTTAAACTAGGTAAACCATTTTTGGTGGTAGTTTGACAGGATAAATGTCCAGTAAGAGAATCCAGTAAGAGAATCACCATGCACTAGAAAAGATACATCCTAGTGCAATTTCCAGAAGAGGGGGTAACAACCCACCTCTCCATTCCTGTAGCTTGTTAGGTTGCTAATAGCAGCAACAGTATTTCTCAGGTGGCTGCCTGCATTCAGAGTAGCACTTTTGTACAGCCTGGCCCATAAAGAAAGCTGTTCTCAACAGTCAAGCCACCACTTTCTGCAGTAGCTGCAGCTTCAGTGCTGAACTCAAGGGCTGCCTGATGTAAATTCACTCAGCAGAAAGTGACGGCTGCATGCACTATGCTTACCCAAGAATGTTCATAGCTGGTAGGCCAGCTGAAGCTGGCTAAAAGCACACAAAAGGCTACTTAGGTTTCTAGTGACAATGAATTTAGGTGCACCCCAAGCTCCACCCCCACCCCCACCATCAGAACTGCATTACCATCTAGAACAGGCTGTTTACTCAGTTCCCAGAAATGGTAACTACCAATCCAGACAGCTTCCATCACAGTGGGATAGTTTTTATTTGCCCTTATTATGGCATCCTTTTTTGCCGTTAGCTCTATCCTATTTGCCTTTGGCCTCACCCACCATGTGGCAAAAATACCATCTCTCCAAAATTCTGAATTCTTCCCTAAGGCTGAAATCACTACCCAGCCTGCTCTAATAGTTAGCACATATTTGGTTGCATTAACTGAATTAGGTCATGATTTTAACTTTCTATGGCTGGCAGTGACTAAAGCTGTCTTTGAACAAATTTGTGTAGAATCTTTTGGTTCTGATCTTATGCTGTGCAAGAGAGCCTCCAGTGGGGATGCTGTGGAGGTACAGCTTACACATATGGTTGCTTTTTACGCACATTTACTGTGAGTGCCTGAAGAGGTGTAATGAGTGGCCATGAGGTATCTTACTGCCACTAAGTAGCCCACTATCTACTGTGATGATAAACCTATTCCTTGCTTAGGGACTGGCATTTCTAAACTGAGACACTTAAGGTAGTACTTTATTGTATTCCATCTAGTAATCTCAGTGCAATGTGTCACCAGATTTGTTTTCCTTCACAGATAAAACTGCTGTAAGCTACACTGATTGAATAAATAACTTTTCTTATTTGTTCAAGGATAAAGATGTTGCAAGGCTTCAGGATTTTCAAGAATTGGAACTAGTTTTAGTGAAAAGCATCAATTCTTCTTTCAGAAATGCTGCTGCAGCAATATTGATGGAAAGACCCTGCTACAACACTAAAGCAGCTAAACTGACATATTGAAGTTTAATATTTTACAGCAGTAGATTAAGTCATATAAATCCTTACATTCTTGTTAAGGTTAATAGCATATCTTTACTAGTGAATATTTTTATATATTGGTATGTTCAATTTAGATACAGCGTTTTTCTTTACATGTACACTGCAGGTAGTATTTGTTGAGGGGAGCTAGGAGACAGCTGCTGCACAGCTCAAGCACTCCCATAGTATATCAAATGAACAAGCAGGTAATAGTTCTGTGGGGGGAAATCACATCTATTTTCTCAATACATACTTGTTTCCTCAGTCATAGTCTGGCATCTAATGAATTGTTAAGCAGTGTGATCTTACTGAGACAGTGGTCCAGTTCACACACAAGAGTGGCATATTGTGGATTAATTTGCTGGGTCTGTTCTGCCATCATTTTGAATAAACAACTTCCGATCAGAGATTCCTCCATGATATGTCAATCCAGAGAGAAAGAATTGTAAGTTATCCTAACAATTAAATGCATGTTCCACAGTTATCTTTGAGCTATTTTAACTTACGGTGTCCTGCTTCAAATGTCATGGAACAATCTCCAGTTGGAGGCTTTATATTCAAAATGGGGAAATCATGGGTAATTAACCCACAGTTTGATGCCATTGCTAACAGTCTATATTCAGGATAATGTTAGTGTAGAAGTACTCGTGTTATGGTTGCTGCTTGCCTTTGTTTTTAATAGTTCTTCCAAAATAGAAGTTTGAAACATTCCCACTGTTGATTTGTTCCTCAGTAGCACTGTTTAAATGCAAATGAAAGATTATATAGCAGTGCTGTTAACTGAGTAAATCTATGCATTTAGAATACTATTTTTGCATTTTTGTACAAAAATTGTTTAAGATATATAATGCATACTTAAGAAATCGCTGTGCTTGTGTGATGCATTATTCTGTAAACTTAAGGTAACTTGTTTCCCAGAGGTTGCTTTATTTATGCATGACTAACTCATAACAGGATAGCTGCTAGTTGCTCCCTATATCCCTTTGAAGTTTTCTTTTAGGCCTGATTATTTCTTCCATATGAGTTGGAAAGGCACACTGTAATTCATGTATAGTGGAACTGTTGCTCTTTTGCTAAAGTGATTTGTCTCTAATAGCTACAGTGAGAGACTTCATACAATCTAATCTATTCCCAAACTAGATCGCATATGTAGTTTGGTTACTTTGGGCTGACTGGATTATCTGTAAAAATACTTTGACAAGGTTGTTGGTTTTCTTAATTCCTTTAGGTTCCCAGTTGGCAACAGTGCATCCTCTACAATCCATGCATCTTTCCACATAACATCTCTGGAATCTAGTATGTACATATAGCCCTGTTTCCATTGTTCTTTCACCAACACTTAGGGTGCGCTGCTTGCTTACTGCAACTGAATGTCTTTTACCACTAGCACAGAGATGCCACTGTTGCCCAAGCCTTGTGTAGTAACTTGAACATTCTAAATTTACAACACTGAAAATGCTCAAGTAACTGGAAGGGTTTTCAGAATTCAGCAGCAGATGAACTCAAAATCAGAGTCGGTACATTGCAAATCAACAGAATCCAAAACATTTAGAATGCTTTATTAGCTTTTCGGTTAAGTGTGATTTTTGAAAGGTACATTCCCACATTTTCCTTTAGCCTTTGGTACTATTCTCCCTCAGATTATCCAGTTCTGGACTGACTTTGCCAATAGATGTGGATTATATGCAACCCAGTATGAAGCTCATGGGAATGATTCTTTCTCTTAGAAACACCATCACAGAGGAATAGCTCTAATAGAACTGCTAAATTATCATTTACTACCAGGTCAAAATTTGTTATATGCATTAGTTATATATTTTACTCAAGAAAAAGTCTGAAATACCTCCTTTTGATGATGGTGGTGAGCAAAAGACAAGAATGAGCTTGAACACGTTAACTTGAAAAGAAATCTATTTAATATTAAACACTCAACGACAATCAAATGTATAACAGAAATTGATAGATACTTTATTTCCATTAGGGTATATCAAGAAGCTAGGTATAGCCTGGTTGTAAAAATGGGTTTTAGTCTTGAGTCACACAAATACTAAACATTTATTCTTTGTATTTTGAAGTTCAAGAATGAAAACTTGCAATTAAACACTGAGCAAGCCATGTGTTCAGGTTATGTTGTTTTATAATCTTAAAAGTCTTATAAGAAAAAATGGTAAAAGGACTTAAATTCTCAGTAGCTTGTTTGCTTATTAACTTCTCTGCATTCTGAGAGGTCACAACAGTCCTGAATTAAATTTTATTTTTTAAAAAAAATCTAACTGAACTTTAATTTTTTCTATGCCACTACAGCTTTCTTTCACCTCATTTTAAAGCAGATCTTCATATGAGCAGTCTTCAGGATTCTTCGCAGACTTGTCACATGGTTGTCCTATAACGTAAAATGTTGGGAAAAGAGAGTCAGATAGTAGGAACAGAGATGACTTTCATTTTCCACTCCTAAATACTGTTTGCTGCCCGCGTAACTCTTCAAAATTCTCTCAAATATTGCACCTAAAACCCCTATGTATTTGATAGTTAAGGACAAACATGATGTTACAATTCACCAACCACTGCTATTGGGAAGCTTTCACATATTCCAGCAGAACTTGCACAAGGGTCAAATGCGAGCACCACTGAAATGGAGGTTGTGCAACATCAGTACTCAAGAGGCTTGCACTCTAGGGTTGCAATCCTATGCATATTCACCACTGAAAAAGCCTCACTGAGCACAATGGAGCTTATTTCCAAATAAACATGCATAGGCCTGCACTATAACTGGTGAGCTGCTCAGGAAATATAAAATATATAAACTATTTCAAGGATATAAATGTATCAGTTGTTTTTATTAGGGTGTGTATTCCTTAAAGGAATGACCCCCCAAAATCATAGGTCAAGAATAAGTGATTTATATTTAAGATTTGGCTCCAGTTAACTAAGCAATGTGGTTCTTTCCATTTTTACATTCTTACACAAAAATGACATTTTTGCCATTTTTATAGAGATCTATTGGGTGTTTCTGACATTGGCCTTTATTTTCATTTGCCTCCCAAGTCTGGTAGCCAGTACATGTTGCTGAGTGCCATGGCTGCCTGGCAATTCTCCTACGCAGTAGGAAATTATAAACACATACCTCTTAAAGACTTGAAATGCATTGAATGTAACAAGGCGGTTATTATGTAGTATTTATTGCATTTAATACTCTTTAAAGATATCTAATTCTGGGCAGCACTGCATCCCTACACACAGTTGAAAGAAAATTCCAATCAAGTTAAAATCAGGTTAACAATTTTCACAATATGCACAAAGATTCCTTTTCACTTTTTGTAAAGAAAACACACAACAGTAAGCTTAAAGATTACAGGCAACAGCATTCAAACATGGATGTGGGTAGAGAAAGGAGTACCTGGCATGAGTACCTGCTTAGTTTGACTGAATCCTTGATTTTTAATTTGGCTTTTCATGGGCCGCTCACAACACCAACGCTGTGTGAGGTATGGTAGTCAGCTGCAATTATTCATAAACCCTACACTTCCATCAATCCAATGCTACTGGCTCTCGAGTTACAGAACAAACTGCATTAGAATGCAAGGCAAAGCAAAAAAACTAGAAACATCCTTGACAAAGAAATACTAGCAGTTTATATAAAAACAAAATAGTCCAACATGTGCCTCAAATATTAAGTATTAAAGCAAATGTTTCTGATGCACCAACACAATATGGACTTAATTACAAAATCAGTTCAAGTGTTAAAAAAGATAACAAATCCCCTAAAAATTAAAAAATAGGATAATTAACTGCTACGGTGACTATAATTACAAATATGTTCCCAAGAGGCACACTAATGGGGGTATGAATCTGCTACAAAATAGCCGATACAAAACAATGTACCTCAAAAGTTTTTGCAGGACTACACTGTGTTTTCCTTCAGAAGTTGCTTTAGTATCTCTTCTTAGTTGACTTAGCTCCATCTTCATCTGTACATACTTACGCTGCACTGTTAAACAGTAACAAAAAGCCCTAATCAAAGTTTGAAATAATGCACTTACCTCTGTCTGATCTGAGGTCATATCAGATCAGTTTTAATTGGACTGAGTGTCACCTTCAGATTTAATGTCTTCACTGGTCCCATTGACCTCATTCTTAGCATCGCCTTCCTTGCAGTCCATGCTTGTGTCTTCACTCTGTTTTTCTCGACTACTGGACTTCACACTACTTTTTTTATCATCAGATCCCCTCTTTTCTGCCATGAAAGAAGACATGGACCATGGACTTCACAGTAAACACAAATTATGGATCACATTTTTCAGGTTTGGGATACATGCCGAAACAAGCTACAGATCAAAATTGTAGCATTAATTTTCGAGTAAACTATTCCATCAGAAAGAACAAGAGCTGTAGAGCAGAACTTAGAGGGAAAGTAGATAGCATAGCACAGAGGAGAGACAGTACTGCTAAAATTACAATGGAAAAAATAGTCACTTGTTTGATAGCTTTGATCAAACCACAAGCTGCATAGATGCTAACTTCAAGCTATCTACTATAAAAAGATAAGCATAAAATATTTATAAAACCACAGATTTATCCTAGAGCATAATTTTCATAAAATTAGTTTAGCTCAAACACATATGAGAAAAGCTGGTATCCGTATCTAATTTGCTAAACAAAGCTCCTCCCACCCAATAATTTGAACAGTTAGATTGCTGGCTGAGTGGCTAACAGCTTGCATTTACTTACTTTCTACAGGTGAAGAAAAATTACTCAGTCCTTATAGTACATATCAATGTAATGTCACATACAGAACTGTCCTTCAATTTAGCTGTTCAATTCCTTACGTATTTACTGTTTGAAGTTTAAAGAAACATCAATTTTATACTGCAATCATCTGTAGTTTATATAGATTTGCATGCTTATCTTTTTGACAGTCAATAGCTCTGGTCAAAAGCTCTCCCATACTTAACTAGCTGTACAGAATCCCCCCAGTTGGTAGTAACTGCTTCTTCCTTGCTGTTTTTCCAAAGCCCAGCCCACCTGTTTTACCTTCAACTTTCCTGCTATGCCCCATCAACTCAACAGCAGTTGGGGTTGTCTCCCTATTTGCCACCACTGCCAGGAAGGGAGAAAGTCTGTGTAGGTGCACCATCAGGTTGATATTTAACAATCCATGACTGTGGGGAGCAAAGAAAGTAACCTTCAAAGCAGTAACAGGTTTGCTAATTTTTACTTACTTGCAAAACTACACCTGATTTTTTAAACAGAAAAGAAACACAAGATAATGACCTGGCTCACACATGACGACACCCCATACTTTATAGACAACCCATGGCTTGTCATACATAAGAAAGTGCAGCTGCACTGCTTCCCACATGCCTGCCACCTCCCTTTTAACCAACAATCTATGCCTGCCCTGCTTGTAGGCTGTTGACTGAAACATGCAATCCCAGAGTGCTGGGCTGTTTAGGGGTAAAACAACCCGGCAGTAAGCCCATGGTTTGTTCCTTGGTCAACTATTATGTTTAGCTACTAAACAACCAGCCCTCCAGCCTCACATGGCACACTTAACAACCTACAAATGGGCTGAACAGAAATAGAAGCAGATGTCCACTCTCCCAGCAATCCATCATTTGCTTAACCCATGAGTTACAAGTATCATTATATGTGAACTGGCCCAGATGTAAGAGACTTGTTTGCCCCAAGTTTGTAGCTTAATATAGAGTCTGGCAACTTGTGACTCTGAGTGCTTTGGCCTAGAAAACCACCATCCCTAACAAGCATAGCTAATGATGATGGATCATGGGAGCTGTCGCCCAAAACATCTGGAGGGCCACATTTCTGGCTTAATGGGACTCATTGCTATTAAACCTAAGAAAGCAGCTAGGTGTCCCACTAGCAGTGGTTGACAGAGTCTGACAACAAATAGTATTTAGGAACTGCCATCAGTAAAATGAATAAAGCCAGAAGCATGTGTTTACCCAGAGGAATTAGGGAAGAAATATCAGATTGCCTTGTGTCTTACTGTCAGTGTATTCCTCTTATACTCAGGGCATGGACCACAGTTGTGAGCAGTTTTCATATGAGAAATTGTTACCAGGTATTCATCACATTAAAGCAGCTATTTATATATTAAATGTGTATGGTATAAGTGGGGTACACTGTATTTAATCACCTAGGTGTTTCTCTAAGCAGTATGATGAACAAACAATATCGTCTTTAAACATCCAGACAGAGTATACCAGCTTTTATGGATGGATTCATTTAATGTAAAAACAAAGAAAAAAATAGGAAAAAACCTCTCGAAGCTTGGGTGAAGCTTTGGGGGAAGTCATAGGAATATTAGGCTTCTGGCCTCCCACTGGAGCAAAACATTTGAAGAAAGCTTCCATTCCTGCTGTCAAGAAAACTTAGACCATCTCTCTTAAACTGGTAACAGTCAAAACTCTGGAAAAAAAATGTAACAGAACCATTCTCTAAAGGAAAGTACCCAATACTTGAAACCAGGAGAAAAACAGCCACAGAACTCAAGTGGACATTGGAATTCTTAAGTTTTCTGTTCTGTGTGATAATTGCCTGGGTAGGTGGCACTAACTGACCTTTTTGAAAGTCTTCCATTTTTGCTTTATTAGGCATCGCCGATTCACATGTAGATCCACTGAGGAACAGCAGTCTTGTTGCCCCGCAGAGGACTAGCAGTCAATCCAATAAGTTTATCTTCTGTCCTATGTAGATATGATAGAACTCAACAGCCCTATAAATGGGCATAGTATGTAGATTCTCCTGGAGTTGTTTTAGGATTGCTTTGAGTTTGATCAAATGGAAGAGGGTTTTTTTTTGGCGGGGGGGGGGGGCTATAAAATTGTTATTGACCTGTGGGTTGAAACATGAACCTATACTATAACAACTGACTGCGTCTTCAAGTATTACCTATCAAATAAAAAATGCAGCTATTACAAAGTTCAGGAATAATTGCAATTATGTGATGGGTTTTTTTCCTCATAGAATACCTGCAAAGAATATTTTTCTTGCATGTTTTTTGAAAATTAGTTTTCCAATCATGGGCACGCATGTACTGCAATTACAGAGAGACCATCTGCTCAACTAAACATGTATTAGCTGTGATTAAATAAGATAAACCCCATTGTTTCACTGGATGTGGTGAAGCTTGAGGGGGGCAGGAAGAGAAGTTTTACTACCCAATCCACTGGAATTAAAAGGTTATTTTACTTGTAATCTTAACTAATTCCCACAAGTATTTATTCATTTTTCTTGATACTGTTTGTTCTGCTTATATTACTAGCCTCTCAGTTTCTCATGAAACTCCAATTTAATTAAGGCAATGAGCAGAATTTGCTTACAATACTTTTTCTTCCTTATTAAACTAGGGAAAGTTTCTGCATCCTTTTATCTTCACTGATGTTTTCATCAGAAAGGACTGTGCATAATAAACTGAATTTATTCAGTGCATGGTGTGATAGAGAAGAATAGAATAAGGGACCAGCATTAAGAACAGACATTCAAACAGCTATTTAGCAATGATTAACATGTGCCTGAGTAATGGTAAAGCAATACAGAAGGAAGTCAACTTGGAAGCGCAATCACAGTAACAAAGTTATAGGAGGTAAAGGGAAAAAATAACCAGACCAGTGAAAAGTCACCTGTGAGTGCAAAGTTGCTGAGCCATACTAACTGTATTACAGGAGGACCTTGCAGGGGGGAAATCTAAGAGTTAGCATGCCTGTTTCCTTACATGTAATTACAGCTGGAATGGTCTATATGTTATAGTAAACTGAAAGTGCACTTAAGCCTTCTTGAACCTTCCCCGTGCTGTGTTTCAATAAATATTTAACACTGCATGCCATTTAAGTTATGAAGTACTTTGTACTATGCTACAAATCTTTAGTAAACTCAGATATCTTACAGTGCCTGGAAAATCCAGATGAAAGCAGACACATGAAGGCATGAAGCAGAAAACAGAAACAATGCTCCCATTTTTGTAACAATAACTAGGTCTTCTATTGTTATTGCTCTTCTCTAGAGGTGATTATGCTGCAATAAACTTTGCAACCCTACATTAATAAAACTATTTATAACAGTACCCACACAGCTAGCTCCAACTGCTGGCTACTCTAGATGCAGCCAAATGAATGGAATTGCCTCACTGAATCACAACCGCATTTTTGAATCATTCTCATTAATTTATTCACAAATTTAGGAACCTGAGCACTAATTCCATCATCAAGAAGGCATATAATTTTTCATGAATGCACAAGACAGACAGAAAAAGAATGCAACACTCATACTAAAGCAAAAACAGTGACATATTAATTGTATCCATTTATGACAATGTTTCCAGGGACCAGTGACAGATTAACTGTATCAAATTATGGCAATGATTATAAAACTAGTGTGTGGATCACACCACCTTAAGGCAATACAAAACCCTCAAAGTCACTAACTAAAGAAACCATATAGGATTCTGTGAAATACTACCCCCAAACTGAAAAAGCTTCTAGTGATGGAAAAAGTGCCACAATACAAAAATGTGTTTTGTTTTGTGAAAGTGACAACACCCTTTGTAGAGCACTAAGCAATCCTACAGTTCACCAACAAGGCAGAAATTCTAAATCCCACTGCACTTCTAAGTTGATAAACATAGGATTGCACTAACAGTGACCCCATATTGAGAAGGAAGACCCCACAAGTCCAAACAGAATAGTTTAAGGTAGGAAAATATATGAGCAAGTGGAGTGAAACAGAGGCTGCTTCCTAGATTACTTAGAGAAAGAGCTTCAAAATAAGACAACAGGCACACTTACTCTCATGGAAAGACACACTAAATGTAGTTCTAGAGACAGGCATTACCCAAAACATCTTTTATAAGGTGAAACTATTCCTTCAAACCTTTCCAGACACAGGACATGAATATATGCATGTGTGTTATCTAAAAACAAGCACTGTACTGCATTTGAGAAAAAGCTTCTATGAACCCTTTAGTTTTGAAATCAGAATTTAATTTTTGGTTGGAAGAAATCTCAAATAATACTCCTCTATGAAATGAGTACATACCAGTGCAATTTAACCCATAAAGAAGACCACCACACTCACTAACACTGATTTTTATTAGAAGACATTTCAAGGAACATCTAAATGATATTATCATATCAAGAACCTACTTTAATTAGGCTACTTCAAATCTTCAAGTGCTTAGAGATATAAGCAAGAATGAAAAATAAGGACTGACGGAAAGTGTGCTCTGAGAGGAAGCAACTGAATATGTATGAGGATGTAAAAGAGTAACCCCAATCCTGCATGCTGACACAAAACCCCCTCTTTGTAAAAACACTGCCTATGTCACAGCAATTAATGTTGCCAAGTTGTGTAACCAATACCTAAAGAAAGCAACAAAAGATTCAAGTGGATATACACACAAATTTATTTACAGTTTATGGATGTGGTCAAATATATTTGGCAACCATCCAAGAGGCTAACTTATTTGACACTGCCCTTCCACTCATTTACCTGGAATCCAAAGACTGTGTATCTAATATGCTACAATACTGGGAAGAAGACTAAGTGCCTCAAAGGGCTTAAGAGTTTATGTATAGAATACATGAGGAGTCTGGGGAAACAGAATGTTTTTTCACATGTAATATGGACTATGTAACAGCTCTGTAGAGAAATGTTATATCAGTCACACAAACTAACCTTTTTCCTTAGATTTCCTGTCTTGTTCTCGCTCTCTGCTTTTGCTTCTGTGCTTGTAAGATTTCCGATCCCGGCTCTTTGACCGTCTTCTGTCCCTGCTGCGTGATCTGTGTTTTCTGTCTGATCTATCATGGCTTCTGCTCCTGCGTCGATCTCTACTCCTGAACATTTTTTTTTAAAAAGTAGTAATTAAAGCACTTCTGTATTTTGCATTTGTCATAATTACCATATTGTTTGCTCTATAAGACACACTTTTTCCCCCTCAAAAGTAAGGGGAAATGTCTGTGCGTCTTATAGAGCAAATATGTGTGTGCAGTAAGTCTGTCAGATGTGCAGCCCATGGGGAAGTAATGGGGAATGTGCCTGTGATGATGTGCCCATTTGATTCAGAATATTTTTTTCTTGTTTTCCTTCTCTAAAAACTAGGTGCATCTTATGGTCAGGTGCGTCTTATAGAGCGAAAAATATGGTATCTAAACTGTTGTGAGAAAATGCTGACTTCTATTTCTGAAGGTAGTTTTAGACAACAAACCTCTTATCAGTGTACTATCTTTAATCAATTTTCAGAAAGGTACCTGCTTCTTCTTCTGTCCTTGCTTCTTGATCTTTTATGGTCCCTTGACCGACTCCCTCTTCGATCAGATGTTCTGCTTGAATGTCTGCTTCGTGAGCGACTCCTCTTTCGTCTCTCTCTATCACGAGCTCTCTCTTTTTCCTTTTCTTCTTCCTCACGCCGCCTCTTTCTTTCCTTTTCTTCTTTTTCACGCTCCCTCTCTCGCTCTTCTCGTTCTAGTTTCTCTTTTTTTAACCGATCATCACGTTCAGGCTCTTCAGTCCTTTTTCTTAATTTTTCCTTTAAAAGGAAAGCATTCAATAAAGGTTACTGGGAGAAAAATTGTTGGTAAAACTTGATCTTTTCTCTTAAAGAGAGAAGGGCATAACTTAAGTTTAGTTAAAATATAGGCAAGATAGTAACTTGATACAGTATGGTTTAGAGAAACAATTTTATGATTCTAAATTTAAAACTGAAACCTCTCTAGCTTCCTAGGAGAACACTACTATCAGTTAAGGACAGTTTAAGATTGTTTTAGAATTATTTCAGCTTAGCTCTCAGGTAAATCTGTTACCAGATTTTAAATATTAATGACAATACAAACATGCAGTGCAGGAATAGGACCTTTTCTTGCTCACAGTATTTGTCTTTATTGTCTACTGCAAGAAAAATAAGTTTTCAACTTACATCTCATCTTCAAACATACCCTAATCTTACAAATGTCGATGTGCTTATCTACAGCAAGTATGGAAGCCTCAGGCCCAAAATAGGCCTCCCATAATCCCCAAATGGCCCCATTTCGTTTTCCTAGCTTCACTCGCTTTCCCACAAACACTTCTTTTGCTGTTTGACAGCTTTTGTGCAGTTTTTTCCCCATCCTAAAAGGCTGAAATGAAATTGCATTTGGCCCACAGGTTACAATAGGTCTCTCATCCTTTCTCTAGCAAGAAGGCTGTCAACCACATATGACCATTTCTGGACTGAGTTAAACAACCCACTGTATTTATGTTTTCCCCACAATAAAGGACACATTTCATGCATCAAAAGTTGTACCTAATCATGTACATTAGTGCCATGTTCACAGAACATTCTTTCCTACCACACAAGTCTAAAATGGAATTAATGCTTTTACTCAAATCTGTGGAATAATACTACCATTTGTTTTTCAGAGCTCCTGAACAGACAAAATATGAACAGCTTGGTCACTTATTTTAATCCAGCTTTTTCACCCTAAGAAAAGGTTTTGTATATTGGCTTACTTTTGGTTTTCAATTCCCTATATATAATCATGGATATTATACATTCTAGCCTTTGTGTAATGTGGATGAAAGTGGAAAGAAACCAACACTTTCACATGCAGGTACCAAACAATAATAGCTGTGAAATTTTCCGGTCATAATGACACATTCTACAACAATTTTTCTAGTGGCATCTTCATGTATATAAGAAGAACTATATGTTGACAATGCACATACACAATATTCTAGAATATACACAGGCACAGGTTGAATCACCCAGAACTATGGGGGTGGTTTATTAAATTTTAATAAATAAATCAATAAATACCTTTAATTCTTCTACTGTAGCTTTAATTTTAGCATAACCCATATGTTGCTTTCCCATCAAGTGATCATCTACCCTGGACTGTGCATCTCCCACAATTAAAAAGGCTCCACAGACTTCACAAACTTCCATTTGCTTTTCTTGCGCTGCAAAACTCTCAATTGTCTGGAAAGAAAAGATATTTCTTTAATCTAACTTTTAAACAGATTTTTATCCCACTTTTGAATCAGCAGGCGCCCCCAAGATGGCTAGGTGCTTGCTAACAAAATTCACATAATTAAGATCCAACAAAATAAATTGTAAGAACAGTCCAACTATATTAACATTTATGAATAAAATGACATCATTAAAACAGACCTTTTAAAAATTCCATTTGCAAAAAATGTGACCTGTGCATTATGTCAAGACCACAGAAGATGGCACCAGAGTACTGCCCTAAAAACAAAGGCAGCTACCTAAACAGATATTTTCTGTTAGGACAAATGAATGTCCATTTATAAATTGTGAGAAAAAGTTACTCTCTTTTATCATGCTAAATTCTATTAAAGCAGGCTGTGTACTAATTACAAAACCTTTTTAGAGTACAGTCCTTGAATATTTAGATATGAAAAAGTCCTGTAACTTCCAGCATGCACCCATCAGCCATGAAGGGTGGGGGATGGTACAAATTAGGACTTTTTTCCTGTCTAAACCTGTGTAAGGTTGCACCCTTGAAGATATTTTATCACTATAATCTTATGGAGGTGTGAAATAAAAGAATAAGGTTGGAAGCGGGTGCATGACAGGCCTCCTTTTCAAATATTTACTAACTCAGTGCACATTAATTGGCTACATGTTAATGTAGCAGGTACTACCCAGGCATTAATCTGGAAAGACACCTATTTCCCAAGTGGGGCCCTGGAAAAGCTTCTTTAGCAACCCATGCCACATGGGAAGACTACTTCTAAAATTCCTTTAAAATTCAAAAGTAGTTTATGAGAGAGTATAGGGTCTGCTATTCAAAAACAGTCAGCAGTCCCACTCTGCACATACAAACTCTTTTACCGTAACTAAAGTAATTACGTAGGTCTTGGATCAAAACACTTTTGTTGTCTGAACCCATGAAAAAGAAATTAAATATCCTATTCTGAAGCATGAGAACAAAACTTCTGCAAAGAGTCATGCTTGAACAGATCAACAATTGTATTACGAAAAGCTGGGCAAAGGAATACAGTGAAACCTTAAGAAGAATCTTTGCAAATTGACTGAAGCTGATTTTCCTTAAACCCAAATCAAAAACTGACCCAAGTTGGGAAAGAAGAAACTACCTTTCTGTAAAACATTCTGTCCTAAATAAATAAGATGCATGATTCAAGTTACAGTGTACAGGTACACTGAAACATACAAGCAATTTTGGGGAGGTGGAGGGTGTCTTGTGTTATTTCAGAGATGTAACCAGTGCAAAACATTTTTAATAGCTAAGATTTATGCAGTGCCCTACTACAAAACTTGCTCTGTAAGGGCAAACTGTTTGTGTCCCGGTCATTAGTGTGCTTTGTTGACTTGTAAGAGATTTAGTATACAATCCTATGTATATTTTAATGGGAAAAGTCCTACAACTCCCAGTATTTCCCAACCAGTCAAAACATGCATAGGATAGCACCCTTCAACTATTAACAACTGCTTATACTAATGGAAGAATATCACTGAATTTCAGTTCACTTTTCTCATGCAATATTCTTTTGTTAAGCTGGAAACAGTTGTTTCAAGAATTGTTTCATTTGCCATTTTCAATTTTTCAGCTTTAAGTAAAGCTTACGTACTGAAGTTGTAGACCTGAGCAACTCTCTCTCCTCTTTTAACTGTTCAACAAGTTTCATCATGCCTTGAGCCTCTTCTACCTTTCCTTCAGAACCTAGTTCTTCAATCTGTGGAACAGAAAAAAAAGCCATTACAATGTCTTGATTCAAGTTTCTAAACAACATTTCTGTAATATTCAAGACAAATATTACCTGTTGTAGAAGTACATCAATTTTGTCAGTTAAGACTTGAATCTTCTCTTCATTTTTACCAGTAGGTCCAGCTGCTTGCTAAATATTAAAACAGAAGTGTTAGTAATCTCCTTTTAAAAAAATAGAGAAATGAACAATGCTCTACTGTGTCAGTCTATGTCAGCATTTCTCAACCTGTTGTCCTCCAGCTATTTTGTACTTCAGTTCCCATCAGCCAAAACCAGGGATATAGCAGTTGTAGTCCATATGGAGGGCCATAGGCTGGAGGAGAGTAGACTGTATTATGTCTACTGCCATACTCTTATCAAAGACAAATCTGCCATAGTTAGAAGAGTAAACTCTGTAATAATGTTTACCATACAAGAATGTTACATTCCTAATCCATACAAAGGAGTTTGCAAATTAACACAACAGTCCTTTGAATGCCTACTCAGAGGAAAGTCCTACTGAATTCCATGGGCCTTACTCCCAGGTAGGTAAGCATTGGATTACAGCCCAAGGTATTTTAACTTGACACTCTGTTTAGTTTCTAATGAGTTCAGAACAGTTAGGCAAAATTCATGCGCTTGGCATATTAGCTTATGTGCCATTCTGATATTTTCTAGAATTTGTAAAGCTACAAGGAGCTAGGAAAGCAACAAAGAAAGTGGCATGAAAACGGAAAACAGTTAAATGGCTTTTTATTAAATGATTCAAGCACACTATAACCCTTGGGCAGGTCTGTTTGAGTTTTCTCTTTTAAAGAATGCTTAAGAGAAAAACTCAAAGGTTTATATATGTTTAATTTGCCATCTGCTTTTATACTTACACCTGAAGCCTGCTGAGTCTGAGATAATGCTAAACGAGCATGGCCCCTTCGAATTCGGCGTTCAACCTCTGCAAGCAAGCTCTGTAAATAGCGAAGGAACTCTCTTTCATAGCCTACTTTCATGAACCGAGAACTCTTTTCGTACCTGACAAAGGAGGGGGGGAATGTTAATTAAAATTTCATAAAATACCATTTCTTTACTGCCAAACCACAAGGCAAATACAAACTGTTTTAGTAAAGATTTTAATAAATAAGGATTTCTTACACTACCAAAATGCTTATGTTATTGTTCAGTTATGTTTACTGGCTACATATTAAACATAACTACAAATGTACTTACTGTTTTCTGAGGTTTTCATCATGAATTTTTTCACATGGACCTGGAAATAAAAGTGAGAATACATTCAAATGCTTTCCTGATAATATGGGAACACTTTTCAGAGGGAATATATTTCTAAACACTTCAGGCTGGCATAATGCCAGAACAAGTGCAACCTGATCAATGTATCTTCGCACAATAGAGTAGGGATGGGCAACTTGTGGCAATCAAGGTTTTTGGCCTACACCTCGCATTACTCCTCACCGTTGGCTTTGTCTGCTAGGGTTGATGGGAGGAATAGGCCAAAAGGGGGACAGAACTGGTCCAGCGAGATGAGGGTTTAAATAGACAACCTGAGCATACGCTTGTACAAATGGGAGGCGGGGGTCTCTCTCAGCTGAAGTTCATTTCTATGAACCCCTGTATATGTATGATTTCATGTTTATTTTCTGCAAATTTTTATGGAATGTGTTGACAGTTCAAGATCATGCATATCCCACTGTTGCAATATTTATTATGCTGGTAAGAGTAGCAATTAACTTTTAAAACTCACAATTCTCAGCTGAAGAGAAGAATTCCAGAAAAATAATTTACTGAAGAAATCTTACCTATCAGTCTAGATATCCAAAATCATAAGTCTGAATCTTTCTAATAGCAAAGTGTGGTATCCATGTCAGTCCTTAAACATACAACCATGAAAATGAATGGGACAAGTTAGTGACTCAGCTCTCATTCATTTCAATGGTTCTACTCTACTTAGATACTATCCACAGCCTTACAATACACCCAGCCTTAACAAAATGATTGCAACCAGTCTTCCAAGTGGGCTATAAGTAGGAGAGCATTTAATCTAGGAGAACACATATTACCTGCAGAAGGATATGAATAATGGAAAATTAGAAATTATTGTTAGATGGTATTTACAAGAACGATAAGAAATAAGCAAATAATTTCTGAATTGCAATTTTAGGTTTCCAATATATAGTTATGAACATGCATTTTAAGTGGTTTGACCATCTTATTTAGATAACTTGAGATAGTTTATTCTAAATGAATGTATGCATAAAGCAAAACAGAGAAATCTGGAAGTTCAAAGAAACAAATTAATTCTCTAAACCATCTAGAGCAGTGATATCTAACCCTGAACTTGACATTTGCAAAATATACACTTACCCAAGTCAGAGCGGGTATTTGTGAATAACTCAGCTGGACAAAAACCACAAAGGTAGTATTTACAAACCTGGTAGAAAAGAAAAAGACACTTAGCATGCTTTCCTTTTTATTTTAGAAAAATGAATAAAAGAATAAAATAAATTTCTTTGGTCTTGATTGCTAAGCTTTATAGTAATTTTAGCAGTGCTGATTTCTGCTGTATTTAAAATATTATTAATTACTCTGGCCACTAAATATCTAGTTAAGTCTTAAATTTTCTACTTCAGTGTCCTTCCATATTACTGATTTACACACTGTGTTTTTGCTCTCCAAATTCGGTGTATATCACCTCTAGAACTGAAAGAATATGGAACCCAGAGGAACCCATGGCCAAGTCTTGTGGCTTAAAGTAGTGAACCCATGAACAGAATTGCAGAACTGTATGTGTCACAAAGTAGTGAATTAAGCTCACCACTAAGCCAATGACACTTTATTTGGTGCAAAATAGAGCTGCCAGGTTGCTGAAAGGGACTGGGCGTTGTTCTCATATAACCTCAGTTCTCTGTCAGCTCCCCAATGAAGTCCGGGCCCAATTCAAGGTGTTGATTATCACTTATAAAGCCCTTAACGGCTTGGGACCTGGTCATCTAAAGGAGTGCTTGAGTCCATATATGCCCCCGCCCGCCCACCGAGATCGACGGAGGAGGCCCTTCTCCAGGAGCCCTCTGTGAGGGATATTAGGAGGGCGAGTACCCGGAGGAGGGCCTTCTCTGCGGTGGCGCCCCACTTATGGAATGCGCTCCCCAGAGAGGTCTGCCTGGCGCCGTCGTTGTTTTTTGGCACCAGGCCAAGTCCTTTTTATTTAAACGATATTTTAATTGTTAATCTGTGTTTTATTTAATGGTTTTATATTATCACCGAGAACTCCAAATTTTTAATATTGTTCTATGCTTTGTTTTCCTTGTGAGCCGCCCCGAGGCTTCGGCAATGGGTGCGGCATAGAAGTGTTATAAATAAATAAATAAATAAATAAACAAAACAAAACCTTCACAAGCTGTGATTCTAACTAATGGCACTCTGTAGTGCACCTTGTAAAAATAAGGCAGTATGGTAAGAGCTGAGTTTGCCTCTATTTCACAGGTCATCAGAATATGAAAGAAAAAGCTGAGTGTTTACTAAACTTCCTGAGTGTTCCTATCACCCATAAACAGTGACCCCTAAGATATTATGAATTCTCAGCACCAAGGACAGTGCTTTAACCTCAGAGCTGGGGAACTGCACTTAGATCCCCTGCTGGCTGTTCCTCTAGAAGGAGCAGAGGATATTCTGGGGAGTGGGAAGAGGAAAACACTAGGTCCATCAAGATATGGTGCATCCTGATGACAGTCCAGCCCCTTCCCCTTTCTGTCCAAAATGTCGCAGCTAGACAACCACTGATTTGCAGGACAAGCACAGAGATGAAGATGCCCCTGCACTCCTCTCATCCTGCATGGGATGCTCATAATCCTCCAAGTTATGCAATCCTCACTGGATTGCACTTGCAAGGGTTTGTGTGTGTACTTCAGGGAAAGAGGAGGAAGGGTGGCTTGAGTACGAGCAAAAGGGTCAGCAGAAATGAATCACTATGACTGATGAGGAAGAGACACAACAGACTATGTAAGTCTCATTTTGGGATTACCGTATTTTTTGCTCTATAAGACGCACTCCCCCCCCCCTCAAAAGTAAGGGGAAATGTCTGTGCGTCTTATAGAGTGAATGTGTGTGTGCCCGACGCCCGGGACGCTGCCGGCCCACCTGCACCACGTGGCACCGCCTGGCCAGCATGTGCTCGGTGCGCTGCTCCGCCCCTCCCCCGGCACAGGTGAGAGCTGTGCCGCTCAGGGGGAGCAGTGCGGAGGAGCTGCGGGCTTTAACCCGCTGGCCACACGGAGAGACGGACTGCTCACCCCCACCGCCCGGGAAGACCTGCCATGGAGGAGGAGCCGTGGGCTTTAACCCGCCGGCTGCACAGAGAAACGGACTGCTCACCCCCACCACCCGGGAAGACCTGCCGCGCTGCCCGGAAGACCACCGCCGGCATGCTGCTGGCCCGGCTGAACCACACCTGGCCGGCACACACTCAGCACACCCTGCTCCGCTCCCCTCCTCCGGTGATGGTGAGAGCTGTTAATCACAGGTCGGTGTGTGTTTTCAAATGGCAGCCCATCTTTTAATGAAGCCCATGGGGAAGTGATGGGGAATGTGCCTGTGAATATCAGGAAGTTTTCCATGGATCCCTCCTCTAAAAACTAGGTGCGTCTTATGGTCAGATGCAACTTATAGAGCGAAAAATACAGTATGTTAACTGCAGATATAATTGGTAACACACTGTAGTGGCTCTTTAAGTGTGCTACACTATTGCGCAATTTCACATAGGGTTTAGTCAACTCTATGCAAAGAGCACATAAGGAAATCAAAATCCTTTTTGGCCCAGTCCTAATAAATCTGATACATACCTGTTGCATGGCTTACAGAATAGCACTGAAGAGTTTTATTCTGTTCAAGCCCTTCTTTTGAAAGGCAAGATATGGTATACACTTTAGAGAACTGTTATTTATTTTAAAATAATTCTTCCAAAGTTCATGTTTTCCTGCAATACATTGTTCAGTATTTCAGCCCGTTTTTAATACATCATACCCACAGTAAAATGACCATTTCTAAAATAATTTGTGACTATGCCCCTAGACACCTTTCCTGGTGCCCACCAAGTGCTCTACCCATCCTAAAACAAACAAACAAACCAACCCCCAGACACTTTATGTGAAATCGGTTTCTGTTGGTGCTATAAACTCCGAGTTCAAAGATACTGTTCAGTGTGTTGGGACCCAGAATTCATGGGGAGGAGCAGATAAGTTCTCCTTTGCCATGCCTCACATGACAGCCTTTTGTAGTGGTGCCCAGGACAGCTTCTCAAATTTTCATATAAGCCCACAACATTCATAGAACAAATTCCATCTGCTGAAAGGGCCATTGTAGCTAATCTAGAGGTTCTGAGACAGGCCTCTGGGAAGGTACTTGTGGCAGCCCACTCTCAGGGCGTCACAGATTCTCTGCTGTCATGGACAATCTATGGTCCTGAAAAAGGAGGACAACAATCAGAAGAGAAAGATCCCTTAGAAAATATTCATTCCAAGGGAACAAAATATAACTTCTCACACCTAGGACACACCTTTGCAAAGGGAAGACTCTTTATGTGCAGTGCTATGTTTAGAAAAGTTGTAGACCATATGGTAATTTCCCAGACTGGTGCAAAGGTTTCTGATGTCATGCATTATCAAGAACATCAGACGGCAACCCAGTACCCTCCAGATGTTATGGACCAAGGTTCTCATATTCCTGATCACTGGTCAAACTGACTGGGTATACAGGAGTTCAAAATACCTGGTAATACCAAGTTGCTCCCCTCTAGTCTAGGCTGGCTGACAGTTAGTACTTCTAGAGGAAAGCTGACAGAAACTGGGAAATATCATTTCGAATGAGGGTGAAAATACTTGTTTACGCAAATGTAAATGAGCAGAATATGGTCATCAAAGGGCCACACAGGGAAAAATGCACAATACAATTGGAGCACAACACTGTGTATACAGAAGTTTCTAAGCTAATACTAAAAGCCTTTGATCTAAGATGAGGATGTTAGAGTAGTGTATTTTAAAGATCACAGATATAATAGGCATAACAGTAACTTGAGTGTGAGTAAAAAGAACCAGTGGGATACAATTATCCTGGAATGCAAACTCTAGAGGAAGCACAGGGAAAAGCATTCTGGAGGCAGTATTGCTTTATAGATCAAAGGAGGAGTATCAAATCCATTAGAAATCTCGACTGACTCCCCCAAAGAGGACAATAGAAGGTCCCAAAGTAATTTAGTGCAAATCACCCAAGTCAAGGTAGCATCTATCTGAGAGTGATCTAAGAACTCAAATATCAAATTGTTGGTCTATTAAAATTTGTAACTTCTAATCTTAGAGACAAAACAACCCTGGCCACTGTAATACCACTTTTTAAAAAAGAGATTCAGGAAAATACAGACCATGTAGTAAAATTAATAGAAAACATGATTAAATATACCATTTTCAAGCCAAGAGAATGAAAAGTCTTGGTGAGGAAGTATCAGCATAGGCTCTGTAAAGGTGTGTCTTGTCTCACTAACCCTTTAGGGTTCTCGATAGTGTCAGCATGCATAAGAACAGGGATGATCTGATAACTGTTTGTTGCCTGGAGTTTCAAATTACTCTGGACATTGCCCCTGACTAAAGACTCCTAAGCAATTTAACAGCCATGGTTTTAAAGGAGAGGTCTTCTTAAGGATCAATAACTGATTGAATTTTAAAAAAGCAAAGAGTAGTAACAAATGGACAATTTTTGCAAGAGAGCTAGAGATTAGAAGTTAGGTGGCCAAGTTTGCAGACATACACAAATTGTTCAGGGTGGTAAAAATAAAGAAGGTTTTATGAAGGATTCCAAAATAATCTCCCCCAAACTTCCAGAATGGGCACTGAAATAGCAAAAACAGTTCAATATAAGCATACTATATTGAAGTGATGCATACTAGAACAAAACAACAACCTAAGTATATTTATTTTATTGAGGACTGAATGTTGTAAGTCATCCAGAGACGACAGTGATGGACGGCCTACAAATTTTCCAAATAAATAAATGTATATACTGAGGACGTCTGAGCAGGTTAGGTGTGACCAGAAGAGAGAACTTGTGCCTGGGATGAGCAGTTGAACAAAGGCATTGACCCAGCATGAACTGTGTGAAAGAGGCAAATTCTATCTTGGGGATCATGAGGAAAGAAGCTGGAAATGAAACCATTAATATAACACCTTTATACCAATTTATGCTGCAATCACACTTCTGGTTACTTGAGATCAAAAAGGATACTGAAGAACTAGAAAGTGGTAACCAAAATAATTGAAGAGCTGCAGTAACACCCTCCCTCCAGTTATGGAAAAGGTTGAAGTTGAGACATTTTTCCTCCTATTTACAGTAACAGAAACGAGGGTCACCCAATTTAAGGTAAACTGGAGTTAAATATACAAGATTTAGTGATAGCTGTCAAATTATATAGCATTAAAGGGGGATCAGACAAATTAATAGAGAATATCACAATCAGGTGCTACTAGACATGATAGTTTTTCATACCTTCCATTATTGGAGGCAGTATGCCTCTGAGTTGTTGGGGAACACAGGCAGGAGGATGCTACTCCTGTCTTGTTTATGGGCTTCTCACAGACATCTGGTTGGCCACTGTGGTAACAGAACACTGGACTAGACAGGGCTTTGGTTTAATCTAAGAAGGCTCTTATATTCTAACCTGCTACTACTAAAAAGTAGTAGCTTGCTGAAAATTAACAACATTGATACTGAAAACTCTAAGACACTATTCCACTTTAAAATGCTGGCGGTAAATCTTGAATACTTGGCTTTGTAGTTTTGATTATTAGGTCTTTTATGAAGAAGAGGTATCTCCTCTCTTCCTTGCATCAGTATTTAATGGGCCTCCTACAATGATGTCTTTAAATGTTAAGAATAGATCTAATTTGAGAACATATTTGGAAGTGCAGCTGAAAGGAAAGCAGCTAGAGTGGTGAGCATTCAATCAATTCTGCAGCCATGCACACCCAGATATTTAACAGCTGAGATCAGGGTGGATGAATTAACATGCAGCCAAGAGCTTGCTAGTGAATACATGCAGCTTCTAAGTTTGCTTTGAGTTGCAAATAAAAGAATGGCAATTCTTTGCCAGGGAATGCCATGTTGAATGAAAGATGCTTTTGTCAGGTTATTTTATTTAATGAATGTTATAAAATGCAGGTACAGATGCAATACCAAACTATAGTCTGGTATAAACAAATTAGCTTGTAATTACTGCTGGAGTTGCATCTCCCTCCTGTTGCATGCCATAATTCCATTCCTAGTTTGAAGAACAGGGAAAAAATGTGCAAGGTCAAGGGTCTTTCACTTTCATTAAACTTTTTACTGTCTGCCTGTCTGAATACACAGAAACTCTTGCAAGATTAACATGAAAGCATTAAAATATAAGTAACAATCATAAGAAAAAACCCAGGGTTTAAGATAGCAGCAAATAAAACCTGACAAATCCAAAACAGATTTTAAAAATCCAAAAGAGCATACCTCAAGAAACCTGCAGAAACCAAAGCTTGTTGAGCAAAACAAATCTGTATTAACACCCAAGCATCAAATGAGCCAAGCCATGGTTTCGTATTATGTCTGAACCAATTACTCTTTTCCTATCAGAATGAAGCTACATTTGGAATGTTTTCACCCAGTTTTTGAACTGCTGATATACTGATGAGCCCATTTCTAGGATGAAAAATAGGCTTATATATAAAATAAAACATTTAATAAATATTTGGGGTTTTGAGAGCCAGTGTGGTATGAAGGTTAGGGTGCTAGACCTGGGACATCTGGGTTCTAGTCCCCACTTGACCATGAAGCTCATTGAGAGTGCATGACTGGCCTAGTCACCCAATCTAACATACTTCCCAGTGTTGATGTAAGAATAAAATGCAGCTCTGTAAGCCTCCTTGGATTCCTTGGGAGAGGAGAAAAGGTGGGATATAAATGCAATGCAATGATAATAAGGTTCAAACCAAGCAGCCAGCACAGCATACCACCTCACCTGATAGAACTGAATCTATTGCTCAGGTATTAAAGATGCTGTGACCTTCTTTCACACAAGAAGCATACTAAAACAATAAAAAGCAATTCAGTGACTTTTTCATCCAACTTCTTGGTTTAAAAAAAGTGCAAAGTATGCATTCTGAAAAAGAATGTCCTGCCTTCCTGATTACTAAGAGAGTTTTATCAAGGGGAAACAGTTTGAAATCTGGAATGGAAAGTTAACACCACATATATTTATTTAAAAATATTAGGATAAAGCGGTTAGCTTGGTCCAAATTAATCAACACCCTAAACCAGATTCATGCCATTATGTAGATGGTTAACCCAACTATATTTTCCATGACCAAATTTAAGATCCAATGTTTTGGGGCTCTACCACCATCATAAAAGGGCAATAAATTTCATCTACTGTGAGTGATTAGGCATCAATACTTGTAATACAAAACATCTGAGTCACTCAAAACTGTGATCCTACCTATGTACCTGGAAATAAGCCCCACTGATTTCAACAGGACTTTCACATTAATGGATTGTGCTGTAAATCCACATGCAAGCAGGAAACATTAATTGTTCAATATTTTAAAGAAACGTGCACACTAACTGCAGCATGCTGGAGCAAACAAGGAGAAAACTTTTATACTACTTTAAAAAGCTTCCAATGAACAAATGTAGGGGCCCATTCTGGAACACTTGCATGAACCTAGTTATTGAGGTGATACTAGGAAAAGATATGGGTATGGTTTCTCTGGCATATTCCTAAAACATAGATCCTGCAGAAGCCATCCAGCAGTCTTTACAAATGTTGGCTTTACGATTTGGGGGTGTTCCTGGATCTACATTTGCTCTTGGGCTCTCATCCATGGCTATGGTGTCTATTGCCCAGTTTTGGTTGATATGCTAACTGTACCATTTGTGGATAGGACAAAGTTGACCTCAGTCACACATGCCCTAGGACATCACGTCTGAACCACTATAAATGGGCAGCCCCTGAAAACAATCTGAACATTTCAATCTAAACAAAATGCAACAATCAGGGTTCTGAATGTATGCAACTCTTCTCTATCTTCAATGTTGTGCTTGTCAACTTTATTTTAATCGTTTTTATTACTGTTTAAACTAAGTTTTATTTTAATCTTCGCCCTTCTGTTAGCTGCCTTAAGTGACAATTTTGTTGTTGGAAAAGCAGGGTATAAACCAAATAAATAAATACTACTTGCTTCAAGTCCTTTTCAGATGCAAATAAGAATACTAATCACTTTTTAGAACCCTGAAGCAGCATGCAGCCAGGACACTTAAGAGATCTGTTTCCTCCCATGCAATCTTGCCCATCCGAGATTAGCTAATAATGTTGTCTTGTGTGTCTGGTCCCCAACTAAATCACAACTGATAGAAACACAAGAGAGGGCATTCCCAAATGCTGCACTTATCCATTGGAATTCTGAGCCTAAGGGATTCATGTTTTCTTCTTGATGGCATTATTCTAGAAATAACTGAGCTTTAGCAGACTTTTTCCTTGGATAACTGATTTCTTTTTATCTAGCCCCGTCTTGCTTAAACGTTCATCTGTAATACGTGCTCTGCATTTTAAATGTTTCTTTGCCCGATTTTTCTATGTTTCACGACAGATTTCCCTCCCACTGTAATCTACCTTGCCCAGTTATGCTGTAAACTAGAAGGATGGGGTCATATAATCTGATAAATAAATACAGCGTTATAAAATGAAGTACAGAAGTGGCGCTAATACTGCACGCATTTGAACAACGGACACAATTAGATCACTACATTTATGTTTTCAGTTCCTGCTCCACTCCTCCAAAGCCTCAGCCTCCCCGCATGTACACACCTCTGCCTCACGTTCCCAGAAGCAGGCGCCTCATCTCCAGACGTTATGCTATTCATTGTTCTCTTCGCTCACAGGTCCTACCAAACCACCATCATATACGCAGAAAGTTGTGCGCGCACGTACGAATATTTTCCATGTTTGCCCCTCATCCCGAAAACTAACCCCATCTTCCTACCGCACGCCTTGCTTTCCATCGCATCTTCTCTCCAGAGGCCTAAAATGTCTGTATCTCGAAGCCACTCTTAATAATTAAAAAGGAATTACTCCCTGTCCCTCCTCTTTTCTGCTCCTTGCCAGGTAGACCTAGTTCCTGTACTAGCCCACGGATTGCTCTCCGCCCGCCCGCTTCCTCACCCCACCCGAGGCGCGCGAAAAAGACCGCGTCCAAGACGGCAGCGCCAAGGCCTGGGCTTAGCGATACTCACGCTTTCGTGGTCCCACCGCACGTTACTGCGCTTTTCATCCGGGGCCAGATTCCTGTCCCGGCCCATAAGCTCGTCCAAAAGCTGGGCAGCCGAAATCATTATGCCTGCCCGTGCACCGGCCTCGCCGCCGCCGCCGCCGCCTCCACCACTTTCTTCCCCTAGTACTCCCGCTACCGCGCCGCTACGAAAGTGACAGAGACAAAATGGCGGCACCCTCGAGCCAAGGCGTTTCCCACAATGCACTCCGCAGATCTCGCGTAACCGCCCTTGGGTCTTGTTGTCAAGGCCTAGCGACGCCTACGTAGGCCTAGTCTCTACGCCTTTATGAAGATTTAGTGAGGGCTGCCATGTAACTTTGATTTTAGCGGTAAGGAATAAATCGGCGGCCACTTAACCTCCTGGACCGCTGACAAAGCAAATTAACTGTGGCGCGCTGAGTTTAAATTTTGCAGCGCATCAATGCAAGCCTCGTCTGCACAGAACTTCACTGCCCATCTTCAGAGAATATCAAATCAAGACAAGCCATGCTTCTCCAAACTTTCAAGAATCTCGGAAAGCACACAAAAAATAGACCTGTCCAGACAGCTTTAAATATTCATCGAAGCTCTCACAAAACCCCAAAACTGCCCCAGTTGTTAATATTCAAACTCAACAGCTTCAATAACCCAGAAGAAGTCTTTAAAAATTTATTGAAATTCACTATACTGAAATTCAAAGGCATTATGCAGTTAATCCATCTGATGCTGGTAGTGACCTAAGTACTGTGAAGCATGATAGCTCTTAGCTATTTAAAATTAGAAATCAGGTTGTATAACAGCACTTTAAAACTATTCTTTCGTACCATCTAGTTTTTAGTTCAATCCCTTCCCTGTAGTTACATATTTTTTAAATTCTCATAGTAACTATAAGTAATGGCAATAATGTTATTTTAAAAATTCCTTACCATCTTTGATTCATTATGGTCATGTGGCAGGGCAGTTAAATTATGATGGATATAATTTCCCCTGTTTATTTATTTAAAGTTTTTATACGTCGTCCCCTTGCTACATAGCCTCGGGACGGCTCACAGAAATAATCCTATTCTAGGATTGTCACCCTTGATCGCAAAAATGAAAAAGACCCCCCACCCCCCCGGCTCCCACTGTTAGAGAAGTAATCTAGAATATCCACTTTAATAAACTTGGATGATAGCAATATGCCCATACATAAAACTATGACAACTGGCCATGCTGGAGGAATAATAAGACTTATCAAGAACCAAGAGACTTGGTTCAACATTTTAAAAGGGTTACTTTGGCTCCGAATTATTTCATCTAGTTTAAAGTTACATTTCAACACTGCCTGCCCAACATCAATTTGGGACTAGTAAATTTAGCAATCTTAAGTTGAATTTTTGGTCTTAATTTGCTAGATATCAGCCTGATTGTCAACATTTCTGTGGTTCTTTAAAAACAACAACTGAGAATCCTGGTTTAGCATATGAATTAGAGGGCTCCTCAAATGGAGGGTGTTCTGATGAGTCTCTGAATGGTGCCAGATCCCATTGTGTATGTCTGACTGTGGTTGCTGGTATTAGCATTGCCTGTAGCTGTAACCATTTTGCTCATGCTGTCCTGATAAAAGGACAAAACCCCCAGTAGAATGTAATGCATGTTTCTCTTAAACTTTTAGATGTCAAGCTAGTGGGATTCTGACATAAGAGTTGGCAGCAATACCTACGTTGATGTGGGCCCTCCTCACTTTCATAGCTGGGGCCTGTGGCAATTTCCCCTCCTCTTGCCTCCTTTAAAAAGTACATATTTATTATGCCACTTTATTTATTGTAAAGTTATTGTAGGGTCTGCCCTCTTAAATACAGTTATATCAACTGCAAGTTGACATATATGTACAGAGTATTTTATTACATAACATGTTATGAAGTGCAGCTAGTTTCACACAATAACCCACATTCAGATTTGATTATGAATGGAAAGTACATTGTTGCTGCATTGAACTTTTGGTTAACCACAAACCACAGAATTATTTATTTATTTATTTTGAACATTTATATGCCGCCCCATTTGCAAAAAGCCTCAGGGCGGCTTCCAAAACAAATAAACAATCATACAATTACCTTAAAAATCTGGAAACATCTTGGCACAGATATAAAATCAATACATACAATCAACAATTAAAATAACATTTAAATAAAAAGGTCTTGGCCTGGCATCGAAAAACAAATAACAGTGGCGCCAGGCAGACTTCTCTGGGGAGCACATTCCATAGGTGGGGCGCCACAGCAGAGAAGGCCCTCCTCTGGGTACTCACTCTCCTAATATCTTTCACGGAGGGTTTCCAGAGAAGGGCCTCTGCCGCAGATCTCAAGGGGCAGGAGGGCATATATGGATGCAAGCACTTCTTTAGATGACCAGGTCCCAAGCCGTTAAGGGCTTTATAGGTGAGAACCAACACCTTGAATTGGGCCTGGACTTCAATGGGGAGCCAGTGAAGCTGACTGAGGACTGGGGTTATATGAAAACAATGCCCAGTCCCCATCAGCAACCTGGCAGCTCTGTTTTGCACCAATTGAAGTATCCAGACCATCTTCAAGGGCAGCCCCCGTAGAGCGCATTACAGAAGTCTAATCGGGAAGTTACCAATGCATGTGTCACTGTCGCCAGGCAGTTGTTCTCCAGGTACGGACGCAGCTGATGGATCAGCCAAAGGAAAGCACTCCTCGCCACCGCTGTCACCTGAGCTTCTAGCGACAGCTCAGGGTCGAGGAGCACTCCCAAGCTGTGAACCCTGTCCCTAAGAGGGAGTGCAACCCCATTCAGGACAAGGTCTAGGTCCCCTACCCCGAAGCCCAAACCACCTACCAACAGGGCCTCCGTCTTGTCTGGATTGAGTTTCAGTTTATTGGCCCTCATCCAGCCCATTACCTCAGCCAGGCACTGGTTCACTACAGCCACTGCCTCACCTGGATTGGTTGAAAACGAGAGGTAGAGCTGGGTATCATCAGTGTACTTATGACCTCTCCCAGCGGTTTCATGTAGATGTTGAATAGCAAGGGGGACAAAATGGACCCCTGCGGAACCCCGTGGCATAACTGCCATGGCGCAGAGCCATAGTCCCCCAGCACCACCTTCTGGAATTGGCCATTGAGATAGGAGCGGAACCACTGCAAAGCAGTGCCTCCGACCCCCAATCCTGCTAGCCTATCCAGAAGGATACCATGGTCGATGGTATCGAAAGCCACTGAGAGGTCCAGGAGGACCAACAGGGATGCACTCCCCATCTCTCTCCCTGCACAGGTCATCATACAGGGCAACCAAGGCAGATTCAGTACCATACCCGGGTCTGAAGCCGGACTGAAATGGGTCCAGATAATCAGTCTCACCCAAGAGTGCTTGGAGTTGTCCTGCCATCACCTGCTCTAACACCTTGCCCAAGGATAAAGAAAACCCATGAACAATCCAACAAAGTGTTGGTTGTTCAACATTAACAAGTTATGGTTTAACATAAACTGGGTACCTTTTATCATATGTGGTGGACTTGTGATAAGGCAACAAAAAATATTGGGCTAAAATACATAAATGGCTTGAGGAAATGTTACAAAAATCTTTAATATTTAAACCTGAAGTCTGCTTACTAGGCATTGTGCCTGATGATGTTGATAAACAAGCAATGTATTTGATTCTACATGTAATTACTGCAGCAAGGATTGTATTTGCCCAACATTGGAGGAGTGAAGGACCACCCACTGATGAACTGATTTTAAAAAAAATTCTGGACTGTGCTGAAATGGACAGGCTGACTGTCTCTGAAGGAGAAAGAGGATACATACTTCTATCAAACTTGGAACTCTGTTTATTATTAGCTAGAGAAACGGGACTATGCATAGAATTGAATATGTCTATGGATTGCTATAAAAAAAATAGGGGGCTGAGTCTGATGTCTCCGATTTTTTTTTTAGTTTCTTTTTTAGTTTGTAGAAAATAATAAAATTTACTTTTAAAAAAGCTATGGTTTAACAAGGCTTAGTTCACAGAACAACCTAAGGTTCAATTACAAGCCATCTTGTGTGGGTTGCTGAATTGTGTGAATAAGGTCATACTTTTTTCATTTACATATACGTTCTGCTGACCTTATTGTTTACACCTGCACCTCTGCACATGTATATAAGTCTGCCTGCTAGAGGTATTTAGGACGCCAACCGATGGCTTGCTACAACACAATAACATGACTACACCTGTGAAAAATTCTAACATTTCTCTCTTTTTAAGTCAAACTTCCACTTGGGAAGGGATCTTGATTTCTGCTCTTGGGGGTGCAATAACCAAATTTCAGATTTTCCAGCGACTTGCAGAGCAATCCGAGACATGTCTACTCAAAAGCAAGTCCCATTGAGTTCAACGTGGCGTGCTCCCAAGCGAACACATGATTGTAGCCACCGAAATCTACCTCTAGGGCGCGGCGGTGGGTCGCAGGAAGCTGCTGGTCGTCCGCCGCGGAACTGCGAGCAACAAACAGCACTCTTTGGCAGTATGAAGTATCGATCACACAAAGGTTGTTTATATGTTAAACAGTAACACATTTTATCAATTAGAAAAAGAAGCACTGGAAATATTCTTCGACTAACCGAAAGATGCTGCGCACTGAACGTTTGCGTGCCGGACTGCGGGTAGGAACTAAATATCTAGGTCATCGTTGTCTCACTTAATAGAGTCCCCCTGAGGAGAAGGAAGCGGAGCCCGTCTAGACATACCGTAACTATGGAATTGGGAAAAATGGCCTTCACAAATGTCAACTCTTTAATTTATGAGCAATAGATAGAAAACGGATATATGTGATTAGATTAAAAGGAATCAGGCGTGGGACGTTTCTTTCAGGACGAACTGGATTTTTTCCCCGTGGCTAATTGACTAACGTATTAAAATGATCCATCATCCCCATTAGGCAGCTGTTTGATAATAGCAAAGTTTACTGGAAATAAAATTTTGTAACATGACTTCTACAATCGAGGAAAAAGAGCTTCAGGAGAGACTGAGAGAAGCTGCTGCTCTGGGGGATATTGAAGAAGTTCAGCGATTAGTGGAATTTGGAGTGAGTGTGAACTCTCAAAATGAAATTAATGGCTGGTAAGCATTTAACAAGTGAATTACACTGACAATTTCTAGCAATACCGGACACACCTTTTAAAAAGAGTAACTTGTTTATTAAGTTTGGAGTGCGATTTTAAAAGTTTTTTAATTGCTAGGGTTTCCTTTTAATTACTAGCACTGAATTAATTAGTGATGCTAATAGTGTTCACTCTTAACAAATAAAGTAATTTACAGTTAATTTGACAACAGGTGATTATATAGCTTTCTGTTGGATTAGTCTAACAGCTTCTATTTATGCCTTCTTTTTAGCCTTGGTGTATACAGGATTGAAGTATATTCATGATTTGTAGCTGCAATCCAATGAATATTTATTTCTAAGTGTAAGCTCTACTATATATATACACTTTTGTGAAAATACATAGAAGATATAATTTCACACTGTTTATAAGTTTTCACAATTGTCAGAAATCAGTAGGGCTAACAATATATAAAAGAAAAACACTTTCCAGCTTTAAAAAGTTAATTTCAGTCCCATCACATCATCCACATCACACTTCAGAGGTAATAAAATTTGTTGATTTCATTATATAAGTTTAACCGTAACATTTAGCTATGTTGCCTACTTGTATGATCACAACTGGGATTTCTGTCAGGTTGGCTTTTATGAGGTATATCTAATATTTTAGTGATTTCCAAGTTTTATTATATTATTTTACTAATAAAATAAATAATTACCATTATTAATTATTAATTATTATTTCAATGTTAGTGTAATTAATAATTACTGTTATTAATTATGTAATTATAATATTTTATTATATGTAAACTTTTTCCCCTACTAAAAGCTTGCATAAAGTAATGGCATCGATCCTAACTTCTTGCAATACCTATTGCATATATGGTTACTGTGTTTTTTTAAAAGAAGTTATATAATTCAGATGTCAGTTTCTTTGGTCTTGTGACAAGTTTATAAAGTAACACAAAGATCTATGTGGGGACATGTAAGCAGTTATGATAAGGGACTAAATGAAATAAAGGAAGATTTCCATGTGCTACATTAATTATTTTGAGAAATTTTTGTTCAAGTTACATAGTTATTGTAGAACTTTGCACTTGAACAGTGGTAGATGAATTAACTATTGACAAATGCATGCTGGGGGTGAAAAAAATTGAGACCTCAACATTATAGTTCAGGAAACCTAACAACAATGTCAAAATCAGTATAGTCTAGTAAATTTAGTAAAAAATTAAGGGAAAACCTGGCATTGGTTAATTCTTCATAGGTTTGTTGGGATCTTTTAAGTAATGCTCTTAAATGTTCTTACTTAAAAAAAATGGACTTTTAAGTAAGTTAGACTAAGACTTCAGTTCTGATACAAATAGTTAAGAAACAGATTTGTTTTATAACTATTTTCCCCTAATATAATGGGGAGTGACTGATTTTTTTAGCAATTTTTAAAAGATACAAATATTGAGAACACTGTAGTGATATACTAGAAAGAATGTGCAATTAGACTAAGAAAACTTGTGTTCAGATTCCTGCTCATCCAGCAAACTCATTGTATGGTCTGATGTTCAGATTATGCAGACAATACTCAACATAATCTGCCATGCTGGATTGCTCCAAAGCAGGGGCAGGCGAAATGGGCCACTAGTGTGTTTCCAGGCACCTTTCTCTCTTGGCTTACAAGGTGCTCTACACCTTCCAGTAAAAAAAACCAAAACTTTTTAATTAATGCATTCATCCCAGGAAAGATGATCATGGCAGGGAAAGTCAAAGAAAAAGAAGAAAAGGAAGACCAAGCATGAGATAGACTTGATAAAGGAAGCCACAGAGTTTAATTTTCGAGAGCTGAGCAGGACTGTCATGGATAGGATATTTTGGAGGGCACTCCTTTATAGTGTTGCCATAAGTTGCAGATGACTTGACAGCACTTAACAACAGCAGCAACATTCATGGGATTTTGCTATGCCCCAGACTGAACCTCTGCCTTGTATTTAGCCTTTTGGGCATTTTAGTTGTCCTTTGCCATGTCTCCCATAGCAGCCATTTTGTGGTGGTACTCAGGACATTTTTTCAACTAGCCAGATACACTCATGGCTCCAAAAAAAGCAGCCTATCCTAAATGTGTGCTGCCCTAAGGAAAGGAGGGGGTACAAATGTGTTAAATGGCACTCCTATAGGATAAGAATGGGAGCATGCTGCAGAAGGACATTCTGCTATATCGTCAAGAACCGGAAGAGATGCACCCAAATTGCTTACCCACACTGGAGACTAATTGAAAGAAGGCAAGGCAGAGTGAATTGTATAAAGTTGTAGCAGGGGTTCTCCTCTCTCCTCCTTGGAGGACATCTACGGGGTTTGGTTTCATTAAAAAAAAAAAACTTGGCTTATGGCACCCTTCAGGGTAATGGTTTGAAGAAAGAGTATATTTCTAGGCAAGCTAACTTCAAACAATATGTTCAAAAGCTGGTTTGTTTAATCACAGTTTTAAATGAGATCTGGCTCAAAGGTAACATTAAGTCAGGAACCTTTGCAGGTGAAACTAAGTTCTGCAGAAGTCTTCCCACTGACTGGACGGTGGGTGGGGAGGTGGAATCATGTAACCATATTGCAGTTTTGATGCATAAAGGCTCATCTACATAGCAGTAAACCATGTGTTAGCATCACATGTGAATGCAGCCACTGTCTTCACCAATGAATTACCCTCTGTTTTGTCTGCTGTGTTCCCAACATCAAATGTGCCATTTGTGGTATGATGCTGGTTGGAAAAAGAGAGTTAAGTGATCTTCACATTCTTGACATTTATTACTCTTTATTATTCCTTACATTTACTTTTATAAATTTTAAACTAAAGCTGTTTGGGTTAAGTGTGCCTCTGAATCTTAATTCAGCAAAAAAAGTGTGCCTCTTTGAACAAGTTTAAAATATGAGTTTATACCCTAACTTTTTAAGAATTTCTGAGAATGTAGAAGCAAATAATCATCCTGATTTCTGTGTTCCCTGAAAGCACGGAAAGATTCTGCCAGTAGGTGTCACTATTGGAATATGCATAGGAAAAAGTATGTTAGACATTCAATTATTTTTAAAGTAGACCGTCCTCATTTGTCACTCAAGCAATTCAGAAGAACTTTTTCTTTTGTGCAGTGTGGATTTTTCAAGTAGCTCTTATGTTTGCCTTGTGCAGGACTTGCTTGCATTGGGCCTGCAAACGGAACCATGCTCAGGTGGTATCATACCTGCTAGATGCTGGCGCTGATAAGGAAATTCTCACAGTTAAAGAAGAAAGACCAGGCCAGTTAACATCAAAGAGGGAAATTAGGAAGATGCTGGGAGGTAAAATGATCAGATTATACTATTAAAATGAAAAATATTGGAATGGTAGTGCAACTGTTGGTATCCATAGTGAATCAAGATGAGGCAGAGTGATCTCATTGTCTTGTGGCTTCAGGCCTTTTTGATCTAGAATTCACATTAATGTGAAAATGTATTGTGCTGTGATATGCACACCATGAACAATCTATATGGATTTCTGAGATTTGGCCTATAAAAATTAGCCTATGGTGGAGGGCATACAGTTATGATTTTGTACTGCATAATTGAATATCTTTCTCAACGGTAGTATCAGGTAACTATTTTATTGCAGCTTTAGTAGTAAGACAATAAACTACTCGATGTATTTTTATATATCTATATTAATTTTAATATGTGCAGCTTAGCAGGGCCTTCAGCTTTTACTGCCTGCATGTTAGTTCAAATGAAAATGCTAGGTTGTAATCACCGTGCTGTTTGTCTATTTGGAAGTAGTATTTATTTGATTAGCTCTTTCTGTCTTTCTTCTGCAGTGGAAGATGCTGATGAGCTTCTGGATGTGAAGAAAGAGTCATCCTTACCCATTATCCCCAACTACTTGGCTAACCCACCTTTCCCTTACGTTTATACCTCCATGAGTAGCACTGCTAACAGCACCTCAGCTTCCTCTTTGAATGGAAGACTTTCCCCTTCTTTAGAACAGCACAATGAGGACTGTTCTACTTCTTTACCTCAAGTTCAGGCACCTGGCACTGCCATGTCACAACACGAAAAGGCTTCCTCTATAGGGTCCCATGGGGAGATGCGCAGAGAAAAGGCTGTTGAATGCCTCGAGCCTGTCCAGAATGGGCATGTTTGCCAGGTGCCTGTCTCTCCAGGTAGGACACTGTCTTCCCCAGCTGGAAATAAACCACCTGAAATTCAGCAAGCCAATGGCTCTTGTGCCGGACCTGTTCCAACGTTCCAGCCCTTTTTCTTCACTGGAGCATTTCCTTTTAGTAGTATGCAAGGTAATCTCAAACAATTTCAGCAATACGCTTTTGGCGTAATGTAGTGCCACCTTCCGGTGGGAATTATATGAACAAAATACAACAAGTTGTGCTTGAGCTTGTCAGAAAAGTGTTCATTAGGATACAACATTACTTAATATAGACTTTTTAATTGTATCTTCCTTTGTTTGGAATCATTCCTGTTTCTTTCAGTTGCTTTATATAATTCAAGCTTCAGGTAAGACCTGTCAAATGCATTGATCCATAACTGAAAATCACCAGAGTTTCTTTTTAAATGACTGGTTGTGGAAACATGCGCATAAGCATTGCCTAGACATTTGCCAGGACGTTTCTAGAAGCAGCAGCAGCAGCAGGATTGTGTCTGTTCATGGCCATTAACCATTTGCCAGAATGTCTGAAAGAGTCTCGGCACACAGGAACCCATTGGGTGTGGACTGTATCTGCCACAATCGTGGACCTCTTGAATAGGCAGGGCCCTTGAATACATGGGCAGAGCTTACATAGGTTGATACTTTCAGACTGGAGAGTGGAGTGCGTGGGTTCAGTGGCCTGCCTTACCCTCTACCCACATTCCTGTGATCATCTGGATAGTGCTACCTAGTAATTTTATATCTACAAAGGATGATAATCATCCTTGATTTATGGTGCATTGGCTATATAAGCAGTGGTGTAGGGCCATCTTTTGATATTCAACATTTGCGCCCCAGATCCTTATCTGGAATGATTCTGTACCCTCCAAATCAGGGAATTTTGCTACTAAGTGCTGTGTTTGGATATAGTTATTTTAGTATCCCTGTTTATAGTGTTGAATTGCATTTCATCTTTTATTATATACTACTCTTAAGCTTTGGCCTTTCGGTGTTAATCAGTTATTACCATTCGGTTGTTTGCTATGTTGGTGCTGCTCAGAGTAGACCCATTGAAATGAATATGACTTCAGCTAACTCTGACTGAATTAAGTTCAGTTCTCTTCAGTGGTCTACTCTAGGTAGGGCTAACATTGGATACAGCCCATTGCTATTACCTGCAGTGCTGCTTTTTAGTTGAAGGATTCTTCAAATGTTTGTATTATGTTTGCAATAGTAATTAAATGTATCTATTATTTAGACTGGCTTGAATTCCATTCCATGAACAGAATGGTGCTCTGTTCATTGAGCTGCTTTTCTCAACCCCTGTCCCATCCTAAAATCTGTGCCTGTAAATTGCAGTATGCTCTGAAAAAAAATTGCATTTCCCATGGAATTTCACAAATGAAAAAGGCAGTTGCTGAAAAAATGGGGATATCCTCTGTTCACACACAGTCTTTGGATCCAGCTCTACAGAATGTTATATCCTTTTTCTGCGTGATGCCAACTCAAGGCAGGTTAAAAAAATTAAAATAATAAATGCACAATATAATACTGACATCATTTAAAATTTAACAAAACTAGAGATAGCAAAACAGGAAAATGGAAGCCGAAAAAACAACAAATGTTAAAATCCAAAATTAAAAATGCTAGGTGAAATAAAACTGAAATAAAGCTACCCGATTAAACGGGAAAATGAGGCAGCTAGATTCACTGCTCAGGGAGGTCTGTCTATGAATTGGACATTGATTGGAAGACTTGCCTATATGGCATGTAGAGGGATTTCTCTTACCAAAGAAGCCCATGTACTACTGTTTCTATGACCAATTTGCATTAACTGCTGCAAATTCAATATTGTGATCATCCTCTGCAGAAATAAACAGTGTAGATCATTAAAAAGTTTGTATCTGTCTTCTTAAATCAAAAATCCCCAGTGGCAATAATTTATTAGCACTGCTGTGGCTTTCCACCACCCCAGCCCTCACTTTAATAATGCTGATGGGTCTTCATTGCTGTTGCTTAAATTGTTGCCCAGCGGGAGAGCAGAAAAAAACCCAAGGTGCCTGAAAAAAAGTTTATTTTGGTCAATGCATTTCAGAAAAATGTATTTTCCTTCCTCAGGGGTTTTACAGCCTTAACACACTCTGAGAAATCGGGAGGGTCTTAACTCATTACTTTTCTGCTGCTGCTAAACCATCCTTGCAAATGTCAGCTAGGAGTTGGGTTGTCTTATGTTTCCTTATGCAAGCCTTCATGCTTTTGCAGGCCCCATGTTAAGCCACACAAAGCTGAACTGTGAAATGGGCCTCCAGCCAAAGATACAGATGTGTGGTTACACCATTGGCCATGATTTCTGAAAGGTATTTTATGACTGCACTTTCAAGTATGACTTCACTTAGGAATTTGTTTTTCTTTCCTGTACCTAGGGTTTGTATGCTGGTAAGATTGGTCCGGATGCTTTGCTGCTGTACCATTGCAGTCACCACACTGAAGCTAGAAGGGGGATGTAGCAAGAACAAATAGGACACACTTTGGGCGTTTAATTTATGTTTATAAAACTCCCCAGTGCCAAATCCTATGCATGTTTATACAAGAAAAGATGCTACAACACAAGGATTTTCCAGCCAGCATATTTTTTTCCCATCTAAACATGTGTAGGATTGGGCTCTTAATGACTGTCTTAATAGTCCTCTTGATCCTATGTCTGTGTATGTGTTTTGAATTAGAACTGGTGCTGAAGGTCAGAGTTCAAAACCGTACTCTTAAAGAGAATGATTTCATTGAAATTGAATTGGACCGCCAAGAGCTGACTTACAAGGAACTGCTCCGAGTGAGCTGCTGTGAATTGGGGGTTAACCCAGAACATGTGGAGAAGATAAGGAAGCTTCCCAATACTGTATTAAGGAAGGTAAGATCCTCAATTTCTTTTAATTTTGTTCTAGTTCCTTAGTTTATTTGCTTATACTGGACCTGTAAAATTTGTGACACACAACACTGAATGTGGTTCATGCATTTTGGCCTGCTTCATGTTTAATATTTCTCATCTTTTTGGAAGTCCAAAGAAGTCAGCAAACTGGAATTTTTTAACCTGACCTGCCAAAATGCATAGCCACTGGTTTTGTTTAGCCTGGTGGATGGCAGGTTCTGCTGGTCTATATTGCTTAAGCTTAAAATTGCTTAAAAATGTTTTAATAAATAAATAAAATAAATAAATAAGCATGAGCGTAGCTTACAGAACTTCTTGCAGCCTGAAACTAAATTCTATTCAGATATGCTCTTTCTGAATATACTGTATATTTAATGTACCAAACCAAGTAATAGGTAACATATTCTAGATTCCTGTGTTACGTTTGACCAGAGGGAACTTCAACTAGTTGTTCCTGAAACATCTGTGGCATCCTAGAAACCAGAAGAAACTGCCCAGAGAGCTTTGGTTATTGGGCAGTTTAAAAATAGAATAAAGAAATATAAATAAAAGATGCAAAAAAGAACTAGAGGCAATGGAAAACTGGTGCACCGCATCTGTTCCTGTTTGTGAGGACGCTTAGGAAACCTCCTAAACCTGTTTCTCTTCAGTCTAGTGGCAGCAGGTAATGGGATTTTTGGCTGGCACAGCATTTCCTAGCAGTGAGGTATAATTGAGAACTTTATTAAAAACTGGCAGTGAGTTCCACAGAAAGCTATTTTTAAAAAAGAAAGATAGGTGGCTTAAGCCCAGTACTGTCTCATCACATCTGGTAACAGAGGAAGGATAACTACAGTGTTTCTTTCACATGTAGGTTTTAGATTAAATTGATATTCATTGACTGCTATATCAGAAACTGTCCAGAAAAGCAGGACTCTTTAAGAACATGTCAAACTGTCAGAAATGTGGTGTTTTCTTCCATATTATGATATCAATAATTTTAATACACAATGAAAGAGATGGCTATGCTTGGAATTTCTGGGAATAGCTTCCATATAGAATATATGGAATTTATGGAAGCTGGGAATAGCTTCCATATAGTCTGAAGTGTATGATGCTGCTTGAATCTAGGAAGCTAAGCAGGGTCAGCCCATCCAGTTTGAAATTTGGATGGGTGACTTACAATGGTGTGAACTGCCCAGACAGCTTTGGCTACAGGCGGTATAGAAATGTTATTAATAATAATAATGTTAAGAGGGTATTAAGGAAACATTTTCTTCCATGGCTTCATTATTTCCAGATATTTTATGACTCTACCTTTTCTATAAAAAACTTATTACGTGGTTTTTAGAAATCATTTGAGCAGAGGTAGTAAAGGTTGGGTATAAACATTTTAAATGCGAAAAAAAGCTATTTTATAATCTCAAATGCTTCAGTTTATTGAAGAGAAACAAGAGTAGTCTGGCAGGGGGGAATCTTTTCCTCATAATTTTCACTTTTTTCTGGGCCTTCACATCTCTGATTGTTAGTTATCAGCATTATTATCTGACATTTTTAGAGAAGAAATATTGTATTCCGCAATCGAAAGTATGGCTAGTGTTATATTTTATTAACTCTTTTAGAAAGCAAATTGATATATCTAAGTTCCCATAGTTACTGAGCTTTTTCCACACAGGAACTGTAGATAAGTAGATAAATAAGACAATAGGTTACTCAGTGGCCTTTTTTCTTTTCTAGTGATCCATTAATTTTTGGCATTCATATTTGACAATGACATTTTGATGCTAATGTCAAATATCAAATCTGAGTCACAATAAGACTTCGTTACATGCTAAATAGCAGTTTAAGTTACTGCCAATGTGTATGTGGTAATACAAATTGGAGTCTCTGTTAAAAATGGCTACAAGCCAAAAGCATTGGACCCAAAGAGTCAATGGAGATTGATTGATTTTACTCTACTGGATTTTTCTGATGCCATTGATATCCCTTTCATTAACAACAAAATCTGACAGCTATGTTGCCACATTCCCACTCTTTCTCACTGTGAGTCCACACAGTAGGGGATGCGCATATGCCAAACTGCAGCATGTCCTGTCCTGTGCTGACTTGTACTGGATGCTGCACACTGGGGGGAAAACAGATGTAAAGAACGGGTTGCTGTGCCTGTTATTTTGGGCAGAAACTTCTGCTTCAGAGTCACTGTTCAACATGTGCAGATAAAATAACTGGTTGGAATTGCTTTAAAAATGTGGTTATAATATTTCATATTTTAATTTAATGCTTTAAAGGTGATTTTAATCATTATGTGTTACCTGCTTAGGACTTTTAATACTTAGAGGCATAGTAATATTAGAACTATTATGATGATTATTAACATTTCTATACCACCCATAGCCAAAACTTGCTGAGCAGTTTGCAATAGTAATCATAGAATCATACACTCAAGTCACCCATCCAGTTTCTAACCAGGCCTGACCCAGCTTAGCTTCCAAGATTAGGAAGGATCTGGCACTTCAAGCTATATGGAACCTAAATAAACCAAAATAGATAGGCAGTAATGGTAGTCAGATGCTTCTATATATGTATAATCTATTTTTCCCTCTTGCCTATGTGCTGTGCAGTGGAAAATAGGTATATCCCAACCACTTTTAGTGTAATAAGGATGCTATGCTATGTTATCCAGGGTTACTTTCCATGACTTTTTTCTCCATTGCTCTTAGTAGATATATCCATGACTTTCAAGGATGATATTTGGCCCAGAGGCATTCCACATAACTATCACAACCTGGGAGAGATGATGTGTCCTACCTTTTAAAGCCCAAATCCTTTTTCAGAAGCTTCTTTGTGACTCTCATTGCATTTGCAACCTAATATAACCCACAGATTAGGAGAGAATGACATCTAGTCTGTAAACCATACAGATTTCATGAGATGCTTGTTGTAGCATCTGTGTTAACATCTTATTCAAATTATAACTTTTAACAAAGTCTTCTAGATAAACTGACATATTAGCTAGCACAAAATAAGTGTTGTCTTCTATTATTCTCCATGGAACAATTGAAAGTACAACATTTAGAACCTGCATCTCTAAATAGTTTAGGCATTCTTCATTCTGTTGCAGATGTTTGGGTGGATTTGCAGAACTGAAAACCAGTGTGGTGTAGTAGTTAATCCCATGGGACTGGGATTGAGGTGATCTGGGTTCTAGTTCCCATGGGAACATAAATAAGCCATGCTGGATCAAACCAAGCTCTTCATACACATGGTAGCAAACCAGCTGCTCACAAGAAGCCTCAGGGAGAATGCGTGCAAGACCTCCTCCTGCCCAGCTCCTCAGCAACTGGTATATGCAGACATGCCACCCATGGTAAAGGAGGTAGCACATAGCCAGCAAGGCTAGTAGCCACTGAGAGCCTCCTTCCTCATGAATCTGTCCAATCCTTTTTTTTAAACTATCCAGATTGGTGGCTATCACAACTTCCCATGGCAGCAAATTCCATAGTTTAGCTACACTGTGTGAAGAAGTACTTCCTTTTATCTGTTCTAAACCTCCCAGCAGTCATCTTCATGGGATAATGTCTCTGTCTCTCTGCACCATGCATTATTTTAAACACCTTTATCTTGTCTCCACTTACCTTTTTTTAAGCTGAACAGTCCCCATTGTCATAGTTTCTCCTCATGGGTAAGTTGCTCCAGCCCCCTGATCATTTGTATTTGCCCCCTTTATTTTTCCAGTACAAAGCCCCCTTCTTTGTACTTTTTCAAACTCAATAATGTCCTTTTTCAGGTAAGACAACCAGCACTGAATACAATATTCCAAGTGCAGTCACGCCACAGATTTGTATAAGGGAAGTAAGATTTTATCAGTTCTGTTTTTTGTTCTATTCCTAATCATGCCTAGCATGGACTTTACCTTCTTCCAAGTGGTTGAGCACTGCCGACAGTCACAGACTCTCATCCCAACCTACCTCTCAGGGTTGTGGTTATGGGGATAAGATTGAGAGCAGGAGGAGGAGCATGATGTAAGCCATTTTGAGCTCTTATAAAAAGGGAGGATATAAATCAAATAACTGAGACATTTAACACTGGCTAGCCACAGCGGCTCCATCTTTCTAGCTAGCAAATTTTGAGCAGCTGCAGTGATATATAGGGCTAACCTACATGACCAGCACAGGGTATTTGGTGCGTCGGTCTCATCTTCTTGCAGTCCTAAAGCCCTATCTGGCCACATTTTTCCAGATGTACATTTTGGGTCTCCTCATAAATATTTGAATAACTGTGTTACTTCTTTCCTCTGTTGTGTTTGTAGTTCTTCCCAATTTTGCCTAAGCACACCCATCATTCTTACATCCAGCTTTTTAAACAGTAATAGCGAATTGCAATGGCCCAGGACAGATCTCTGTGGAACATCATTTTGTTCCCTAATCCAAATGATAGCAATCCACTAATTGCTACTCTGGCTGAAATCCACAGCAACTGGCATATCCTGAAAATAGCTTTCCAGGCAACAGTATTCCTGCTTTACAGTAGCCTGTTCCAGTTCACCCCTCTTCAGTGTACTTGTCAGACAGCCACATGGAACATTATCAAAAGCCATGCTGGAGTTGAGATAGCCTAGCTTCACAGTTATTCTAGCTAATTGAAGCGACTTACCCTGCCAAAATAATAACTTTGTCTGGCTTTCATTGTTGTTCCTAATAATCCTCATCTCATTCTTTCGGAGAGGGGTGGTTCAACTTGGGTGTCCTGCACTTAGTAGGGGGTTGGACCGAATGGCCCTCTGGCCCCTTCCAACTCTACTAATCTGTGATTCCATGATGATTATTTATAGTAATTTGTGACTATGCAAGCCTTCTAGCTATGTTCAGAAAAGCATAAATTCTACCATCTTCTTTCAGCCCATATTTACAAATACTGTAGTTCTCATGCCACTATTGTCTTCCTGAAGACAATGTGGCTGCTCTGTAGTAAGCAGAGTTTATAAGCATCTAATATCTGGCTGGATGTTCCACATCTAAGCAGTATTTTATAAATAAGCCACATTGTCTGAGGAATCAATACTTCACATAAATGGCTTCAAATAATTGAAATCTCTGTCCATTCTGCATCCTATTGGAACAAATAGACGTTTACCATGCCACTAGAACAAGAGCAAGACATCCCTACACTATTCACCAGTCACACCTATCTCATCCTCACAAACCTATTTAACTTCAACTGGCAGAGCTAATCCAATTTACTGAGGATTTGCTTTGTTGTTTTTGAACCCTTTGTGAGAGAGAAAAATAAAGCCTTGTTTTCTTTGTTTTAACCACTTCGTAACATCTCATTTTATAACCCTCTCTTTGTGAACCTGTTTGAAATGCGTATCCATAAAATTAACTGCATTTGCAATTATTCTATTCATGCTGAACTAAATTATATCACAAAGTAATTCTTCTTCTTGAAGTTTCTGGCTCCACACATGCAGCTATGATTAGATAAACTGATCAGCTCTTTAGGTGAACAAGAACAAGGGCGACCAAATCTCTTTCTCCACTTCCTGAACCAGTAGTTTGCATTATTTTATTTTTATTATATCCTTCCTTTTCTTCTGTCAAGGAACTCAGTCCTCCTCTCAATCTGATCTGCACATCAACAACCCCGTGAGGTAGATTGGACCGAGAGTCTCTGTTGGTCTAAAGTCACCCCATTAGCAACATGGCTGATTGGGGACTGGAATTCAAATCTCCCGAGTCCCAGTCCTGCACTTTAAACCACTACACCACATTGGCATTATCACTGATTTTTTGGCTGGACAGTGTGTACAGAGTAACAGACATTCACTGTGCCCTTCTGCCACATGGACGTTTGTCCAGATGGATTGAGGTTCAGAACCCATGAATGTAAGTAATTTGCCAGCAAGTATCATTGTCGTATGAGACATATAAGCGTGGATGTTGTTGGAATCAAAATTAATCTGAAATCACTAGTGTGAGCTACTTGCTAGTCCTGGTGTGGTAATGAGACATGCAAGAATATATATTCGTTCACATATGCCAGGGATTCCATAATTGGATGGGGAGGCATACTGTTCTCTCTTCAATGTAAATTCAGGTCAAGGATGAAAAGATACAGGCAGTTCTTGTTCCCCTTTGGACCGTGTCTCTTTTCTTGTGCCATACTAAGGTGGTAATTCTGTGTACACGTACCTGTGAGTAAGCCTTATACATAGCAGAAATTTCTTTTGAACAAATATGCGTAAGGTTAGTCTCTTTGAGCATCTGTTTTTGTAGAGTTCAAAGCAGTATGGGGTATGCTTTGTCATGAATAAGAACCATCCATAGTTAGTTAAATAAGAAACTCAACTAATCTCCTAGCTGCAAAGATTATTATTTTCTGTGTAATAGCTTTAAGGCCCGGCCCAACAGGACCAAAAAACTGGGTCATGAACCCAATAACCACAGATCTTATTAGATCCAGACTAAGTTTAATTGCCACTGAAATCAATAGGATTTCACTTAGTCATGACTGTCATTTCACATTGATTTCAGTAAGTGCTAAGTGCAACTAAATTACTCTTTCATCAATGTCTTCTTACGCTGCCTTGGAGCTAAAGTGCTGAGGGCCAGTGGAATCTCCCATTATTCACCAGCCACGGGGCCAATACAGTGTTGTAACTCCTGCCTCCCAGGAAGACTCATCACGAAAAGGAAAAAACAAACCTGGCTTCATCCCTGAGCTAGTGAAGACACTGCTGCTTCAGTATGTGCTTTCCTTTCCTTTTTCCTTTTGTGTAATGTCTGTTAGGTCGTGAGCCTTCAGGCTGACACTATTTTATATTTCAGTATGTGTACAAAGCTTAGCAAAGTTTAATAATAACAGCTACACCTTCACCTAATGTTTACTAAGCATTGCACACAGACTGAAACAAAATAGTCACTATCCACAGGATAACAATTTAGAAGACATGGCACAAATGGAAAAAGACAGGAAAAGGAAAACAAACAAGCTCCTGCTCCTGCTGTAGTTTCATGGTTCTTATCAGGGCCAATTTGAATGAAAACAGTTGAGGAAGGGGAGGGCCCAAATGGCAACGGGTCTCTGCGCCCAGCTGCTGCTCTGTGTTTCCCTCTGCTGCAGTCAGGTGGAACCCCAGAACTAAATCTGCAAGGTGTAGTACAGAAAGGTCAGCAGAATTGCCACATTGTGGGAGCATGCATGCCTTGTATGGGCCTGTAAGAATTGTCTCTAATTTATTGTATTTACTTCTTTAAGGACAAAGATGTCTCAAGGCTTCAGGATTTCCAAGAATTGGAGCTGGTTCTATCAATGAGTGACAATGACTTTCTCTTTAGAAATGCTGCACCAACTTTGACTGAAAGGCCTTGTTATAATAAGAAAGCATCAAAGCTGACTTACTAATTGCTCAAATGAAATACCTATCACTAACATTTAAATGTTGAACCTAGGATTTTGCAAGGGCTATAACCTCAAATTCTTCTTTACCTTAGCAGACAAAGTTAAACTAATTTAGCATTCTTACTTGAGAGCAAGTTCAACCAAAAGCAGTTGGACTTTTTTCTAGTCAGGTGTGCTGAGGATAAGGTTGTCACACAGTAGTACCTGTAGCTAATCATTAAGTAAACTGGCAGTGAAATGATATACTAGGATTGGATCCTAAGCAGTGACAAAATACTGTCTCTCCATGCAGCAGTGTTTCTTGCAAGGGAATGATTTCTTCTCAGAATACTGCAGAGTTAGAAGCTCTCAGGGAAAGACCGAAATTAAATTGTTGTAGTAATTGCTACTTATTAAAAGGAGCAGGCACACTAAGGTTGAAGGACAGAACCTGGAACACATTTAATGCTTGTAATGGGATGCTTAACAGTCAAAGATTTCTGGTATGTCTAACTAGAGCCAAATGTGCTTTTTGAAAGGAGCATAAGCTGTTTTTACAGGGAGAACAAAAAGAGGAAGGACAAACCTGCACTTTCAAAAAATAACTATGCCAGTGTAGTGTATCTGGCCAATTTCCGTGTTATGCTAATACAACATCCTTTGGAAACAGTATATTGCAAATGTGTCAGATATTACCCATTGCGGTGCAGCTGATGTTAGAGGAAAGCCTCTCCCCACTAGCCTCACTGCTACTACTGGGACAAAGTGGCAATAAAGTCCCAGAAGGGTGGAGGACTATACAATCCTTTGCCTTCCCTTTTGATGGTGCATTGGATGCTGCTCAGACCAGTTCCAGATGCTTGGTCTTTTTAGGAACAAGGTTGGATTTTTGGCAGAAGCACAAGAGTTTTTTGGCTGGTGTAAAATTCTCTCCAGGCAATTAAACGGGCTGTGATTTTTTCAGCTTGGTGCTCAGATCAAATATTTGAACGTAGTTCCCCATACCACAAATATGGAGCAGATCAAAACTGCTAGGCTGCATGTGACTAACTTATGAATGATTATCAGTAAACAATGCAGATTGGTTGGTGATCTCTAATCCTGTTTCAGGTTTTTAACTTTGTTTTTGGTTAAGCTTTAAGGGGTTTTCTGAAGGATGATTAAGATGGCAGCTTTGCTCTACAGTCACATGTGAAATGAGCACAATACCCCTTAGCCGCTAGCCTTTATTTTCTTTTTTCCTTTAGTCTTGGAAGTTTTACTTGTTTAAAGGAAAGTCATCTTGTAGCATTTTAAGTGGCAGATTATTTTTTAATACCAAGATAGGTAAGATAAAATCTTGGGATTGCTAAGCCTTGTTTACTAGAGTTACTTGCATTTCATATAGGCATGTCCAGCTTTTCATCATCGTGCAGGTTCCTGTTCTGTATAACTACTCTGTAACAAACTAGAATAAACAAATCCAGAAAAGCATGGAATATAATAATGCTCTTGAATAATAAATAATCTACCTAGTTTTAAGATGTTGTGTACTAGTGCAGGGATAACAATCTAACTACAGCCTGATGAATGTAGGCTGCAAGTTAAATGGACTAGAGCTAGAGACTTAGGAATTCACAGAAGAAGTATTCACTTGCTGATTTCAACACCCTGAAGTCAGTGCTCCTAACATGTAGTTTGGGGTAAGTGTATAGGAGTACTGTGAGTGTGATCCTAGCTTTGAGCCATGGCTTTCTGAATAACCCTGCCCAGTATTACAAAATTAAAGGCAGCCAGAAGGGACATTTGTGTCCCCAGGCATGCTAGTGGAATGACATGCACAGAGCTGGTCATCCAACTTTTTCAGGAAAGATCTATGATGAGAATGCTAGTTTTTGGCCTGTTTCTTCTCATGGATCTGCAAAATCCACAAGGTGTAATCTGTTTATTTCATTCATTCACACACACATGGCTATCAGGTCCAATCCAAAAAGTGAGGGCTGCCATCTGCTTCTGCCCAGCTGCCGGAATAATTTTTCCAGTCACTGCCACCTATTGCTCAGATACTGACCTTAATCTGCAAGGAATAAAAGGAAGAAGTGCTTCTCTGTAAGAGGGGAGTTCCCCCCCTCTTGGCAACACCTCTCTTCTTACCTATGTGCACACTCCCCCTCCTCTCTGGCAGAGAGAAGGAAGTATCTAGCTCTGGATTTCTAGCCTTGATCAAGGGGTTTGTTGAGATGGCTTACAAGCCCCTCCAACTCTCGTGGTCCTGGCTACTTACCACTGCTGTCCCAGAGTGACCAACTGGCAAAGCGAGTTATTCACCAGGACTCTGTAGCATTAATTCCCGAAAATGTGTAGAGGCACACTTCATTGGGCCCTGCCCTTCTCTTCTGAGACTACATATGGGGCAGGCTGGCAAAGAGTGCCCTTCTGTGCAATTACAAATTTCAGAAACCAGGATCTTTTCTGGCTTTCTCCAGCAGCCCATTTATCCCAAAAGGGAATGGAATGAATGATGCTACTAAGAGGGTCTTTATTGTTTAGCATTAAGCTAGCTGCAGCATTCAAGAGGCTTACTGTACTGTACCTAGTAGTATATATCAGGGGCACAGATTAGAGTCACCCCTCTAGAAGTTGAGGCTCTCCTCAGGGCACTGGATGTTACAAAGGTGCCGGGCCCTGACAGGTTACACCCAAGAGTACTTCAAGAGTTGGCAGGGGTTCTCTCATGCCTGCTGGCCTCCATTTTTGAGACCTCATGGAGAATAGGTGAAGTTCCAGAGGCCTGAAGGGTGGCATCAGTGGTCCCAATTTTCAGAAAGGGTAGTAGAAGGGACATGGGGAATTACAGACCAGTTAGCCTTACTTCCATTGTAGGAAAAACAATGGAAAGGCTCATAAGAGAGAGAGATCTAGTGATGCTAGATAGGGAAGGGAGGTTGGTGGCCACAACATGGCTTCTGCAATAACAGGTCCTGTCAGACAAACCTTGTGGTTTCAAGGTGGCTAGATGGAGGGGATGCAGTGGATGTGGTTTACCTGGATTTCAGCAAGGCCTTTGACAAAAGTGCCCCATGATATCCTGGTTGATAAAGTGAGTTTTGGGATAGACCAATGCACTGTCTGATGGATTAGGGCATGGTTGACTGACCCGAAAGCAGAGGATAACCATTAGTGGGGAATCATCAGGATGGCAGCCAGTGACAAGCGGGATCCCCCAGGGGTCTGTCCTGGGGCCGACCCTGTTTGATCTTTTCATCAATGACATGGAAGTAGGGGTTGAACAGTCTGCTAATAAAATTTGCAGATGATACTAAAACTGGAGCAGTGGCCACAACTGAGCAGCAGCTATTCCAGAACTGAAAGGATTTGGACAGACTATGGAAGTGGGCAGGGGGCAACAGGATGGCATTCATTGTGGATAAGTGCAAGGTCTTGCACTTGGGGCATAGGAATGGGTGTCATAAGTACAGGTTAGGGGACAAGTGGCTGGAGAGCAGCACTTGTGAAAGGGACCTCGGGATGCTGGTTGACTGCAGGCTAAACATGAGTCAGCAGTGTGATGCGGTGGTCAAGAGGGCGAATGCCACCCTTGGTTGCATAGCCAGAAGTGTGGTTTCTAGATTGAGAGAGGTATTACTGCCACTCTATATGACTAGGGTGTGCCCGCAACTGGAGAATTGTGTTCAGTTTTGGGTCTCTCGTTACGGGAAGGATATAGCCAGGTTAGAGTCAGTGAAGCGTAGGGCCACAAGGTTGGTGGCCGGTTTTCAGGGGAAGCTGTATGAGGCAAGGCTGAGCGAACTGGGTCTTTTCAGCCTGGAGGAGACTCAGAGGGGATCTGTTGGCAACATACAGGTATGTGAGGGGGTGTCACATGGAGGTGGGTAGAGACCTGTTCTCCCCTGCAGAGAAGGGCAGAACGCGCTCCAAAGGAGCCAAGCTCAGGGAACCAAGGTTCAATTTGGATGCCAGGAGGTACTTCCTGACAGTTAGGACCCCGAGGGCATGGAATGGACTTCCATGGGAGGTGGTTGAAGCCCCATCGGTGAGGGTGTTCAAGGATAGGCTAGACATGCACATGGTGGGCATGTCGGGAGTGGAGCCGGGGATCAGACTAGATGTCTCTTCTGACTCGCTCTGTTTCTTTGTTTCTATATTAAGCCTCTTCCCTGTCCTGTACAGCAGGAGTGGATAGCATGACCCTTCCTGTCCCTTTTGTGCCAAACCCAATTGATTAATTGAGCAGTATGTTTCCATGTTCTCTCAGCTCTTCTGGCAGAGGGATTTAAACCATTCTGAGAGCTCTATGCTAATAAACGGAATATAAATGCCTAAATACGTAAATAAATATTGTCAGATGATATTTAGCTTTAATGATCCTTGTTGGTCACATGCCCAGGCTAGGGCTTAAACTATAATCACTGTGATTAATATAATTAATTAACCACAACATTGTAAAATGTGGCTTTAAAATCTGAGCTGCCCTTTCTGAAAGGGAGCTCGGAGTCAATGGTGTTATTGTAAACAATCAATCTATATGCATAGCTCTTGATTCAGGCAAGATTAGGATCTATACAATAGATGGTTTGCCTGGATTATGTCAAGAGAAACTATTGCCATCATTAAAATACCTTTGTTGATACCGTAGCAATTAGATGGATTTATAACTTACATGTAAATCAGATGACTAAAATTAACTATGTTAATAGATAAGCCATTTAAATTTCTGGGATGACAATATTGTGAACTCACTTGTATACATTCAAGATTAAAAAGAGTCAAATACAATGAAAGTGTTAGCAGACTGTGACATGAGCACATCCCGGACCTAATGTATTGGTATGTATAATACTACCTGGGTTTAAACTTTGAACCTCCATAGGCTTTACAAGCACAGGTCTTAGGAAAATGCTGAATGTCTGTGAACAGTCTGTGACATAGCCTAAGCTTTTGGAGACGTAAGCTCCCAATATAATAGCATGACTCCCTGTTAGGATGGATTCACTTCACCTTTCCCAGCTTTCCCACAACCTGGTGCACTCCAGATATGTTGGTCTACAACTGTTAACAGAGGAAGATGGGAGTTGTAGTTCAGCACATGTGGAGAGTAGCAGGTAAGGGACAGTTGCTCTATACCATAGATGTTTGGTTTGTGTGTATAGAAATAAATGGAAATATTGCAAGAGTCCACATCATCCATCTTCCCCAACAGGTGCCAGATTTGGATAACATATTTTAACTGGCATTTTTTTTCAAGGTTTAAAAGGCCCAGGACCTGTTTGAGGAAGGGGCACCTTAACTCTGATTTTGCAAAGCATTTCAGTGTGTGCCTAAAATCAGTGTATGTATATGCTCGGCTGCTCTGTATGTACTTGAAGGAAAATGTGCTTTTCTGCTATAAGATTTACCTTAGAAAGTTCAGCATCTTTCAGGAACAAACTCTTAAAAGAGGAAGACCCCAACTGAGCACAGATTTAGTGAGCTTAAGTGTACCCCACACAGTGCTGGATTGTAACTGCAAAGGTTTAGGCTTCTCATGCAGAAGCAGATATTTCCAGGAATCCAAATAAGTGGGTAAACAAACTGACATGCTCTATTGACTAGCCATAGTATTACTTAACATATTACAAGTCTTGATTATACAGCACAGTTGCTGGCATCTTTCTATGCACTCAGAGAACTATTTTTGTACTGTATAACTTATGCAATTTATAACAGAGGATTTTATTAGCTTTGCTAACCAAATTATTAACCTAATAACAACTATATACTTCTTTCTAACATCAGTGGATATAAATGATTCAGGACTTCCTGCATTGCTACATAAACAACATGGTTAAAATTAAGAATTAACCAAATGGTTTAGGTGTAAGATTGTTTCCTATGTGTTGTATCCTTTTTACACTTAATAAAATTTTGTTGCCTTTCACATGTGGGGTGTTTTTTTTTTTTTGCCTGATTTCATTTAAATAATGTTAATTGTGTGCTTTCCCTAGTTGTCCCTGCTGAGAGTAAAATTATGAATTTGTTCTTTTGCCCTGAAGATTTTCTCAGGAACTCTGCCACTGTTTCGCACACAGTCATTACGGGAGACAATTCAATAACTTGTATGCTTTATATGGAACAGCCCTTAAAGACTGAGAAACTTTAGCTGTCCAGAATATGGAAACACAAATATGGCAACATCATTGAGACATCTACAGTGAAGTGAGAAATAGCTCTAGTTTTTGCAGGCGAGGTTACCAAGCTAAAGTTAAGGTACTCGTGTTAACCTTTGAACTGCTTTACAGCTTGGGGTTAGAGTTAATGACCCCAGCAATGATGTGAGTCAAGGAATGAGGCTGTTTTTCTGGTACCAGCACCACTGAAGGTAAAATTGCTTCCCATTAGGAACAGGCACTTTGGCCTACTGTAGCATGTGCAAAACCTTTCTTTAAGTTAAAACCCCACCAGTAAGTCTCTCTCTAGAAAGAGTTGGTCATCACAATTTAGTTTTTAAAAAGGGATCTACAGGCACACAGCCTCAGTTGCTGGGTCAAAGGGGGGAACCACACAGACAGAGTTTTTCATTGGTTCAAATATATAAATGCAGGCGCTTCCTTCTATGGGTGTGTGGTTGCAGAACCTCTGGAGACCCCCACATCCAGCCCACTGAGGCTTCTGTGGGCCCCACCTCCAAGGCCCTGCAAGCCAAGCCCTGCCAATACTGGGTGTTGGCAGGGAGAGAATACCTACGATTATCTCCAAAAACAGATTAGAGTTGTATCGGGAATTACCCAGGGCCACAGGGAGATGAATTCTTGCTGTTATCTCAAAGCACAGAAGGATTCCACTTCAAGGCACACTGTCTTTCCAGGTCTGGTTGCATCTAGCTGGGTTGGGAAATTCAGATTAATTTTGGATAGTGTCCCCTTTTTGTGGAGTGTGCTCCTATTAGAAATATATTGGACTCGCTCTACCAGGGACTGCAAATGCCTCTTCTTTTTGCCAGGCCTTTAAAGTGTATGTGCTAAAGATATATTTTTGGAAAACAGCAAATTTTCTTTAAAAAATTAAATATTTCACTGCTTGTTCTTGGAAACATCCCCCAGCTACCCTTTTCTTTGTTGCTTTCCACATAACTGAAAACTGATCCAATGAAATACGACTGCATTTTTTGTATCACCAGGTGTAATTTACTAGAAATAAAACAGAATACAGTTAAGTGCTATGCATATGTATGTGCACATAGTACACATATATTCACATCCATTGTGTCACCAGGATGTTTGTCAATTAAAAAAATACTTCAGTATGTAGAAAATAAAAATACAAAATTAAATTTTCTGGTCCTCACAAGTTTGCTCCTGTATCATAATCTGGTAGAAATGCTGTTTTGAAAAGTACAGTACATTCGCATATTGCTTTGGAGTTTAAAAAAAACCAAACCCACACCCCAATAACAAGTCCTTTGATGATATGTAGGAACTATCCTGTTATGCCAATCCTGCATCTTTGGCCATACCATAGAAAATTCCTCTGGATGCTATAAGTCTGGAGGGTGTGTCAAATTCAGCAATTGTTCCTTTGTCAAGAACAAGGACTCTGCAAAACAAGAGGGAAAATGTTTATTATATTTCAGAAAAATACCTTTCTGAAGAGAGGTAACCCTGATCGAAACCTCCATTGTCACACTATCTGGCATTAATTGCAGAATCCAACAGCTTTTATAATTTTACAAGGACCTCTTTCTCACCTTAAAAAAGTTTATTTCTAATTGGTTTGGTGGGAAGTAAGTTTACAGTGCACAAGAACTGAATCTGGGATCACATTGCATCTCTCCCATAAAATTTGCTGCACTATCTTGGGCAAGTCAGACCCAACTTCACTTCTTACCTCCAGTACCAGTGCTTGTCTCATAAAACTGTTAAGAAGGTTAACAGAAAAAAATTGCAAAGCATTCTGCAAAGATTTGTACATGAATGGTAAATTTCTGTTGTTTACATTTAAGTTTCCTCTGTAGTATTTTGAAAGGACTGCTGTCCCTGGTCCCATTAGCTGAATAATGGCTTGGCTGCAGATGAAGAACACCATTCCTATTATTTTGAGTGTGTTTCCAATAGGAGCTCTACCATTCCTCCCAACTGGGTCTCCCCATGCGCCTCCCCTATTTCTTCCCTCCAGGCTGCTGAAGTCTACTTGATGACTTTGGTACTGCAGGGTGGGTGACCAAATGAACAGGCTCATCCTTGAGACAGATACAATGAAATGCATGATTAAATGCCTTCCAGGAAAAAGGGCAAGGGCAAGCTGCCTGCTTCTCCTCCCTGAACATTCTGCTGTTCTTTATTAGTGCATATTGCCCACTTGCAAAGAACCAGAAGGAAAAGGAGTTAAGAGCAGTCACCCCAGCCTGTCACATGAAGCAGCAGATGGAGCTGTTTACTCATAAGTAGATCCGCCGTCAGAATTCCAGCCTGCTGCTTGACAAAGAGTGGCTGCATCCCCGCCAGGCAGCAGACATGCTCCTAAGGCTTTCCTGAGGTTATCTATACAGTTGCTGCCAGGAACAGCAGAAGGATCATTTCCTCTACAATGAGGGGCATCTTGCAACAAAGCCAGGAAGTGCTGCACTAACCAGTGACCATCCAGGATATGGTACAAAGGCATCACGTATATTCTAGGAATAGAAGCTGGTGCAAATATATGCTGTTTTGTTTGCAGTAGCCTGCTTATTCCTGACTGGGTGATCATCTAGATCAGGGGTCCTCAAACTTTTTCACCAGGGGACCAGTGGAAAGGTGCTGGTGCTGGGCGCGGTCAGAAAGGTGGTGCCGGTGGTGTGTGCGGGCCGGCGAGGGGGCGGGGACAGCACGGGCGCGTGTGCGGCAAGGCGGGGGCAGGCACACACTGTGGGGCGGGCACACAAGGCTGCGGCTCGCTCGCTTGGAGAGCGTTTCCTCCGAGCGAGCAAACCGCTGCCTCCTGCATGCGCGGCGAGGGGAGGCGAGGTGCAGGTGGGCGGGCGCACACGGCAAAGGGAGGCGAGGTGACGTGAGGGCCGGCACGCGCTGCCAGGCGGGCACATGAGGCAGCAATGTTTTCTCTGAGTGAGCAGACCGCTGCCTCCCACATGTGGGGTGAGGTGGGCAGCAGCAGGTGTGCACATGGGCCCACGTGTGACGGGTCCAAATGGCATGGCGGGCCGGGTAAGTGGGCATGGCGGGCCGGATCTGGCCCCCGGCCCACAGTTTGAGGACCATGATCTAGATTATCTCTGCCAGTAAGTTGGCCAAGTATATTGCTCCAACAGACTTGAGTCAAATGGTCTTTAAAGATGTTTTCCCAAAACAGGACACAAGACTTAAGCCTTGCGACCACTCTGATTGTGGAATGAATTCCAGCCCTGCATGAGGGCTTCCTGAAGAAATAAGACAGGGAAGAAGTAAGCTAGCCAATAGGCCCTTAATACAATATTGTTTATGGAGAAATGTGAAGATCATTCTGCTGCATGTCCTTACCTGGTATAATCCATGATTGTGTTCAGTCTGTGAGCGATTGTTAGCACAGTGCAGTCCTCAAACTGTGTTCTTATGGTCATCTGAATGAGGTCATCCGTTTCAAGGTCGATTGCAGCCGTCGCTTCATCCAGAATAAGGATTCTTGTTTTGCGCAGGAGAGCACGTGCCAAGCAAACAAGTTGCCTTTGGCCAACACTGGGAAAGCAGGTGGAAATATTTTGTTTGTTTAGTGGCCAGGTCAGGCTGTGGCATGGAAAAACAAACTCCGACTGAGGTTCTGTGGGGACACATGGCTCTTGCAGAGCCATATCTCTCTTATGCATTCACCAGTAAAGTTCAGAAAAGCAGAATGAATACGTTGACTCGCTTTGCGCAATCACAAGGGAGAAATAAGCCAGGGCTTATTGCTGCCACTGCCGCCCTACACCCACCCTGGTCATGTGCCGGGGGTTTTGGATAACTACCCTAGACAGAACTGCTTGTTGTGGCAGTGAGCCCAGCCAAAGTGGCTTGTTGAACATGATGGGGACTACTTTTTCTGTAGCTGTGGGTCGGCGGCTGCTACATGTTCCCTGTAACATTTATAATTAAGTGCACAATACTACACGTGCTGAGAAATTAAAAAAAGCATGAAACATGGCAAGGACTTACAGGATTTTTTTGTCTAAACATGGATAGGATTCCACTGTAAATAAAATATTTTGATTCTGTCTTTCCTCAGAAGGCCAAGAATAATAATTTATGACAATGCCACTGAAAGATTAACTATCATATAAAACATTATGTATAAAAGTTCCAACATTTAAAATATTCAACCAAAAGCCCTCCTAAAAAAAGGGCAGACTTTGCAATAAAGTACCCTCAAGAGAGCTCCAAAGCTGGGGTGCAGCTATTCAAAAGCATATTTATTCCTGGTGCTGACCAAATGTGATCAAGTGGTTTGGGGGCGGGCATAAGAAAATGGGAGGAGAAATGGAATAAAATGGCTGGAGAAGGAAGGAAAGATAGATGGGTAAAAGGCGTAGGCAGAACCATCCCATAGCCTGGATAGGTCATTTCTAAGTTCAAATTAGTGCACTAGGGAAGCACCGGACAGGACAGGAGCTTGTGCTGCAGGGTTCCATTTATTATATGTATTCCTTGAATGGTATGTGAGTTACCTAAGGTTTTCTCCTCCTTCTGCGCATTCATAATCCAGCATAGTTGGCTGACTGCTAACAAACCTCTTCAAATGGGACAGTTCAAGAGCATTCCATATTTCTTCATCAGAATATTTATTAAATGGATCCAAATTCATTCGAAGTGTTCCAGAAAAAAGAACAGGATCCTTAACAAAACAATCACAATTCTGTTAGAACACAACTCTAAAGTCAAGTCATCCAGGACTATAAAGAATGCCTTTCAGTATTTCTTAGGCAAATTTTAATTCACTAATGTGATGAAGGCAAGTCTTTTCCCGTGGCCTGGAAGATCCTAGGATGTGATGTTATACCCAACACATGTCTGATTTCTTTTCATTTCCACAATCCAGTGAGCCACACCCTTTACTGCTTCAGGGACACAAGACAGTCATCTGAGCAACACTTGAGTCCCATGACCTTCAGGAATGGAAGCCAAAGGTCCTACCATTGTGCCATCAATTCAGCACAGTTTCAGCCTCACTAACCACATTCTTATCTACATTGAGGTGATAATTACCATCCACTATCAGGAACCATGTTTTGTACTAAGGCTTGTTCCAACCTATGGCAAAAAGCCCATCTCAATTGCAAAAGTACCACAATGACAGGATAACAAGAGGAAAGGGGTTTCCCCTGTGTAAGAATCTGTTGCTAGCTTGTCATCTCCTGAGTCCTTTGTAAAACAGTTGCACTGTCCAGGTTGGTTGTTCTTCTATAGGGGTGTCCTAAACTACAGGCTACAGGCGTCTCCAGACAAAAGATTTGTGTGGGAGTATATAATCATTACCAATTGAATGAACACAGACAAGACAATATTCACTGAGTTACACGTAGTACATTCATTCCTGCTAAAGCACATTTCCTGCTCCCAAATGCCTTTCCTGGCAAAGTAACTTCTTTCCCGCTGCAACCTCAACTATTGTAGTCATCCTTACCAGGTAACAAGAAACGAGCACTTCAGCAGCCCTGCACTGAGTTTCTACCTCTCTCTCTAACAGGTCATACAACACGAGTTGTGTCTTGACATTGGCTTAGACCCAATCCTTTCCATTACATGGTGATGAGAATATTACACCGTTTGTGCTGGATTTATTGATTCATTTAAAATATTTACATGCCATCTTTAAGGGTGAAAATCCCCCAAGGCAGCAAGTGATACTATCATTATAATTCTGCATTTATACCCTGCCTTTTTCCCCTCTTGTGACAAGTCTGACATGGCCTACACAGTTCCATTTTATCCTCACAACTACAGCTCTAGGAGGTAGGTGAGGCTGAGAGTGATTGACTGGCCCAAAGTCATCCACTGAGTTTTATCACCAAACGGGGACTAGAACCTGGGTCTCCCCAGTCCTATACTCTTAACCCTTTTGTAACACTGGCACTGTAACTTAACAACAAGAAATGCCTTCTGGGGTGGAGTGTGCAGAAGTAGATAACTATGTTATCCACTAAAAGCTCTCAGCACAAGGAATGGACAATTCAGAAGATAAATCTGGAGGGTTAAAGTGCACAGTGGAATGACAAAGTTGCTACCTCCTCCTCCTCTGAGTGTGCTTTTGAGACAAAAGGTGTAAGAACAATTTGCACCTGCTGGATTTAAAGTGCAGCTTAACAGGACTTGCCGAGAACAGTGCTGGTCTGTTCTCGGCACAACTCAATTGACTTATTTTCTTTGCTCCCCAGCTCATGGCTACCCCATTTCAAAGCAACGGTTCTAAAGCAAGGCCATGGAATTACTAGGCTTGAACTGATAGTCTGACCTAGCCTGTATGCGACTTGCTTTACAAAAAGAAGCAGTTTGCTGTGTGAACTGAAAGATAGCATCTCTCTCATGCCCCACCTGAGGAATGATAGTCAGCTTAGACCTTAAGTCATGAAGGCCAATATCTGCAATTCTCAGCCCATCGATCTTGATTTCACCCTCCACGGCCTCTAGGATCCTGAAGAGGCAGAGTGTCATTGAAGACTTGCCAGCTCCGGTTCTTCCAACAATCCCAACCTAATACATAGACATTTAAAGAATTGAGGACAATATTCAGTTAAAACTCAAGTAATGGGTCCACTAGAAGAGGAGGAAAATATTTTGTAAGCTCAGGTGCAGGGTTGCAATGTATCCCTAAAGCTTGATCAGTTTATGGACAATGTTCTTTCTCTTCATCTTATCCCTGAAAATGCAGATTTACAAAGACTATCACTTACCTTTTGATTTATTTATATTTCCATTCATTTCATTTATTATATTTCTTTATCACCCAACAGCCAAAATTCTCTGGACAGTTTACAAACATCAAACACCTTAAAATACAATACTGGAACATTATATAAACACCATTTCCATATGAACACATAACCACACACACATGTGCATACACATACATACTGTATATACCTATAAATGATTTTTACCATTAGCAATAAGAAATCTCAGGACCCTGCTGAATTTTACTAAAATGAAAAAGAATGGTTTTACCCAATGGTGTTCTTCTGTTCCTGGCAGGTTCCTGAGCCAGAGGAAGCTTCCAGAAAAAGCAGGAGGTCATTTTCAGAATCTCTCTTTCCCTTTTGCATTAGCATAATCACCTGGTTGCCGTTACCCAGAGCAACAAGGCGTTCTGGCTGGGTTCACCTGACCTGGCCAGCCACAGGTAATTATGCCAATTCCCACCCTGATAACCAACCAACACACAAGAAAGGGAAATAAGCTGTTGTGGCTTTTCCTCTCCATGGTTATGCAAACCTGGTCAGTTTGTGTGCTGTGTTATGATATACTGTCCCTCAATTTTGAAAATCACCACCACCCAGGTCTAGGTGGAACTTTTAAGTCCACGCCAACAGAAACACAAGAACATGCCCTGCTCTACTGCTAAATACGGCCTCAGATACACTGAGAGAATGCCAGTCGCCAGTCAGAAGCTTTGCAAAAATACAGGACGTTGTATGAAAGGTGCAGTGACCTTTCCATTGTGACAGTACGATACATAAAGATCACCACTTCTCTCACATATGAAATGTTTGCGCCTAAGTACCAAATTGCCTATAATAAAGCAGAAGATACGTTTAGCATTCTGAAGCGCTCTTCAGGAAAAAAAGTGTGGTAGGGAATGTTTTCCACCTGTAAAGGTATATTCTGTGCCTCACTGGCATTCTCAATAAAGTGTGTTCTAGTACTCCTTTCTACGCTTTATTGCATCTTATTTTGATTAGTGAATATATATTTGCTCCGCTTTTTGCTCATTTTTCTCCCACATCTTCATTACGGTATCGTTGACAACACCATTTCTTCTGCTTCTCTAAATTGTACAGCCCTTCTCCATTGTTCTTGCTATTTCTCCCTGTTTAACCATAACCAACTTTCCAAACGACTCTAAGCAAACCTAAGGATTTGTGGCTGCAGAACCTGTAGGCTCAACAAGAGCAGGAGGAGGGCTGCAGCTCGGGGCTGGGACGCCTGCTCCAGCCGCAGGAGGCCCAAGGTCCAAGTCCCCAGCACCATCAGGTAGGGCTGGGGGAGACCCCCACTGGGAACCCTGATGAACCGCAGGCAGGAGGGAACTAAAGGGACCGATAGGGCACCTCCTGCTGCTGCTGCGTGTGCACTGGGCGAAGCAGAAGAGCTGGCGTGCGTGCTCCGGTTACGGGCAGAAAATGTAATTCCATGGAGGGCAGCGAAGCAGCTTTATGGAAATCATACCTTCTCTCCGCCTTTCACATTCAGGCTGAGGTCTTTCAACACCAAGTCCAAGCCTTTTCTATACCTTACAGAATAGTTTGCAAATTGCACTTCCCCTTGGGTGGGCCAGTCATCCGGTGGCCTTTTGCCTTCAATTATCCAGGGAGCCTGGAGGGTGGGTAGAAGAGAGTTATATCATCCTGCGTTAGCCCTATGGTAATAATTCTCATATCAAAGGTAGTATAGTATAGAATAGTAATAGCTCATCAGCAGCAGGGACTGACATAGACCTCAAAGGCACATTGCTTGCTTGGGGAATCATGTAAAGGGTGACAAAGTGCTGCTCCATCGTATGCCGGCCACTGTGTGTGCACCACCACCAAGGATGAGTTGCACAGATGATGCGAGCATTTACTGGTCTGTACAGTAGGTACATCACAACTTGTGTGACTAGATGGTCACACGGTGGACACCACTATCTCTTCTTTCCACCAGTATTATTCCACTCTATGCAAAGTACATAATCTTTGAAAGGCTTAATCTTTGAGAGATGTGTGTGTGTTTGTATTAAATGATATCAGAGATAAAAATATAAGTAGCATTATGTCTTTAATCAGATCTGTTTCCTATTGATAAGCAATCATGAAAGCTTTCAAGTTTCATATCTCTCTTCACTGGGGCAGAATGGAATGTATCAACTATTCAAACACTCAGGGAGTGCATTGCTTGAAAGCATAGATATTTTTGAAATAACAGGCAGATGATAGTCTAATTAGTAGGGGTGCAACTCAGCCAAAGACACACACTTTTAAATTCCATTTGTATCAGGGTAGAGCTGAAAATACTTAACTGAAAATCAGGTGTCAAAGTACTCAGCTTTGACTGGGACAGATCACATCCCACATTCTCAACGCTCAATAGTGCAGTGTCCAGCAAAGCACACCTATTACCTGTGTGACGTGGTTAATGTTGATTGCATTTGTGGTGAAGTCTGCTGTTTCTGCAGCATTTGGATTCTACACGAGCAGTCATATAGTTTGAAAACTTGCATGGTATTTTACCAAGAAAGTATATTAGGACAATTTGCACAATCTACATTTAAAACAGAGCACGTGCCCAGGGCAGCTTGCCATGTTGTCTGAACCCAGGCAGCATGGCTGGTAGGAGAGGGAAACCCTCAATAACCCTACAAGAATCCATGGGTTACTGCAAGGTTATTTCCCCCACCAACAAGCTGCCTGGGTTTGAGCAGTACAACTAGCTGCACCTGGGTGGGTAATTAGGGAAATTGTGCCCTGCACATGTGTGGCACATGCTGTGATTTACACAAGTGAAGGTGACTTACTCTGATCATGAGAACCAGCATATCTGTCTCAGGAGTGCCAAAACACCTTGCTTACAGAACACAATCAAATTACACAAGTGGTCTATAAGCCAAATACCCTTCATTAACAAAGGTGGTAGTTCATGCTTATGTATTAGAATGGATTTAGAGTCAGCTACAGCACTAGGAATTATACATTGGTGTTACAACCCACGTAAAGGAAAAATGCATTTAAGCCTAGCTAGTGAGAATGAAACAACTTGTTTCTTAACAACTTGTGTTTCCAGAAGGAAAATCCAGACTCTTAGGAGCTCACCTCAGTTTCAGTTTCTGAGTATTCCTTCACTCTTTCTACAGCCACGATGTTGCTTTCCAGATCAGAGGTCATTCGTACCATCCAATTCAGAGACAGTGTTACCTGTGCAATGATAAAAATGGATCACCTGCTTGAGAAGAAGATTGTGGCTACAAAAAGTGATGGAGGAGAAGTTAAAGAGAAGGCAATGATGATGTCATAAAAGGGCAGAAACATGGGTGTCTTTCACCGCTGTCCTCTACCTCCATCAGCTCCTGCCTCCCCTCCTTCAGGAAGGCCAAGCCGGAGGGGAGAACTCGGCCTCTAAACCAGCAGTGCTCAACTTTTTTTGGCTTCAAGGGCTGCACACAATGCTAGCATCACACATGCACAAGTGTGGGCACACACAAATAATATCTCGGGGACAGAAAGTGGTGAATACGGATATGCGGCTACAGGTTGGGGGGGTTCAGTGCTGGCCTCAGGTAACTATGGTGACCACAATAAAGCTGTGTATCCCTGCTCTAGACCCTGTAGCGATCCATGCTTACAGCTGCAGCATTTGGATAGGCCTGATATTCCAGTATCCAAACTTATTGCAAATTTCTATACGAAATGAGGATGCAAACATTCAGTAAATTACACCACCTTCAGTACTATACTTTCAGTGTTCCTGAAACTTTCTAAGGGAATATTATACACTATGAAGAAAATCACTATTTCTTACATTCCATTTAATGTAATTGCATCATGTCTGACCTTATAGCTTTGCCAATTTAAATGTGTGATCCCATTCTAACTTGGGATACAGATTCAATCAGTGTGCCTCTCCTTTCCACCAAATCAACATTCATAGTTTTTGAAGCTGGGAGGTACAGCTCAAATCCTTTGATCTGATGAGATGCCTCAGAACAGGGCTGAGAATTTCACAAAGCAATTTCCTTATCCAAGATTGCAATGCACTTTTTAGCACCAAACCCAGTCTTTCTCTTCGAGATTTCTAAGCCACAATAATCCATCACGATCTTACTAAAGTTGATGGCCTTGCTCCTTATTGAAAGGGTGCTTAAGTCCTTGGCAGATTGCCCATGCTGGTGGCTACCCTAATATGCCATCCTTAACTAAATGCCCTTCAGGGGATAGGATACTGGAGACAGTGTTAAAACTTTAGTTAGCTTCTCGTCAAATACCAAGAGGCCTTGGCAGGCCTACCTGGAGATGTACGACAGTGAAGAGGAAATTAATGGTTTGATTATCTTCGCTGCCTTAACCAAAGCAAACATTCAAAGGCACTGCTTGTGCTGTTTGTCACGTTGCACAGAGTAGAACGAATTACACATGAGGACTTTAATATGAAAAGAATTGATCAGACAAGTGATGCTTCAGTGCCTTCACAAAAAGTTCCCTTTTGTTCCTCGTGTTGTCCTTCCCATTTTCTTGCATTTCTTACCCCATCTGATCCATCTTTCCCCGGTTCTAATTTTCCCTCACAACAACAGAAGTTGCAAAATGGAAGTTGCATAAATGGAAAAAAATCCCATTATAATAGGACTCTGTTCCTCTGCTTATGAGTTGTCTTTCAAAACATGTTCTACGCACCTGTAAGGCATAAGATACAGAAAGTCCAACCAGGCCAGGACTCAGGTTGTTTTTACTCAATACAGCAAAAAGGGCTGCAAAAAATACGACACAGTTTCCTACAAATTCAACTCTAACACCCAGCCACCTATTAAATGAGAAAATACAGATGTGTTAGTGTGGAGTGCAAAAGAAGAAAATACTTGTTAGCCAACTCAAAAATTAGAAATAAGATTTATTTACTTATTACATTTCTGATCTATCCAAAAGCCAAAGCTCTCTGGGTGGTTTACGACAATTAAAACCATGCAATACAATATGTTTGTTTAAAGGCAAAATTCTATGTACATTTAAACAGGAAACAGTATGACCATTCCCATAGCTAGTTGGGGTGTGCTGGGCATAAGACCTTAAGCTACAGTAGAACATTAAAATAAATCTAAGCTTGTTTTTACCTGTTGGATACAATCCCAGGATAGTAACTTCTCTGATTGTCATTCACCTTTGTGTCACTGATGTAAACGAAAGACTTCTCTCTTTTGTAAGCTCGGATGACGCTCGCTCCCGTGACAGTTTCCGAAAAATGTGAGTATATAGGGGATCTGCTAATGGATTCCAGCCGCTTTAACTGGCGAGAGGTAGCTACATAGAACCGCTGGTATTATTCAGTTCAAAGGCATAAAGATTAAACAAAGCAAAACCTTACTTGACTTGAAGCATTAGTACATCATGCCACAGATGTACAGCACACCCTTGGTGTGAGAAAGTGGAGCTGTACATAATCCCAGGATCTTTTCTCTGAACTCTCCCTCTCTCTTTCTCCCTCCCATTCTCCTTTTGAAACCTCTCGACAATTTGGGATGGATCAAACTTCAATGGCAGAGCTTTTCCAGGGCTGTACAATTTTAGATCTCAACAGACCTTTGCATGTTTAAATGCTCCAGCATACAAGCATCCTGCCCATGGTGAACCAGCATGTCAGGAAGAAGACTAGCCTTCTGTGAAATGGCAGGAGCGTCTTTATGGGGATGCGATCGATTTTATGGAGGAACATTCAAATGCATGACCCCCACCAGCAGCCTGAGGTGGTGTCATTTAGAAATTATGAACTCCCTCCTTAGGAAGGTAAGATTAGCCCCTTCCTTGTTTTGTCACTGGTGGGCAATAAGATTCTGTTCAGACTGTCTTGGTTTTTAAGGAATGGCAGTTGCTTTTATTCTGGTGGAGGTTTTGGGGCTCAGTTTGCTTTATTTTAAATTGCCTTGATGTTTGTTTTGTATACTACTTTGAGGATCTTATGGTCAAAACGCCATATATCTATGGCCTATATCATCTGTCTGTCTGTCTGTCTGTCTGTCTGTCTGTCTGTCTGTCTGTCTGTCTATGAAGTGATCTGGACAGACAGACAGACATAAAACTATGGGTTATATGTGGGAAGCTCCAGATATCCTCTCAATAAGCAAATGAGCATGGATAGGAATACACTGAACATGGGTTGCTTTTGCTGCAGAAAAGAATGTCAACTTCTACATTCAGAAGCAATTACAGCCAATGTCTAGGTACTTATTGTGGCTGCCATTTTGGAAACTGGGCAATATCAATAGAAAGTTTATCTATCCACCTTTCAGTAAAAAAATAAAATCAGTCAATCAGTGGAGTGGCCCAAACCAGAAACGGACTTATTCTCCTCTTACCTGGGCAAAAAAGTACAGGATTGCCAGCGGCACGATCACCACAGCAAAGAGCGGGGTGCTAACTATGATCACAAGCATCGTTGACACCGAGGTAAAGAAGGTTCCCAGGAACATCAGAATAGTTGGCGGGATGACTTCGTCGATCACATAGATGTCCTTAGAGAAGCGGTTGATAATGCGGCCAGTTGGCGTCGTGTCATAGAAAGACTGTGGGGTGTGGAGCTTGTTCTCCAGCAGGGCTGCATGGAGAGTGCGAGCCGCTCTGATGCCACCCAGGGCCAAGGTGAAAGAGGAGATCAGCACCAGGAGCCCTAAGGAAAATGGGCAAAAGAGACAGGAGGCGCTGGCTTCAGTCCACTGTTGTGCCAGCAGACTTTGGCTCATGCGGCTGGACCTTCCCTGGATCTCCTCACCCCTGCATGTCCCAAATCTACTGCAAAGGGCCTCAGACCTTCGAGAGGCGGCACAGTGGCTGAAGGGCTGAGGGGAAATGGTCCTACCAGTGGTTTCCATTCCCCAGGGTTGGCTACAACCCTCCGAATTGCACGTGCTTCTGCTCCCAAAGCAACCTGACAATTTCTCTTTCATAAGAAACAATTCAGACTTCACCATTTATTATGCAGGTTTCTAATAATTAATTGCAGGGGAAACCTCATCTTTACAACTTCACAGTTAGTTACGCAAAAGTTTGTATGCAACTGATGTTGCAGGATTGAGGACGACTGTTCTAACTTGTTTATCTTTTGCGGACCACAACATTTTCTTAACTTTGTGATTATCATCACCAGAGTTGAGGGACTCTTAAAAGGCCTCCAGTTAAACCTCAATCTTGTGTTTGGTCACAGTCCAATAAACATTGTGTTCATGGTTCTCTCCCATGCATGCAGATTGAATCTATTGAACCAAGCTTCAATGCATGCATGGGAGAGAACCATGAACACAGCCCAGGGCTTTGGATGCATCCGTCGGGACTGCCCTGAAACTCCTGCGGCATCAGTGTTTTCTCCTTAAGGAGAAAGCATCAGATACTGACGAGTCACCATTTCTGTACCACTAGGAAACCCTCCACCAACACCCTCATCAAGGCCACATGAACCCACCATCTTCCATGGAGAAGCGGTAAAAAAGGACAAGCTTACCTTGCAAGAGACCCAGGGCAGCATAGACGCCGACTCGCATGCTCACATTGTGCTGAGTGTGATTTATCACGGGGTCATTGGTCCAGTCGCTGAGCCATACATTGGCCCCAATGGAGGCACCGTTTTGACAGGCATACAGGAAACATATAAATAAGGAAATGAAGGGGCCAACTGCCTTCATATATTGCCAGAAAACTGTCAGCTTGACCTGCAGTTTGGAATAAAGCGGGTTCCTTTAGATTACAAAGCTGATGCCTGATTCTCACAGAAATCCTAGCAGCTTGCCAGAAGCAGATTTTTTCCAGACAACCAACTACGAACTGAGAAACCATATAATCATATAATCACCATATGCAAGCATTTCCAAAAAATACCCCAAGGAGGCTATGGCAGCAATAGAAAGGGGTACAAAACAGATGCCTCATATTAAATAAATTCTGAACTATTACAGAAACTATGTCCACACAGGATTCCTTTTTCATGAGGCTACACAAAGCAGATTCCACCATGTCCCACCATGATGCTTCTTGTGTTCATTTGTGTTCCTTGTCAAGAGCAGTGATAAAACACCAGGGAACACTTCTGTATATCTACTTATGACCGATCTTTCTTTACCCCAATGAGACTACAACAGTAGCTTGTTAGGAATTATTCTTCCACCTGGGCACACGTTCTATCGCAAGGTTCCATAATGCAATACCGTGATGCTGTGACCCCAAGTGTCTACTTTTCAGCTGGTGCCTACCCTAAACCTAAATAAGTATTGTGAGCATAGGTAAATGCCAGCTGATTGGTGCTAGTCCACCAGGTATACAAAGCCCCGCATCCCAGGAGGACGGACCATCAGCTGATGCCGGCGTGACACACACTCATATACTCCAACACACTGCGCTTTTGTTTGTAAGGGTTCCTTATCTGCCTATGGTCTTAGAAAGGTCCACATGGTCTAGCTCCTTGTTCCCATGCAGTTCTTCTGGTTTGTTTATTTGGAGGTGTGGAATGAGAAGAAGCAGAATAACCTGAGTTGCCAGCAGTCCTAATTAACATAGAGGGGCATCTATTTTAGGAGGCAGAGTGATTGTTCAAGACAATTCAGTTTAAACCTTGCTTCCTTTCACCCCACTGAGAACTTTGGGAAGGATTACACTGTTTCTCTTCCTTTCCTGGAAGAGCACTGAGAAAACGCCTTTCTGAACTATCCAATGTCTCGCACTGTTGTGCTGCTGTTTCAGGCAGCCGCTGTTCCGCTATTCCACATGCCTCATAACAAACCATCATGTAGGAGACGCGAGGCTTCCTCACCGTGCCTGTTTCAATGATTTCTGCTTGGATTAGTTTCTCAGAAGGACCTTTCTTCGGGACAGGAGGCTCGGGTGGCTTTTTCTCACACACCTTCCTTTTTGTTGACATTTTGTTAGGGCACTCCCCATCGGAAGAGATGACGCTGAGTTGCCTAATTTTCAAAAAAGGAGGAGAAGGAGACCCACCGTGAGCTAAGCGACTGTTCCGAAGGATGAGTAGGTGTGTTATCATTTGCGCGGTCAGGGTAGTGCCTTTAAAACAGGCTCTGGGTTTACCTGAGGAACTGTTTGCGGACTTCATTTGCCACTGGTTCACTATCTGCCAGATCTGTGTGGTTGCTGAGTGTATCTTCAGCAAGCAGGACTTCCTCATCCTCCACTACTGCAAAGCAACAGCAAATCTTTAGCTGCTTTGGGCTTTCTGCTGACTAGTCTTCTAGCAAGTCTGTGTAGAGCACAACGTCTCCTAAGCTGCAAAGAGGAAGAATCGCAAAGGAAGTGCAACTCTGTGGGGAGAATCAGAGGCTTCGGCATACTTGGGCCTCTAAGCAACCCTGAGAGTTGCATCTGACGAGCAGGTGCAAGGTTGCCAGCTCCCCTCCACTGAATGGGTGTAACTAGGGTCCCATTGTGTCCCCTCATGTGACAGCAAGGAGCCAAAGGGACATGGTGAAGCGTGGTTGCCGTACAGATCATCCTTTCAGGCAAGCAATGGGAGAGACGGATGTTGCTGTGGCACTTGTCCTAACCCAGTACCTGAGCATGATAGTTGGATAAACACAGCGCGTAGCGGGAGGCAGGAGAGCCTAGTTATAGGGAACAGACAAACAGGGCGCCTCACTTCGCTTCCTGGCTGCGGCCCTTTTCCCTGGATGTCAACCGAGCAGAAAACCTGACAAGGCCAGACTGCAAACAGTCTCTGGCCCATTTAATTTCCTTTCTGTGGCAAACTTGAGAAAGAAAACAGTGTCTTCAGTGCTAGGTAGCCTTGCTCCCTCCTCTATCTGTTTTTTAAAGAGCTTCATTTGTACATATATGGATTGCCCTTTGATGTTCTTTAAACAAAAACACAAGCATATTTTAAATACAGTTGCAAACTGCCTCTGGCCATTTAATCTGGCAAGATGCGATTAGCAGAATGATGGTTTTGGAAGACCAATGAGGAAGATGGGACTCCTCACTTGTTGGCTCATCTTCTTCTATGTCTTCATCGGGGGCATAATTGTGGAGAAACTCTGCAAAAGACTGATTTTGCTTCAAAAGCTCCTGGTAGGACCCCATTTCGGAGATTTTACCATCCACAAGAACCAGAATGTGGTCCACCTGAGGCAAAAACTGGATGCTGTGGGTGACCAGAATTCGAGTCTGAAAATGGAAACAACACAGCAATCAGGAGATACCTTGCTAAATAAGGCAGGCTAGCACTAAGACGGGTTAGGCTGCTTGTCATCAACTGGATAGCTACCGTGAACTGTCCCTGGCAACATCTGGGCATTTGTGACTTGGAGTAAAATTAAAACGCATCACAGGGTATGTGAAAAGGCAGCCAAGTGGAAACAGCAAGCACAGACACAGTGGTAATGGGAATGAAAGGTGATACAGCAGGTGCAGTGGAGGACAGCAGAGGAGAGGATGCTGGAACCAAGGCGGGATTGAGGGAAACATCCCCCCACACCCAAGGACCCGTCCCAGAAGGAGGTACTGGTGCAAAGAAGATGGAATGAACAGCAGCAGGAAATAAATGCTCCCTCCAGAGACCTGGAAAGCAGACCTCAGACACCAATGGGGGAAGGAGAAACGGACATTCAGTTCAAGAGCAAGAGGATGTGGGGGTGTTCCAGGATGGTGGGGGTGAGAGGAACAGCCTACATATCCCACCCTTAGTGCATAGCCTATAGCAGCCTTCCCCGACCTGGTGCTTTTGAGACAGGGGACCACAACCCCCAACATCCCCAGCCAGCAGGGGGCCATGGAGCTCATTTCTAACCCTCTGAGAGCATCAGTTTGGGAAGGCTGATGTACAGGGCTAGGTAATGCAGCTCTCTCCACCCGCTGCAGATGCTGTTTGTCCTCTGAAGAAGGAAATACTTGGTGCGTGTTTAGCGAACGCAGGATGCGCTCCTTTGCACCAGTGAGAAGGAAACTGGAGCTCAAGGGACAGGAGTGCCACCTTTTCCCTTCTCATGATGGATACATTCACTACCATTTTAAAGGGCTACAAGGGGGCTTGACTGGGTCCCCAACTCCCATGCTCCTTGGGGGGGTTGCGTGCCTCCAGCTCTCCAGTGCCTTCTATACGCAGGTGGTCCGCCCACATTCACTGGGGGTGGGTGGAAGGATCTTGGCACCCTTCACTTTTGTGACAAGACACTTAGCTCTCATTTTACAAACAGCTCTGGGGCCTGTAGATTTCATGAAGAAGTCCCCTATCCCCCCTCCCCGCCACCTGAATTGGAGCACTGAAGCACTGAATTGGAGCACAGCTGCAAGAATGCACAATTTGAGATCTTTCTGGGCTCACTTTTCCTTTAAGTGTTCCTTCTGGTCCAATAACGTTGTCAAAGATGTGTTTGGCTACATGTGAATCCACAGCTGAAAGAGGGTCATCTAGCAAATAAATATCGGCATCACTGAACACGGCACGGGCCAGGCTCACTCGCTGCCGCTGGCCACCTGAAAGATTGATGCCCTGTGGAAAAGGAAAGCACGTCACCACCCCACGTTTCTCAGCTCCAGCAAGAGCAAACTCAGCAACGGCCGCGTGGCCCATTTGGGTAACCCCCCAACCATTCTGCCACGGCAGAGGGAGACACCATGGTGCCCTTTGGGTGTTTGGACTACACCTCTCATCATCCCTGCCCACTGACTGTGCCCCCTGGGGATTATGGGAGTCGACATCCAAATATACAGAGGGAACCAGGCTGCTTACCCTTCTAGTATAGATTTTGGAGGAAAACTGCCTCTTTAGATCAAAGAGGGGCGGCTGTGGAGGGTCTTGGGGACATTATCACTCCCTGGACCCATCCATGGGTATGTTCCTGCTGCTGTGCTGCTGACTTTGGTGGCTGCACTAGAAAAACCTGGAGATTTGCTACCAGTTTTGAAAGCTATGTGTCATGCCACTATTCGGTGTGGTTGCAGTGACAGCCAACAAAGGAGATTCCTACATAGAGACTAACACCCCGGGCGTCTGGTTGCATCAGTCCAAAGCAGCCATGTCAAACCTCCACTGGACTGAGCACAGAATCACAGAACAGTAGAAATGGAAGGGGCCAGAAGGCCATCAGGTCCAACCCCCTGCTGTTGCAGGACTCCCAGGTACACCGCCCCTCTCAGGTGGCTGTCCAGCTGCATCCTGAATGCCTCCAGCGTGGGAGAGCCTACAACCTCTCTAGGGCACTGGTTCCACTGTTGTAATGCTCTAACAGTGGCCGGAATCTGGCATGCAGTAACTTGAGCCCGTTATTCTGTGCCCTGTACCATGGGATAGCCTAGAACAGATCCTATCCGATCATTAGTCACACTATAAAAAGAACTCTCTAAGCATAATACACCAGTCCAGCCCCCTAAGATCTTCATCGGAGGTCCTTCTTTGGGAGCACTCTTTGAAGGAGACCAGAAGCGTGGCTACCCTGAGAAGGGCCTTTTATGTGGCAGCACCCCGGCTTTAGCGCCTGTTCCTCAGAAAGGTGTGCCTGGTCCCAGTGCTTTATTCATTTCGGTGCCAGGCCAAAACCATTTAAGGTTTAATGCTGTTTTAATGATTGTTTTTACTGTATATTTATATTCTATTTATGTGTGCTGTGTATTGTTTCACCCTCCTGAGACCCTTGGTATTGGACAGGCTATAACTACTTTAAATAAAGAAACAAACAAACGAGCATCTGCAGCAAGACACGTTTGACTCATTTTTCAAAAGTGAGAGACTGGTAAATGGGGAGGCTGAAAGCAGTCAAAGGAGTCAAATCTTTCCAGGTAATTTGGAACCATAAACCATAAGAACAGAAGCCTGGCTAGAACCATGGACCAAGACAGGTACAATCAAGAGAATGCCGACTTGTTTAATAACAAGCTTCAAGAAACAAGAGGCTCTCTTGTTGTGCAAGTCCAATCCCTTCAAATTGGCTCGCAGAAAACCTCCCAGGAACCCAAGCTTTGTACCCCCAGTATAGCACACATTTTGCTCCTTCCTTCCTTTATGATCTAGACCACCCTTTTATTTCTTTGGAGATAAGAAAGGCAACCATCAGGCAACCATCAAAGTCTACATGCAAAGGTAAGCATAAAGGCCGTACCTTCTCACCTATCTCCGTCTGGTCCCCTCCAGGAAGCATCTCAAGATCTTGCTTCAAGGCACATGCCTCTATGACAGTTTGGTACTTCTTTTCAGTATAAGGCTGGCCAAACAAGATGTTATCCTTCAGTGTGGCGTTCTGGATCCAGGCTATCTGGGGCACATAAGCAACTGAACCCTACAGGGAGTTACCCAAACACACATAGGAGGGGATCAGTTTATATGCCACACAGAACACAAAATTCTCTAAATGGATGCAATGTTCTCTCGTGCTACTGTAAACCAACCTTCACAGCTACCTCCCCATGGAGTTTTTCCATTTCACCAAGAAGAGCAGACACCAAGGAGGACTTTCCACAGCCGACATGGCCAACAACGGCCACCAAAGAACCACTGGGGACCAACCAATTTATGCTGTAGGGACGGAAAAGGGTAAAACCAGGACGGGCACATTTGCCAACAAGCAGAACTTGTTAATGCAAAGTTAATAAAGCAAAACTAACTTTAAGGGTTCTGTGGCATCTTAGCTATTATACTTTTGGGTATCTTCTGTGCCACAGCCTGCTTTTTCAGACTTTTCAGATGCAACTGAATCATTGTTGCTTTTGTTGCAACAGATGATAGCTAAGTGTCTGCAATTACTCATAATAAAAGTTCCAAACATGCCTTTCTTCCTTTATGTGCTGTGTTTTTGCTTAGCAAGAGTTCAGTGCAACTTCCCCCCAAAGACCCCGTTTAATCAGCTTTTCCCAGTAATGCATATATGGGCTAAGAGACAGCAAACAGTGACTGGGGAGTGAACAGCTTCAAGAAAGGTAAATGGAGAAGAGGTCACAATGTCCGTGAGTCTAACAGGCTACTGAGGGTGCAATCCCCATAGCAGACACTGGCAAGCCCCTACATTTGCCCTACACTTGCCAGCATCCACCCTGCTTTTTATCCATCGAGATTTAGTGCCAGGGAGTGGGAGGGAAGGAGGCTGGGGCTCTGATTTGAACAGGTGCATTTCTGTGGCACCTCTCCTCTTTGTCCCCGGACAAGCCCCTTTTCTCTCTTCACAGCCGAGATTTGACCCTGAGGCACACACAGGGCAGCCAGCGCGGTTCTTTCCACTCAGGATGCAAAGGGTCAAGGCAGGTGCTCAGCCTTCAGACCCTGAAGAGTTCTGTGGTCTCCCCGATGTCTTCTGGAGGCCTTGTGATGGCACTCTTACAAAGTAAGTTGAGAGTGCTAGGAGATTCCATGGGACTGGCTATCTTGTAGCAGTCCCTTGAGATATATGCCTAAAAGTTTAGGATTGTGTTCCTGCTGCAACTCATCACCTTCTATATTATGATAAACCTTGGCTTGGACAACTACCAAAGCTTCTTACAGAACAATTTCAACACCCACAGAAGTTTAGCTATGCTGACTTGGACCTCTGCAAGATGACCACGTGCCTCCTCCACCCTTATGTTCCCAGGAGGATTAAGCACACAGGTTGCCAGCAAGGTTTGTTCAGGTTTACAACTGCACAACAGCAGAGAAGGTGTGCTAGAAGCCCTTCCCCACAAACATAGCAAATCTTGCAGTTAGTGGGATGAAGCCTTAATGGCTGCTTATTACATTTTGTGAATTTGGTTTTAATGTCTGTCCCTTTTGGTGCTTTTAAAATAATAAACAAATAAAATTTATTACTTAATTAATTATTAGATTTATATTCCACTTTTCCCTATGAACTCAGAGTGGCTTACAACATTTTCCTCCTCCCACTCTCAATCTTCTCCCCACAACAACCCTGTGAGGCAGGTTTGGCTGAGAGTCTGTGACTGGCCCAAAGCCACCCAGCTGGCTCCACGGCTGAGCAGGGACTCAAACCCAGACTGAGTCCCAGTCCTGTGCTCTCAGCTACTACACTATACTGGCTCTCTAAATGTAGCTGTGACAGCATCTGAACAAGCCATAATATGTGGGGTGGCAAATCTTCCTGGTGCGTTGCTGTCTGAACTGGAATGGGAAGAAAGAACAAGATGCGAAGGACTTGTGTAATTGGACCCAAGTTGAATGCAGTAACATGAACGACTGCGTTCAGTAAGCAATGGGGTAAAACCCACCAAAATGGCTCCTTCACCACTGTAATGCCATACAAAGCAGCCCTCAGAAGCTCCAGAATTTGGATCAGGCTATGGCAGTCAACTAATGGTTTGCATAATTTCTATGTTGAGCACATAGGATGCAATCGCTTACTAAAAGTGCTGCCCATCTGTTTGCCACCTGCATGACTCTAACCCAATGCCTTAGGGAAAGTTTTGAACAACTGCCCCCGTTGCTACTTCTATAGTGCATAAAAGGATCGTGACATGAATGGATAGCTCCCCACCTTCATTCTTAAAAACATCTAGCCAGTCTCAAGCATTGACCAACAATTAAGGCTTTAAAAGCCGGTCAAAGTGATGCTTAAGTTAAGCAAGAAGAATATTCTGGCTGAGGCTCACCTTCCTCTTGCCAGCCCAGCCTCTCCGACACCACTGTCTCTTGCCACTACCTTTAAAAAGCAGGGCATCCTTCTTTGTGCTTGTGTCAAGCCGGGCTCACCCAGGCAGCTCTCTTTGGTCACCTGCACCAGCACAGCGCCAGCTCCAAGCCTAGAGAGGCTGCAACTCTCAAAGGTGGTCGCTGGCTGGGGGGGTTTCGCTCTTCAAGGTTCCAGCTGCGTGCAGTGCATGCTGTGCATCCTGGATAACCACTGCTCTTCCTAAATCATGGTCCTTTGTGACTGATGGATAAGCAAAATCACTATTGTTTCAGGAGGGGATGGAAACTACAGGGAAGTCTGAAATTGCCCCTTGGCCTGGGGTAAGCAACTCAAATGGCAGAGCCAGTCTTGGACAGAATGGAAACAATTACATCTTTGATACAAAACAAGTGGGGGAACACCACACAACCACAGTTTAATGGTCCAGGAATGGCACACCTTTTAAAATATTGTTTGTTTCCCCCGTCTATGACAGCAGGGGCAAACCTAACTCTTTTCAAGGGAAAAATGAAGCCTGACACACCAAAGGGGGAGAAACACTTGAACATGCTGGCTGGAGGCTTGTGTTTCGTTCAGTGCCATTTAAGGATCAGAAATGGAAGGCATCAGAAGCAGAGGTAACCTGCCACTTATGCAAGTTGCTAGGCAGCAGTGAGTTTCAAACAGGTCAATAAATAACACGCACTCCCTCCTCTCAGGGCCCTGACAATTTGCTGAAACTTTTTACAAGTTTTAAAGATCAAAGCAGCAGGAAAACATTGCTTTAACTGGAGTAAAGACTGCTTACTCTTTCAAAGCTGGCTCAAGGTGCTTTGCCCAGCTGAATGTTCCATTGCTTACAGTGACGGCATACCCTGTTCAAAAAGGAACGAGAGAATCTAAGCCAACAGTCTTATACATGCATTCCTGGGAAGTCCCACTGAATTCAGTGGGGCTTATTTTTTTTAGCATCCATTCATTCGATTGTTTTTTTTTTCGCCTGCTCCATTAGCCATAAGGCTCCTTGGGTGGGGGTAGGCATGCCTTAGACTGCACCACAAAAAGCAGGAACTGGAGAAAGATGCAAAGAGCTCACATCAGCCCTCCTTAATGCCAAACATGTCGTGGGGTGAAGTGAGGGTAGATAAGCGAGGAAGAACCACTGTGAAAGCTTCCCTCCTTCTTGCCTTTTAAGCAACATCCTGTCACATGCTGGGCACAAGTCATGCTGCTGAGGTCAGCTTCAGATCAACATTTTAAACCTAAAAAAAGCACTTGGGCGAGCTGGTGGGTGCTTTTTAGAGTGCAAGAGAATTGTGAGCTTCTGCGGTTTTTCTGCAGCAGTTGTGTTTATGGAGTAAGGGGAAATACTTTAAAATAAGGGACATCTAGCAATGCTAGCTTAAATATTTATCCAATAGCAATTACTGAGAAGCATGCTTGTTTATCTCCCCTGGCCAGGCAGAGCTGTTCTCTAGAGATTATACTTCAGGGCTTCATGCGGTCTAATTTGCAGCTTCTTGGGGGCAGTTCAGTGCTTCTTTCCCCCTTTCCCTGCAAATGGAAAGGCTGTCAAAGACCAAGGAGATGCTGCTACAGAGAGGGAAGCGCAAAAACAGGCATGAAGTTAGATGGTTGCAAACACGGGGGCTCTGCTTCTGGAATTGTATTCATCATCCCAGGGGTTCCTTTCCTTTCCCTTCCTTTCTGAGACCGATGCAAAGAAAGCGTCATTTGAGAAAAGGGGAACCGCTCATGGTAAGGCTTGAATGAGCAACTCATCCTCAGCCTGCTACACCTAATGTGCTCGAGGGCTTTCCCAGATGAACATCTGAAACAACTGCGATCTTCCCTGTGCCACTGCACCATTTCTCCAGTTCCCGCTTTTAAAAATACATCCGTCTGTGGAATTTGGCATATTCGAAGCAAAGAAGGCGCACGGTGACGTTCATCACATCTCAGTCGTGTTGGCCATGTCTGGACATTACCATAAGCTGCATTCTGGAGGGGGAAACCAGGCATGCCTTCCCTGCGTTCCCCCACCCCCTCACCTCCTTTCCGCAAGACCGCAAAGAAGAGACTGGGCACCTTTGCTTCATCCTTTGATTAACTGTGGCTTGCTGTGCGAAGCTTGAGTCCGGCAAGCTTCAGTTAACCTTAACTATGCTGTGCTTGAATCAAGCAGATCGCAAGCCACCGGTTGTGTTTTCTAACAAGCTTCAGACAGTTGCATTAGGGTTTCAATCAACTCATTGCTTCATCTCCTTCTCACGCCAGCCGCAGGCTGGGCTGATTCCCATCGTGAGCAATTACTGTTGCCATGATGACCCTGCACGGCCATGAGCGACACTCCTAAGGAGTATTGTGACTTGCTCTTACGTAAACGCTGGAGGTAGCTATGAATACACAAAGGGTGCGCTTAGGTATTGCACCCTTCCATGAATTATACTATAAAGGGCTACGCACTGGATTATCAGCAAGTCTATGAGGAATAAGTTGTGGCAATTTACTCACCCTTTACTAATGGTATGTGTGAATAGCTGAAAACTGCCAGGTGTGGGCTGACTGTATGGAAGTGCTTGGCAAAGTAAGTAAAATTTGGGAGACCAGCAAAAATGTCTCCTCAGAGTTTTTTTTAAGAACATTCACCATGCTCCTTAGGACAACATGTGAACAAGAGCTTCAGTGGCAATACATTTTAACGGGGAGCAACCAGAAACATCTGTAGCAACAGTCACAAGTGCTGGTTCACCTCCAGATGTGCAATCGGACTCCACAGCAAAGCACCGTGCAAGAGGAGACATGCAGGGTTCCTATCAGATGCCTGATCTGTGAGGGCTTAAGCTCATTTGAGCTATGACTGCAATCTTTCCATACACGGCCTGAAGAGCACCTGTGCTCAGGTAAGCATTCCACTGTGAAATTTTTAGATGTTGCAATCTCCCTCCACCACACAAATGACGGCTCTCCCACCTCACCTTCCATGCTACTACGCCTGTTCAAGCAGGGCTTTACCTGGAGTAATTAGCTTGGTTTCCACACAGTTTGGATCAAGCTCATCATGGGACAAGAAGTGCTGGATCCTCTTCAGAGAAACACTTGCCTGGGGAACACAATGCCAGTTGGTGTGTGAATGAGAAAGGACCTTTTGTGAACGGTGTGGTGAGTGGGGCAGCATCCTCTGCGTTCACTGCGTGTGGCCTGGGGAAGTTATTAGCCCGACCCTCAAGCAGCTAATTTGTGTCAGTTAAAGTGGAAGTTCAGCCAGAGCGTAACAAGCTTTGAGCCAAACTGAAAGCCAAACGATGCACACAAAGGGCAGGCTCATTTGGGGGCAGTCCCAGGTTAAAGCCATCCTGAATAAAGCAGGTTCTAGTATGTGTGATTAATTTTATTTATTTATTTATTTATTTATTTAAAACATTTTTATGCCGCCCCCATCGCAACAAAGCCTAGGGGCGGCTCACAACAAAAACAAAGTTATACAATAAAAATATTAAAACCCGGTGCATCTTGGCTTAAAATTTTTTTAAATCCTACAAATAGCCAATAAATTAACACTTAAAAGAAGTTTTAAATAAAAAGGTGTTCGCCTGGCGCCAAAAAACAAATAACGACGGCGCCAGGCGGACCTCTCTGGGGAGCGCATTCCATAGGTGGGGCACCACCGCAGAGAAAGCCCTCCTCTGGGTACTCACCCTCCTAATATCATTCACAGAGGGTTCCCAGAGAAGGGCATCCGTTGCTGATCTCAAGGGGTGGGAGGGCATATATGGGCGCAAGCGTTCCTTTAGATATCCAGGTCCCAAGCCGTTTAGGGCTTTATAGGTCATAACCAACACCTTGAATTGGGCCCGGACTTCAATCAGGAGCCAGTGGAGCTGAAGGAGAACTGGGGTTATATGAGAAAAACGCCCAGTCCCCGTCAGCAGCCTGGCAGCTCTATTCTGCACCAATTGAAGTATCCGGACTGTCTTCAAGGGTAGCCCCACGTAGAGCGCGTTGCAGAAATCTAATCGGGACGTTACCAACGCGTGTGTCACTGTCGCCAGGCAGTCATTCTCCAGGAAGGGACGCAGCTGATGGATCAGCTGAAGCTGAAGGAAAGCACTCCTTGCCACCGCCGTCACCTGAGCTTCTAAAGACAGCTCAGGGTCGAAGAGCACTCCTAAGCTGCGAACCCTGTCCCTCAGAGGGAGTGCAACCCCATTTAGGACAAGGCCCAAGTCCCCCATCCCGAGACCTGAACCTCCCACCAACAGGACCTCCGTCTTGTCTGGATTGAGCTTCAGTTTATTGGCCCTCATCCAGCCCATTAGCTTGGCCAGGCACCGGTTCAGCACAGCCACTGCCTCACCTGGATTAGTTGAAAACGAGAGGTAGAGCTGGGTATCATCAGCGTACTGATGATTCCGCAGCCCACACCTCCTGATGACCTCTTCCAGTGGTTTCATGTAGATGTTGAATAGCAAGGGGGACAAAATGGACCCCTGCGGAACTCCATGGCATAGCTGCCATGGCACAGAGCCATAGTCCCCCAGCACCACCTTCTGAAATCGGCCGTTGAGATAGGAGTGGAACCACCACCACGCGGTGCCTCCGACCCCCAATCCCACTAGCCTATCCAGAAGGATACCATGGTCGATGGTATTGAAAGCCGCTGAGAGGTCCAGGAGAACCAACAGGGATGCACTCCCCCTGTCCTTCTCCCTGCACAGGTCATCGTACAGGGCGACCAAGGCAGATTCAGTGCCGTACCCGGGTCTGAAGTCAGACTGAAATGGGTCCAGATAATCAGTTTCATCCAAGAATGCTTGGAGTTGTCCCGCCACCACCCGCTCTAGCACCTTGCCCAGGAACGGGATGTTGGCCACCGGTCTATAATTGGCGGCCACCTCTGGATCCAGGAATGCCTTCTTTAGGACAGGTCAGACTACCGCCTCTTTTAAAGAGGAAGGTACACGACCGTCTCTTAAAGAGGCGTTGACCACCTCCAGGATCCAGGTGCCAATCCCATCCTTGGCTTTCTTAAGTAGCCAGGATGGGCATGGGTCTAGTAAGCAGGTGGTAGGGCATACTTGTCCAAGCACCTTGTCCACATCATCAGGCTGCAACAACTGAAATTCATCCATTAATTGTGGACTCGACAGTGTCATTGGCATCTCCTCAGTAGAATCTGGTTCAATAGTAGAGTCAAGTTTGTGACAAATCTGAGCGATTTTCTCCCTGAAATGCCTGGCAAAGTCGTCACAGCGGGCCTTTGAGGGTGGTATGAGATCTTTCTTTGGGCCTGGATGTATCAGCCCTTGCACCACCCGAAAGAGCTCTGCCGGACGACATTGTGAGGAGGCAATGGAAGCGGACAAGAATTTCTTCTTTGCCGTCCTCACCACCACAGCATAGGCCCGATAATGGGCTCTTAAGTGTGTTCGCTCAGATTCACCCCGTGATCTCCTCCACCTATGCTCTAGATGTCTCCCAACCTGCTTCATTGCCCGTAATTCAGGTGTATACCAAGGAGATGAATGGACTCTGCCAGGTGGGAGAGGACGCTTGGGAGCGATCATGTCAATAGCCCTGGTCATCTCCCCATTCCACAATTCAACCAGGGCATCGACAGGATCACCAGCCTTGTCAACCAGAAAATCCCCCAGAGCTTCCAGGAATCCATCAGGATCCATCCGGCTCCGGGGGCGGACCAATACAATCTGGTCCGCACCCTTACAGAAGGAAAGACCGCTCTTGAGCTCAAACCTTATGAGGAAGTGATCTGACCCTGACAAGGGCATCAAACTTAAATTCCTCACCCTCAGATCACCCTCTTCCTGCCCCGTCGAGAAAACCAGGTCCAGTGTGTCCACGTTCATGGGTTGGGCCACTGAAGTGTTGAGACAGCCCCATGGCCGCCATGGAGGCCATGAAGTCCTGAGCCGCCCTGGTTAGAACCGTCTCGGCATGGAGACTGAAGTCCCCCAGGACCAACATCTTGGGAGTCTTCAACACCAGGTCCAAGACAATCTCCGTCAGCTCAGGCAGGGAGTCTGTTGGGCAGAAGGGTGCATGGTACACCAACAGAATCCCCAATCTGTCTCAGTCACCCAACACCAAGTGGAGGCACTCCAGCCCCGGCCTCGAGAGGACAGGAAGCCCCACAAGGGAAATAGAAGCTCGATAAACCAGAGCGACCCCCCCTCCCCTCCCCTCCAGGCGTGGTCGGTGCTGGACCAAGTACCCGGGCAGGCACAGTTGTGAGAGGGCGACATCTCCCCCCCTCACCCGCCCAGATCTCTGTGATACAAGCCAGGTCGGCCCTCTCATCCATGATCAAATCATGGATGCTTGTTACTTTATTTTGGACCGACCTGGCATTAAGCAACAGCACCGACAGGCCTGGGGGGCAGCTGACAAGTCTACCCGGAACCCGCTGGCTGGGGGAATAACCAGAAAGAGGAACAGGTGTTAACCATCTGTCCTTCCTTCTTCTATGCAGACCCGTTACACCCCCAACGCCATAACGTCCATTGCTCATCACCACCCCGATGGCGGCGCCCACGCACTCCCCAGGCAACATCATAGTAAAGCACAAGATGCACCAATTAAAAGCAACCTAAAACCGACAATTAAAATTACTAAAAACATCCTACTTAAACCACTGCTAGCCCACAAACGAAACCAAGGCCAACCACCAAAGCCCGCGACTTATTTTAGAGCATAAGTCACATACAAGTGGCAGTGCTGCACGCTCTCTCTCTCTCTCTCTCTCTGCATGCTGCCTGCTCCTCCAGGTATTATCTGCACTCCTTCTTGGTCCTTTTCTCATCAGACCAGTTCTTGCTCCCAAGACTACAAGCAAGCCTGGCTGAGCAAAAAACTCAAAGAGGGACAGGAAAGCAGGTGGTGGCTGTGAAAGCAGTTTGGTTCCCCTCCCTGTGGGCCTCTGCTCCTGTAGAAATTGGATTCCTGTATCCTTGATTTAGCTACTAACATTAATATTCCATCTTCACATGTAAAACCTGCTAAGTGGTTAGCAAATAATTTGGATCTAATCCAAAATATACAGACCGCAGCAGAATTACTTGGGGTTCTTGCTTTGATTAACAGCACCAAATAATGCACACTACATTTCCAAAAGCCCTTCTGAATTTCATTAACTAGCCATGCAGAGCAGAACTGGGAGGAGTGAGGCACACGTCCTCAGGAGAGAGTTCTACAGTGTTGGGACGACAGCTGAAAAGGCCCCACTCCTGTACTTCAGAGGGAGCAGGTGTACAAGTGTTTCCATGTTGCAAAAGGTTGTAAAAGTTGGTGTAATGGATGAAGGCCCTAATTCGCCTAGGAGAGTATCCCCAATCAGATGCCCTCGAGATATTTTCGACTTCAACTCCTATCAAGCCCAGCCGACGTGGCCAATGGCCAGGAAACTTGGGGGCTGTAGTAAAACCTCTGGAGGGTGCAAGGTTGGTGAAGGCTGCCTTAGGGCTTTGAGGCTGAAGATGACACATTGTGGGTCGTTACCAAGGATGGGGTGCTGGGCCATCTGAACCCAGTCTGATTCCTGCAAGGTGGCTTATTTTAGGGCAACAGGCCACCCTGACAACCCATGGCTTGCAGTTGGGTTGCTGAGCCCATGATAGCTTGTTGCATCATCTGAACGTGGGTGACTGAACCCATCTCAGGTGCCAGGAGCCAGTCAGCAACTTGCTTGCCAACAGCCGCGAGACCCCTTGCCACTTCTACCAAGCTTGCTTAGGCATTTGCCAAGGCCAGCCAGCCCAGAAGCATTCAAGGGGCCCTTAGAGGAGACTGGCGCTGGCTGGAAGTTCTCCAGAATGATCACAGGCTATTTCAGCTGACCGCAGCCTTTTCGTCAGTTCTGTTTCTTTCCCTGGGAGGCTGCTGCCTTGACAGCTGGCCTCTATGATCTCAGTTTTGACAGCTGCTGACAGTCCCATCAAAGTGCCTAAGCAGCACCTGGACAGGTTGTCACTGGCTGGGAAAGCTTTTAAGTTTCCCCTTTAAAAATGGCTATTACAATGACCACACTTGAACAAATGTGGAACTGTGCAGTTCCATAAATGTGTAAATTGGAGGTATCGGCTGGGTCGGTATCCTGGGTGTGTATCTGCTGTCTTAGCATGCAAGTTGGCCCTGCTCTGTGCAAGGAGCTTAGGGAGCAATTAATCCATTGTGGTTTATTACCAGGTGGATTGTGCAAACAGGCCCAGCTTAGGCTCTTGTTGCATTTTTCTTTCCTTTATGTACTGGCAGCATTCTTACCTGTGCCACGTTGCTGATAACCTGAGGAAGCATGTTGAGTGGGAATCTCAGGAGATTAAACAAGGAGAGAGACACAAAGGCTTTCTCTGCATCTAGGATATTGTTTTCATCCACACTGACAAAAACAGCAAAAGTGGTCAGGGCAACCTGGAAGCAAGGAACATACGTCGAATAACCAATGGTTCTTGGCTTGATCATGGAGTGCAGGCGCAGTGGAGGCTGGAGGCTTCGTTGTCCAGGGGAGACGATTCCACTTTGGGGCACAGCCCAGACTTTACAAGGAGCTATCCATGGTGCTGAACACCAAAGCCACCCCCTCCCCCCCCAGGTTTGGCTCCAGGGATGCGAACTTCAGGCTGAAACACTGCTTAGATATCCCACCCCACAGACATCGGAGGCACCAGCTGCTGCTGTAGCTTAACTGGAAATATAAGAACTAAACATAACAGCGTTTAATGGATAACTAAACAATTGCTTCAACTCTTTGTTATTCCAATGTGGTATAAAAGAAGGAAGCATGGCACCATTCCAGAGGAATGGAACTGTAATACCTAAGAATACAAGTAATTTGATTTTCAAATAGTATAGTTCTTAACTGTGACGCAGTATTCTAGAATAATAGGAAGCGAGACCTGGACTGGCACTTTGTCCAGGATGGAGAGCAGCAGGGACCAGATTCTGCCCCTGTTTATTTTCCCAGGAGGAAAAAGATGGGCAATGAATTCGCACAGCACTGAACCTCAAGGAGGACAGCAAGCAAGGATCAGCCCTTCCTCACATTTTCTCCTGTACAGCCTGACTCAGCACTGCAGGCCGCTCCCCGAGAGAAATCTGGCTGATAGTGCAAACAAGGTGAAGCAAGGGAGCTGCGGTCTGCCTGGGGCTGCTGTGCCATCATGCAGAGCAGGCACAGTCCGGGTGGCTTGTTTCAAAAACGGTATCAGTGAGATTGGAAAAAATACAGAGAAAACGATTAACATTGTCAGATGATTTTCCCTTAAGAAAAGATAAAGGTCTTGGAGACTTGTGATGCAGAAGACATAATAAGCTGGAGGACGGACCTGAGCCTTACCCAAGGAGAAGTAAGGCTGGCAAGCAAGTGCTGCAGTTCAGGGTTCCAACCAGCCTGGCAGGATCTTTTCCCCAGCACTCCGTTCCATTTCAACCCTCCTCAATTTTCTATTTTTTCTTCCACCACAGTCAGACAGTGTTCCATGCTCAGTTATTTATTATTTTTATATCCTGCCTTTTTCCTTCCCAGGAACTCAAGGCCCCTTTCCTAATTCTTGTCCTCCTCTCAGTCTTATTCTCACAGAAGAACCCAGTGAGGCTGGCTGGGCTGAGAGGCTGTGCCTGGCCCAAAGTCCCCCAGTTGGCTCCACGGCTGAGTGGGACTAGAGGCCAGATTGCCTGAGTCCCAGTCCCGCACTCTTAACCACTGCACCACACTGGCTCTCACTGAGCCTGTTCCATTCCCATTTGGCTGGTGTGTGTGTGTGTGAGTGTGAGTGTGAGAGGGAGACGGAGAGGGATTTCACTACAGGTTTTTCTGTACTTGTGCAAACCTTTTTGCATGTATGCTGCCATTTTGGCAACAAAAGAATCAGCCCTCTGAGAATGAATTCACTGTTGCTATGTATTATGAATAATGTGGGGACAGTGGACAGAGAGAAACCTGTTGGCCACCTCTAATAAACCCCAGAATGCAGGGTCATGCCTCCAATCCAACAGGCAGGATTCCAGGACAGACATGCATGTTGTCACATTATGGAATTTACTGCCATCAGATGCTGAACGGGCTGTTAGCTTAGATGACTTCTAAAAATTAAGGGCTTGTCCACAGGGCTTTGTGAAGGGCCCAACTGCAGGGCTTGGCCATTACAGCAACACCTCAAGCTTTCATGTTCAGAGGCCACAGACCTCTGTTCAGAGGTTCAGATCACCAGGTGCTGGAGATAATCAGCAGGGGATCACCTTCTCTTGACTGTGAACTTCCAAAGGGTATCAGGCTAGTCACAGCTGAGGACAGACTACTAGGACAGATGGATCTCTGGCCTTTCAGTAGTACTCTTCTGTTTGTTTGTTTTATCATAAAGTAATTCCAGAATTTGGTAATGTGGATAGTCAGTTCCTGTTGTTCTTCCCTCATGGAAAACTCTGTTTGTCTACTTAGGAGTAGCAGCATGCACTACCTGCTTGCAGAAAGCTCGAGCTTAGCCATCCACCTGCTCCTGCTGACATGCTGCCCCAAAGAACCTGCCCACAGGGGCCACTTTCTGAGAGGAAGTTCATGCATGCCCACTTCCTGCTTTGCTTGCAAAAGTCGTTGTATGGGTAGTTTTGCTTTTCCGTGGCAAGTTACAAGGACAGTCCTGCTAGGTTACAGCTACTCTGACATAAGCAGCCTTCACTGCCATGGTGACCTCCAGATCTTGTGAACTACAGCTCCCATTCGTTCTAACCATTGGCTATGTTGGCTGGGGCTGATGGGAGCTGCAGTCCAAAACATGTGGCTGAGAAAGCTGATAGAAGGTATACCTATAAAGCTTACCAGAAATGGTGCACTGATCCATGCAAAGGTTGACAAAGAATTGAGGTACGCAGATTTCCTCAAAACACGGAGTTCGTTCTTTCGTATCTCCAGCACCTTTTCTGCAAAGGACGGTTCCCATGCATACAGCTTGAGTACTTTTATGCCGCTTAGAATTTCATTCATTAGCTTAATGCGTGCATCTTTGTAGCGCATCTGTTCCACCTACATCATTTAAAAGAACATCCTTAGTCAATGGTTATTTTCCCTAAACTGACTGTGGTTTCATGTTTCCCATATCTAGATAGATCTCCTAATACATCAGAAACAGAGACCAAGAATACATGAAGAGATTATAAAACTACTACATCCAGTTTTGTGTATGGATGTAAATAAAGTTGTGGTTGGAGACAGGGAATAGTAAACAGAGATGCTACAAGGAGGGACCACAGGTCAGATAAGACTGAGAGAAAGAAGCGAATTATGTAAGCCATTTTGAGTTCTTTGAAAGGGAAAAAGATAGGAAATAAATATGAGGGGGGGGGATATTAATTCTTTTTGGGACCAGTGCTCCTTGCTGTACCTGGCTAGAAGAGATCCTGCAATTGCTTTTCACTGACACTGTAAATGGAACAGCTCAGAGCACCAGCTCTGCATGCAGAAGGGACCGGGTTCACTTCCAGGCAGGACAGAGTAATTTAAATCAAGGAGATTTAAATCATGATTTAAATCAGCAAGCAAAAGAAGCTGAATTAAATTAAGCTTCTCACTGATACTACTTCATGTATCACCTAAATAACAGTGCAAATTTTAAATCTGCACGTCAGGCACAGTGTCAAATACGCATATTTGAGAATTGCTCAAACGAACTGCATTTATACAGAAAGCCCTGGGTTCGCACAATGTGACACGCCATCATGGCTTGCAGGGTGGCTACAAGCTTGTGCTGCCTGAGCCCTGCAGCATGGTTTGTTAACCACTCTGGCTGGATTCAAGCAACACAAAAAGTTCCCCTTCACCTGTATGCCACCATGGCTTTCATTTTGTGTGAACCCAGTCATTTATTCTCTTTTGGTATTCACTGTAGCAGTAACATGCTCATATCCAGAATGCATATATGAACTACATCCTTATTTAAGAGAAACTTGTTAAAAATCAGATCTATTTGTTTAAAGGCCATGAAAATGTTTGAAACAGAGGCTGCAGCCAACTGGGTCCACCAGACCTAGCGCTGGGGCAGGCAGCGGCTGAAGGCACAGTGGCTCCAAGAGCCCGTCCGGGCCTCTGTCCCTGCCCCATAAAGCACAGCAGATACTCGCTTGGCTTTGCAGCGTGACATTCAAAGCTGCAAGGAAAACTGGCCTTGTACAGAGCAGTTTTCAAACAGGCTCAGCACAACTCAGACACAGGAATACATAGTGTGTTTGGCTCTTGCAGCATGAGAACAAAGCTGAGATCAGCCTGACCCTTGGCATTGCTCTGCCCTTGCGGGCAGTCCTATCATCGCAGGGGAACTGGAAAAGCCGTGCATCACTCACGGGGCCTTTCCTCCAGGCTCCTTCATCATGCCTTGGTCCTCATGTGTCTCGCACGGAGCACAGTCAAGCAGAGGAATGTGGCTTGTATTTATTGTTTAGCTTTGCATTTAAAAATGGGGCACAACAGTCTATAGCATCAATCCTTTTCTTAAAAAAATACCTTCCACTGAATTTTTTTCAGTATGTGCTCTGGTTCCATAGCAATCTTGTCATCTTTTTGAGGCCAGCTTATGGTGGCTCTTTGTGCTGAGGTCTTTAAAGATATACACAGGCAGTGGAGGACTTAAGGGATTTTCCATCCCAGGTGTTTTACAGGTCTGCTCTTCATTATACGTTGCTTTAATTTTTTTTAATGTGTATTTTGGAGCATTTTGTGGTATTTCATTGTATGGCTTTTCTGACAGACAGCTTTGGCTTTTGGGGGAATAGAAATAAATGAATAAAACAGACAGACAAACACCCCACAAAACCAAGAGCACTTGTGAAGCTGAGAGAGCTCGGGAAAGAAGAGAAGAGCAGGAGCCATAGCAATACTCCAGTGAGGGCACGTGATGCAGAAAATGAGCAGCAGCAATGTAAGATGCGAATATTACCTGACACTCAGGCTTTTTTCTCAGTTCCAGGCTAGGACTTTTTTTCCCTCCCAGGCTTCTGAATGCATTTTAAAGTATTCCAAAGTCTGTTGGCATTTTTGGTGTTTTAAGATTTAATATTTTAGTATTTTAAGGAACAATCCTGTGCACATTTAGACCAAAACAAGGCCTAGGACTCACAGCACACTCCAGCTTGGACTTACGATAGGACTTATTTCTAAGAGTGCAGAGCACCCTAAGTCATTGTGGCAATGATTTAAATGTCTATATCTGATGGCCATTTTAGCTGTGTTGGCATGTTTATTAGTCTGATAGTGCTATTATGTTTTATACAATGCCTCAAGAAATTTGGGAAGTAAACAAATGGGGCAGCAAAGCACAGATGACCTTTGAAGTATGAGCATGTCTCCTGACTGTAATTTACTTAAGGCAGGACTAAACCATGTTCCAGCAAACCAGAGGGGCCTAAACTCTCATTTACGGAGCTGCCATGACAATGGGTCAGCAACAATCTTTGCTAGCATGATTGGGTGGATGGGGCTTCTTAACCCCTTTCTTTCTCATGGATTCTGGATCCTGAAATAGGCTCCCAAGAGGTTTGTCTGGTCCCTTCTCTACTTTCTTTCAGGTGTGCATTAAAACCTTCTATTTCAGTGGACATATGTGTAAAAGTTCAAGCTTCTATAAAAAGTGTTTAATTGTTGCTGCTGGTGTTATGCTTTTATGATTGCAGTTTGGATTGTTATGTGCCTTCAAGTCATCTCCAACTTATGGCTGCCCTACGAATGAAAGCCCTCCAAAATGTCTTGGACAGCCCTGCTCGGCCCTTATGAACTCCAGGCTTTGGCTTCCTTTGCAGGGGTCTCCAACTCGCGGCCCGCGGGCCAATTGCCGGGACGGGCAGGGCACGGGGGAGGGGCCCTGCGGCCTTCAAAGCGCCAGCGGCACCCAGGCCGGCCTCCGGATGAGCGGCCCACCACCACCGCGGGGGTGGAATACTCAATGCGGCCCAGCCTCACCCACACTCTGCTTCCAGCGGCCCCCAGGGAAGCTGGGTTTGAGACCCCTGCTATGGAATCAATCCACCCCACACTGGGTCTTCCTTCACTTCTCTGACTTTCGCTAGCATGATTGTCTTCCTTAGTGAGCTGGGCCTTCTCGTGATGGGCCTGAAGTACAATAGTCTCTGCTCCATCATTAAGCCTGTATTTCAGGTTGTATTTGTTACTGTGTTTTCACCGTGAGTGCCAGGTTGAGGCAGGTGGAAAAGCAAGATGATGTTGAGGAACACCAGACAAAGTCAGGGACTGGATTCAGGGAGCAAGCTCAGGAAAAGCTTCCAAGGAGCACAAAGATCTAGGGCAGGAGAGCAGATGCATATGAAGCTTCCTTGCACAGAGCAGGACTATGAGCCCCTCGAGCCCAGAACTGCATTTGACTGGCAACAAACGCTCTCTGGGAAGGAGTCACTGCAGCCTTCCCGGAGTTGCCAGGAATTGAACCCAAGACCTTTTGCCTACAAAGCAGGTGTGCTGCTGCTGAGCCACGGCCCCCTCCCAGAAACAGTTTTCCATGGAGCACTCAGCTGCTCCGGGACTGGCCTGCCATAAACTTCCACTGTGTCCTTTTGTGGAGCAACTCGGCCAGGCCATCAAGGACAACCTACCTGGAATGCTCTGGTTTTCATAGCGATGACAGCATTAAACGGGATGAGTAAGACCATCACAGCAACTCCGGCCAGCACCGAGGGACCTAGAGCCTTCAAAGGATGCAAAGGGTGCCAGTTGTCATTCTGCTCTCCCGCATTCCCGGAAGCTGGTGGGGGGCAATTCTCACTCTCCAGTGAGACCAATCTAAGCAAGATGCCTGCACAGATTTAGCAAGGGGGCGCGAGACCCTAGGGCAGCTCTGCGCTTCACAAGCACTTCCCTTTCCACCATGAAGAGGCACACACATACTTTGAGGTCAAGAAAGGCATGGGGGACATTGGGATGTGGAATCTCTGGGGATTTTTGTTTGGCTTCCTTTTATTTGTTTTAACTAACACAGCACTTGCTTGCTCTTTCACTGGCACTGCAAACAGAAGCATGCTGAGGAAATAAACACATAAAGTCATGTGACAATGATCTGCCTGGCAAATATACTTCATCTTATCTGGTGAAGTGCTGTGCAGAGATAAGGGCAGACCACAGTGAGCCTGCTCAGTTCCTGTTTCTCAGGATTCTCCTTTGTTAAGCTAAGCGAAGTGGAGGACAGGGCTGCTCTACAACAGCACTGAAACTAAGGGGGTTAGCCTGTGTGCAAGAGCCTTCCTCCTGTCATGGTGCTTTGCATCGAAGCACATTGAGACCCACCTGTGGGCCACCAGTTCTGTCCATGCAGAGCATCGACAAAGAAGTGCTTGGGACTCTGCTGGGAGTTCCCTACAGCTGGGTCAGCCTCAAGGGTTAGCTCAGTGGCTGCGCACAGCAGAAGGAAAAGGTCCTTTACCTGCCAGAGAAAGTACAGGGCAAGGCATATCTGCAGCGGGGCAGACCACAACATATTTAGGAAGGTCGTCAGATCCATGAACCGCTGGGCATCCACCGACATCAGATTGACAATTTCTCCAACAGTAGAGGAGCGTTTTGCTGTATTGGTGATGACCAAGGACTGCAGAGATAGAGAAACACTTTTATTTGGATGCATTTCCTCATTTTGTAACCATTTTATTTTGTCCTTTCTCTGAGTTGCTCAGGCCACTGCACATGGTCCCTGCATTTTGCGGTTTCAGTTTCACAACCCCCCTGTAAAGTAGGTGAGGCAGGGAGAGAATGACTGGCTTGAAGCATCACAGCAGAGCATGGATTCTTAAGCGTTCTCACCTGATGTGTACCTGGATACCTTTTTGAGCAACACGGGTATTTCACAGACATCAAAGCATGGCTGGCTTTTAATGTTTTTATATCTATATCTGTAGTGTTTTATGGTTTTGATGTCTTTTAGTTCCATTTAATGATTTTTAGTTCTGTCAACCACACTGGGAGCAGTAACACTGAAAGATGCCTTATTCATTCTTTTTGTTGCTGAAGTTATATTCTTCTGTTATTGAGTTGGGAAAAAAACTACTTTATTAGGAATTAAGGTTGCTATACCATTTTTGTGTTCAAGAGTCAAAGGATGGATAATGTAAGGTAGTTCTGCAAATATTATCTTTATGAACGTTCTTGTCTCTTTCAGATGTCACCTTGACTCAAACATGGGGCAATTTAATCTGCTAAGTCCAAAACTATGATGTTAGATCCGCTTGTTGCATATGTGGATTGGTTAACTTCACACAGCCCTGTCCACCTGGTTGTTCAAGAAGGACTGATTCAAGATTTATTTTCAGCTGCTATACATTCATTTAGCTTTTATGCAGTTTTAAACAAAACTGATTACCGTAAAAAAGATATGAGGGCAATTATCAGTCATCTTATACTGCGGAAAACATCATACAGCACACGCTTATCCTTGAGCACCAGCCTGCCTTTGGACCAAGTCTGCCTCTTGCAAATTCACTAATTACTCAGCAAGATGGTGATGACGTTCTACGTTGGGAAACTGCACGGCAAAAAAGTAGAACCCAGGGCAATTTGGACGGCACGCAAAGATAAATTACAACTCTGTAAAAATATGGACCGTCCTACTTGCATGACTGCAGCTACCAAAAGAACATGGAAGCTTGATACTCCCCCAGCTGCTAATGTCATACAAGGGGCCTCTTCACAAGCACAAGAAAATGAGATGAGATGCGCTGCACATGAATGTATAATGCAACCATGTGGCTGTTCCCTGCCCAAATGGCACTGCTGGAAGGAAGGGCAGACTCACAGATCTGGCCTAGCCTGTGTGGCTGTGGAATTCTCCCACGGAATAGGGGCAGCCACAGTGGATATTGCTCAAAGTGCATGGCTCAACATGTGTGTGAAGCAAGCCTTGTTCTTCAGAAGAGACGAACACAGAGAGGCCGAATAGTTGTAGGATTGCCCTTGGACCGTCCTCCTTCCAAGTAGTGGATAATTAGATCCAGCTGGGAAAAGGGCAGGGCTGTGCAGCCATGCCTGGCTTAACTGAGGGAACGCAGATGGAGGACAGTGCTGGACCCGGCTGCCTGGCGTGGGCAACCAGAGACGGAACTGAGAGCTAGAGCAAGGATCCTGAAGCATTAAAGGATTAATGCGGCAAGTGGGGAGCAGTTCATGTATGCATGGAATGTGGATTACTTGGAAGCATTTATGAACAAACTGTAAATGCCAGAACTCAGAGAAGCAGAGAATCTGCATGTGCAGGGTTTGAGATGGTTGAGAATGAAAGCCCTTTTGCTGAGCTCTACTGCCCACAGCATGTGAGACTTCCCTGCATCCCTCACTCCCCATATTCAGTCTGCTGCCAAGTCACGTTGCTTTTCATTTACAGTGTTGTGAAAACATAGCCATCTCTTCCTAATCCATCAGCAAAATCATTGGTTCATGCTCTGGTTACCTACCACTTTGGCCGTTTCAAGCTTCTCTCTCCACAGGTGACCCTGAGATGGCTCAGCTCTGTCCAGATCCAGGTCTTAAGAGCTCCCTTGGGTTCCAGGCCAAACTGGGGGCCCTCTGCCTACCCTAGATTTTTTTTAATGAATGTAACCGCAAGACAGACTCTCTTTGTGTAACAGACCTGCATGCACCCTGGTCCCATTGCCCTTCCCTTGTTGCCTGGCCTTGCCTGTCCATAAACAAGGCTGTGGCTGCCTTGTTGCTGCTCCCAAGTAAAGCACCACACATACTGATGACACAGGAATATCGGATAATGACAGTCATCTAAATAAAAGATCCACAATTCTCTAAAGGAGATTATTTCATGTTCAGTTTGCTTCAAAAGAGCTTTGTTAGAATGCCAACTGCTGTCATAATATTGCTTACATTAAAAGGGATAGGAAAAGTAAACAGGCAACATGAAATGCACATTTCCAAATGTGTTTGGAAGCTGTCTGTTGCCTTTATTCAACTTCTCTGTTTCATCATTATAGCTGGATCTCCTTCTGCCCAATCCCATCCATCCTATTACTATTTAAACTGGTGCACTGCAGAGAGGCCTGCTAGAGAGGCCTAGCACTTTCTTGTGCGGACGTTCTGGGTTTAAAGTGTTTGGGATTATTATAGGGTTAAAGTAGGCATTATGTTAATTGCGGTACCACCATTTTAATCATGTGACTGCACACCTTTTTTCCTTTACTGAAAAGCACCCCTGGAAAGATGGACGGTACTTTAGCCAAATCAGGGCTGCAGGAGAGAGGGAGAAGCTTTTAACAGTTTGCTCTGGTAATAGTCCTGATTGAGATTGCCTTCCTCCTTTTTTAAAGGGCGGGGGGGAGATTAGCATGCGAGGGCCAGTCATGGGGATACCGTCACCATTTGCTTTGGTCCTACATTAACTAAGAAAGGATAAAATTTTGGCACATTGAGATATCCTACATCTGTACACATCTGGCACAAGAGCAGTCTAGATCCGGGGCGGATTTGTTCATTTACCAACAAAACAACAGATATGCATCTGGACAGTTACTGTCTGGTCAACACTCCATTGCCGTTTTGTTCTGTGTTCAGGCACCATGAAGGTCAAGTAAAGATTAGACTCGTTCAGACTTTGCAGTATGGTTTGGCCAGTTGCATCTTACAGACACATGCACATCATAATCCTTACGCAGATGTTGTTATTTTGAGAAATAAAATCATCCAACCCTTGACTATTTCCCTCCAGGAGGGAACGGGGCTTCATTCTGGATACTTCGGCCACCCACATGCCCAGGTACACTTGGACATGCTTGAGTGGCAGATGGAAAGTATCTTCATGTCCTCTTTGCCTAGACAACCACAATCAGAGACAATCCCTGGCTCTACCCAGCTATGCAAGAACAGCCACCTGTCCTTACCTTTCTGTAGATCATCCCTACGATGCCAGTTCTCAGTCTCATTCCAGTAACAAAGCAGTACTGGAAATGCTGGTGAAGGATAATTGTCTGCAGCACGGCACAGAAAAACATCAAAGTCGCAATCAGATATCCCCACCATAGGGGAGCACTCTTATTCTTAATGAAGCCAATTAGCATGCTGTTTAAAAGGAAGATTGAAATACATGGACAACAAAGAGGGGGGAAATACTGAGATTAGTGGGGCAGAGCACAATACACCACTTCCTTCTACCCACAGCAAAATAGCGGGACTTCTTAGGACCGATTCAAAACATTATCTGGGTGCATGCCAGGCTTTATTTCCACTGCAAAGTCTAAGGGTCACCTCAAACATTTATTTTCTCATTTTTGTTCCGCTTCTATGTAAACAGAAACAAAAACCTCTTCCGTGTGGCAAATGTCTCTGTGTGTGTGTCAACCTGTATATAGATCAATGATGTCTGTGCAGAACAGTATGTATGACAAGAGCACATGTGCATTTCATAGTGCCAGTCCAGAAGGCGCTGATGCTGAGGAGCTAAACTAGATCCATATGGGAGCTTCAAATATTTACTACTCAGAGTTTCCAGGCAAAAACTAGACGTATATGAACTACTGGTGTCATTCTCCAACAGAGACCACGGTTCTCCCCTGCACCCCGCACATCGCCTATCAGATAGGCAAGAAATTAGTACAGGCTGTGCATGTGTGTTATGGTGTTGGGGTACCATAAATGGGCAGACCCAAGACCTGTGCCTTAAACAATACCTCCCCTATGCCCGTCCACTAATGGATCCTTTGAAATAAACACGGACACTACCTTATGCATGAAAGCCAATGGTAAAATGGAACTCACCTTAACAACTGGGGATTGACAAAGGACAACAGATCCTGGATCAATTTGAAGAAGGAACCAATTAAGAAATAAGGACCAAAGGACCTGATTAAGGCTTTGAGAAAGGACGGCTCTTTCTGCTTTGTGTTATCACTTAATAGGACTTCTGTTTCCTCTGGGTCATCACCAGTATGGTTGGTCACATGGCTAGAGCTTTTTGTATAGGATACCTCTTTGTTCCTAAGAAAATGAAACATCCCTATTACACTTGGTTGAAAAGAGGAGATGCGTTGGAAATGTTCATTACATATTTCAAGTAATAAGCTGGAGTGGTACAGCGGTCTTTGGGACTCAAACTTAGTCTTGCTGGATTGGATTTCTAAGCTACTAAGCTACCTTATTAGTATATATCCAGCATTTTATCACCCAGAAGCAGAGGGCTGTTTGCACCTAGAAAATAAAAAGAAATTAACCAACCACACAAGCTTTATTTGAAACACTCTGTTAAAAACAATCATTCTTTTATTACATTTCTATAATTTCCAATAGACAAAGCTCTCTGGGCAACTCACAGCCTGATAAAATATAAACCTTCAATCCAAATTGAGAACAGTTCAAAAACAAGTTTTCTAAAAACAGCAACAAAACTACCAGGACCTGATTTTCAAAAACCTAGGCCTTTAAATGCCTGGAGGCAGAAGCTGTCCTTAGCCTGGCACTGAAAGGATGGCCATGCTCATGCCAGGTGGACGGCACTCGAGAGAGAATATGCTACGTTCTGCAGCCACCATTAAGAAGCCCCTCCCTGGAACCTCTCCTGGAGGAGGCATTTGGAGATTGCCTCAGACAGTGACCGTGGTCTCTGGGTAGCTTCACACAGAGAAGCATCTTTTTCAAGCATAGCAGTCCCAAGTTACCCGATGCTTTATAGGTCAAACACAACTCTTGTAATTGGGTTTCAAACCCTACAAACAGCTATTGCAGTCAGATCAGAATCAGTGTTGCATGCTCAGACCTTCTGGTTCAGACTACCGCATTTTGCACAAGCTGCAGCTTCCCAATGATCTTCAAGGACAGCCCTACACGCAGCTCGTCAGTCATCTAACTTGGAGGGGACCAGAGCACAGATTACCAAGGCCTGTGCTCCCTATCCAAATAGGGTGTAGCTGAACCTCCAGCTGAAGCTGGCAGAAGGCACACTGTGCCACTGAGTCACTGGACCCTTGAGTGACAATGAGATTTCCGGGAGCACCCCGCAACCTGCTCCTGAAGAGGGAGGGCAAGGCCACGCAGAACAGGATAAGTTAGAAGAACCACCTACAAACAGCACCTCAGTCTCATCCAAACAGTTTATTAGCCCTTCCCTAGCCCATTGTTGGGCCAGGCCCCAATCTAGCAGTGGGTTTAAATACATTACAGCTGTATATTTAAGGCAGTACATTCAGAACCTATTCCCCACTTCACAGATGTTTCAGAACAGTCACGTGGCGCATTATGACTTCAGTTATGCTGCTGGGTGTATTCAGCTGCAGAAATGCCCATGCCAACCTATCAGATGAACGGATTGATCGCAGGACTGGACAGTTCATGCAGGGAAAAGGTGAAGGTTTCTATTGTACATAAAACCTTCAGTATGAAGCTGCGATCTCAAGCCTTGACTAAGGCAAACAAAAAAACTTCTCAACTTTATCTTCTTACTTAGCAATTAAAAATATGGCATACTGGTTCAAGAAAGCATTCCTAGAGATAATTACTTTGACTTTATCGTCTATGCAGTAATAAAGCTTTAAGCTAAAACTATTTTACTTCACGTCTGGTTGAACAGAAAAGATTGCATTACCCGTTCAGCTACTTTCATACTGCCATGCATCTTCCCATATGTTTTGCCTTAAACATTTTATGTTTCAGTACTTATTTTAGTTTATAGTTTAACTGTTCTTCCTGTTGAACTTGTCTCCAGTAACATCGCTAGCCCTACTACATTTCAAAAAGGGAACACGTAGATATAAGTTAACTACCTATAACTTCCTTCCTAATGATTCTTCACCAGTCCTCAGTTCCACAAATTGCAGCCCTTTAATAATGCAAACATCATCAGCTATTCATGTGAAATCTTGTTAAAATCACCTGGGAAACTTGGACTATTATGTGGCTTAGTAGTTATTATGACAATTTCTACCATTAGAGTAAGAACACGAGCCAGCTCCTCCCACTCGCAGCTTTCTAGCCCTGATTTGAATCCTCATCAACCAAATGCTTTCCATGGAGCGGACGTGCTGAGCCTCCTTCTGCCCAAGGCCAAAGTCCATTTCAGAGAAGCCGCATTCTGCTGGAGCATGAGACCAGAAGCAAAAGGGATGGAGCCAGAACAGGGTGTGCATGGTTCTTTGCAACTGGAAATGCACATTTCTGAATTGGGGCAGGCCTGTCCTGTTCCAGGCATGAGCATTTCCACTCATTTCTGGAGTTGCCTTAGGAGGAGCTGACTCCTCATTGCACTAGCAGTGGGTCCATGGATGTGACAGATTCAGTAGAGGTGCAGCACCCGTACTAGATACTGCCCCCACTTGCTGGAGCACTACAGCCACAGTCTGTGGTGGCTGGTGAAGGGAGAATGCAGCATGCATTTTGGTGTCTCAGCTAAGCAGACACAACATAGTTGTGCCCTTGAAGCACATGTTACCCAATCCAAAACTAGTTACCCAAACCTAGATGGTTTAGTTGAATCCAGGATTCCGTCTTCAAGAAGGAACAGTATTCTTGACTTCAAGGGTAATAACTTTATCCTTGAGTTACTCTCAGAGAATACCGCCACACATTCCAGAACAGCAAAGACAATAAAATTCCTAGGAGAATTGACTATTATCCTGAAGATTATATTTTTTCCACATTTCCTACTTGACTGGTGCTCTTCTTTGCACAATCTACATTGTTGGAAGCACATCAGCAGATTTGCTGGAAACATTTGTGAAAATTCAAAATAGAAGCTGGGGCCTGTTTAACATCACATCTGCTGTGTCTGCCTTCTTTTTGGCTTTCCCTTGTAAAAGGCACTAAATTGCAACAATAAAGACCAAAGCTCTTTTTTAAAAAAGGAAGCCTATAAATCTTTGCCCTTTTGTTGTATTCTGCATGGACAGTGAATTATGCATTTGCACAATAATACTGAAAATCTACATTATATATTAGGTACTAATGAAAAAGATGAAACAATAAAAAGAGCCATTGTTGAGCAAAATGGAGTAGTTTGAGCCTTCCCTGCCAGTAGGAACACATACAAAATGCTTCACTAAAAATACTAGATTTGGAAAGCAAATACCATCTAATGAAAACTTGATCCTAGGAGTGACTGTAAGAAGCAAAGTTCCTGTTTTGCGAAGTAAAAGCTCCACAATGCAGTAGAAAATAAGTTGCCTGCTACATATCTAACTTTAAACATGAAAGAGTCTTGTAGTACCTTAAAAACTAACAAATGTATTACAACATCACAGGCCTCTGTGGCAAACAAACAAAACCAAAAAAAGCTTGCCACTACTTGCTCCATCTACAAATAAATGCAAAAGACTATTTTATTCTCTTGCTGGATTGGTCAGAGCCAGGATGCTGTCAAACAATGGTAAGCCTGAATACCAAGACACAACCATCCTGCAGGCTGCTGCCCAAGGCTTCCTTTGTCCAACGGCACCTCCTGAAGAGTGCAGAAGTCATTCCGTGTTGGCCCTGTGCCATTCTCCAGCAATGACTGAATCACTAGGGAGGAAAACAGGCAGATGCATAGCACAGGTTTTGGGTTTCCAAAGCAATAATCATGTGGAGAAGCACTAAGATAGTAACTTTCTGCAGACTTCTCTCAGGCATAAGCAAAATTTGCCACGTGGGTGGCCTTCTGACCTGGAGTGTGCCTGTGCATCGCCGAGGAAGATAGCTCTTAGCAGTGGGGGCTCATGGTGGGGCTGAGAAGGGCCTGGGCCTTCCTGAAGCTCTGCGGGCTGTGAAGACCCCTCAGCAGTACAGCCACGCAATCCCAGAGCTGGACTTAATGCCTTTACAGGGGCCCCCGCCTGACAAACATGTATAAAACACACAACTAACATTCCTCTTCTCCCTCGCTATCATTCCATGCTGTACAACCACTTCTATGATATAAGAGAGGGAAAAAACTGCCAGCCCTGATTTAAAGAAAAACAAGGCTCCGGACACGTGGTGTGCCTGCTGGTCAGAACAGCATGTGGTCCCTCGCTGCCTCCTTGGCATCTGCACCATCCATTCCTTCCTAACTCATTAGCCAATGGCCACATCACCAAGTGCCAATACTAAAGTATCTTTTTTGTCTCCCAGAATCAGGCAAAGCCGTGTGACTTTCCAAAGGAAGAACATCTGTACTCATAACTTTAACTGGCAATGCTCCCTCTTTTATGCTATTCTTTATTTTTATGTATGTCCCATCCAGGATGTGGATCAGGTCCTTGCCCATTTAGTTTCAGCAACAGGATGGCATCTTGTGCTCCCAGACTATGCTCTAACCCCTCATATAGGAGTCTCTTTTCATTGCATTAGGCAGAGAAAAATCCAGCTCCCTTTCTGCAACTATTCCACTCAAGTGTAGAATTTGTTATTTGAGTAGAGAATCCTCCCTGTTGAGAAGGATTTAGGGCTATCGTGAGGAAGGTATTCATCACTACTATATGGTTGCTTCCTGCTCGCAAACGTAGAGTAAATTTTGCAAAATAAGCAAATCTATGTTACATTAATTTTCCTAATATATGCTGGGCACAAAAATCAAACTTTCAGCACAGAATATGGATTCCTACAAGACATAATTCAGACAGTTGTTTAAAGCACAACATTTCATTCATAATAGTAACTGTATAAGAGCTACTTAATCAGGCAAATGTTAGCTTACTGTTGCATTGCATGTGTTTGTTTATCCCATTCCTTCTGGAGCCTTTGTACAACTACTTCAGATTTATCATCTGCATTCAGAGACCATAAATCCTTATCTTCAAGAGGCTTCTTATATCCTTGGATTGCCATACTGTGAAACAGAAAAGGCGTCACATTATCAACTTTGAATCAGTCTGGACTGTTCAACCTTTCCGAGGCCAGTGACTCGTGCTGCATTAAAGGCACGAAGACCTTCACAAACAACAGACAACCATTAAATTCCCCGGCCCCTTTGACTCTGCAGCAACTTGGACAATTTGTCCGCTTCCAGATGTCATGCTCTTGTACATTTCTTGGCCCACAGCACAAGCTGCCATTAGTGGAGCGGGCTGCAAGGCAAGGTGTAATGCTGTGGATACAACTACTTTGTCCTGGCAGTTATCAGGTGTGTGCGGGAAGGGGATTAAGCACATACTGTTTCTAGAAGTAGCCAGGCATTTATTCTAAGATGTAGGTCTGGTCCAACTGCAATGGAAAAGGAGGGTGAAAAGCAGTAGAGTTGAGGAGGGCAACCTCAGGTCTGGGGGCCAAACCCAGTTCTCTGGCCATGCCCTCTTCTGCGTCCCATTTCCCCTGACCACCAATCATCTGCGGGACTCCTGGGATTTGTAATGTTTTCCCACTGTTCCAAAAGGGTGAAATGCTTCTCCTAAGGCCAGGTTACTGGCAGCGAGAGCTTCAAGCTCAAATAGGCTGGTAGTTTTGGTGGACCCTTCTGCCTTCAGTCCCACCCTCCACCTGAATGCAGCCCGGAGAGCTACTCTGCAATGAAATGCAGCCCTTGGGTTGAAAGCCCCCTGCCCCCTTTTGTGGCATGTAGAGGGATGTTCAGAGGAGCAGCTCCAGGGTGCATTCTGCTTCCTTCCCCACACTTTCATCCAAATAATGCCACACGTACTTCTTCCAATGTGCCCCACACCCTTCTGTCCACTCCCGTTTTGGTGTGGTTTTGACCCCCGAGAGCCTTGCAAACATTCATTTTGAGATAGCCATGCACAAGTTAAAAAGTACTCTGAGAAGTAGTTGAGTGGCAGAAACCATGGGACAACTGATTGGCCTATTCAGTTCTGGGATGACTACAGTGCGGTTAAAAAAAATGGATTCCCACCTCAGGTTTTCACTTTATTTTACATGTGAAATGGGGATTCTAATCTGATTACTTGTTTTGTGAGTACACAGCCAGCATGCAGTATTTAAGTTCCCCACTGATTACATATGTAGGACCCAGATGTACACTGACATACACAAAACTAGCTGTTTCATGGGGCCTTTACCCGCCCAAACATTTGCCTTTCTTACAGGGCTAGTACAGACCATGGCTGGTTATCTTGGGAGGAAGTGACAGAAACCCTTCTCCCTTCTCGCCCAGCACTGCTGCAAGCGTGAGATAGGAATTGTGGGCTACTCTTTTGGAATAACTACAGTATAACCCTAAACAGCAGTTAATCATAAGTATGGTTTGCTGAACCATGCTAGTTTCATAAATTATGGTTTGAAGCTGACTTGTTTTAAGCAAACAATATTTTATAACAATTTGCTGTATTTGGAGTGAACAAGCAAGCTGTGGGTAATCTAAAGACCACAAGATCTCCTTCTCAAAGCCTTGCTGGAGGAGGAAAGGGAAGTGCACAAGTCCCAAACTCTCTGCAATTCATTCCTACCATGATAAACCATGGCTGAGTGTGATGTCTGAACCAGAACATAATCTAAACTTCAGTGATGTACGGACATGCTGTACATTTTGACAACTCTCCATTCTGCACATTAGAACCAATCAAACGATGATGTTTTGTAGAAAAAGTATTCCTTACTGAAATCTTTCTCTCTCTCATTTGCAGTACAACAATCTGCCATTAGGGCTGCCCCACTGCAGCAAATACAGAGGATGCACCTGAAGTAGTTCCAGGTATTTCGGCGCTCTGACACATTGCGCACTATGTATGCATCCACTATTGACCCAGCGTGAAAGGTCTCCTGTGTTCTGCCATCATCTCAAACCACCATATAATTCTCCTTAATCTTTGGTATGTACTACTAATTCATTGGCAAACAACAGGTTCTGTGACAGCTCCTTTTGTGTACTTCCATTTATTGCGCCTATGATATTCACACACAGAAGCGGGCTTAGCAGCTCATCCCTGACGGTGGCCATCCTTGCAGCAAATTCACCTGGATTTCTTGCCGGCCCACCAAACGAGGCTGCCACTGCCGCCATGCTGGGGGCTGGGTTGTTCCATGCTGCTCTCCTGCCCTCCAGCAGCAACTCGACTGCAAAGCCTGCCAACAAACCTAGCCAAAATGATTTAAATCCTGGTCGGAAAGCCTTTGTCGTACTTTCAAAGAAGTGACCAAGTTCTAAGCATCAACTGCTCTCTTTGTGCAAGCCACTGAATAGGGCCTGCAGCAAAGCGCCGTGTTTTCAGCTGGAGAGCCCTCGGGGGCTTGCCTCAACGGGAGCCAAGGCCATTCAGTGGGTAACAGCCAAACTGGCAAAGCATGTAGTGCCAATGCATCATCTCTTTTCCTCAGAGAGCACGTGGTGGTGCACGCGAGGCTTACCCCCTCTGACCTGTTCAGATAGGGGCGGCGAAGAGAACGTGATTGGCTTGGGGTCACCTGGCGAGCGTCACGGCTGAGTTTGCGCTCAGCTGCTGCTGCCCATGTCCAACACTCTGGGCCAGGCCTCCCTAACCCGATGCCCTTCACGTGCCCTGGACTCCAATTCACGCCATCCGCAGCAAACATGGTCAATGGAAGACACCAGCACAGAGAAGGGTGCGCTACAGACATTGCACCTGTTTTTATTGCAGCTAAGCCTATTGCACACGACTTCCGCACATGTAAGTAAGATTGGGATTGCATGGCGCCCTGTAGACAAAAGCTGTGCTATTGAAACAGTAACGTTTATTTAGCTGACTTTGTTTTAAATTATTTTAGGACACCTTGAAGGGTAAAATCTCAAGGTTACAAACAAGATTTTAAAACATAGTACAATTTAGAATAGATATCAAATATTATTATATTATACAATAAAATAAAAACAAAAACCACTTTAGACCAATAGAACCTGCAGCATCCAGATGCTAGGTAAATTGGAGGAAACAAAAGCTCCTTCACAGCCTTTCTGGAGTTCTGCAAAGAAAGCACCTTGCAAATCCCTGCCGAAAGCTGATTTCAGAGGTGTGGGGACACCACTGGAAAGGCCCTCTCCCTTGCATTCACCAGCCTACGCTATTGTGGGGGAGAGCAGGCAACACGAGCTTCTACTGATGGCGTCAGAGAGTGGGCAGGCTTGGGCAGGCTGCCCACACGCTCATAATGAAAAACGAGTAACTGCTTTTTAACAAGGATGGTGCCAGTAGGGGAGGCGAAGAGGCATGTGGCAGCTGCCACACCCACGATCCAGTTGATGCCCAAGACACTGGCACAACCTGCCACCTTCGCACTGTTAGGTTGCTGGGTGAAAAGGAGGCACTTCCTGAACATTTCGGCCCTGCCGTTGATTTCCAGAGGAATCAAGGACAAAAGGCCATGTTTTAAGAAAGGCCCATGAGATACACTAATAAAAAAAGAAAATGACACCAGAACTACCCTTGACTTTCACTTTTCAAAAGCTTCACTTATAACTGCAAAACCCCCTCAACAATGTGAGTTTCGTTTAACCTGAGTATTTTTTTTTAATGGCAAAATAAACTTCTCACCACTTGTATAAAGATTATTAAGCCAATCTCCCTTTTCTTTGGGGAGGTACAAGTTGCACATAAGACTCAAGTTTCTTTCCCTACGGTTCAGTAAGAATGAGAAAAACACCCTATAAAATACGCCTCTAACAGGAAATGAAACCTGAACCTTAATTGCCAATTCAAACATCACTGTGCAAGTTTTTTTTTAACCTTGTTAGCCAGTATTTTCAATTGCATTTATAGATACAGTACTGGGTCTCTGTGTGCTTGGGTTTTGCTGCACTCTCACATTTTCTGCACTACAGTTTTGAAAGGGGATTTTTTTTTTTTTTACACTTCTGTAAGATTTAATCATATAAGCACAGCCTGGCCCTCTCCATGTTGACTTAGCAGCAGCTCACGTGACGTTCCCTTAACTTGGGAACTTCCTCTCAAGTTAAGTGTGCCTACAATGGCAGCCTTATTTTCTCCCTCCTACCTCCACCCTAACAGGCACACAACATCTGGCCTGGGGGTGGGAAAGTGAGAATGAACCGCTGCCACGCAGAATTGCTTTATTGTACAGGAATGCAGCCAGGCAACCAGGAGCACACGGGGAATTTTCTGGACTGCTGCCACCCCAGCATTGCTATCACCCAACGGAGCCACAATAAAACTTGCAAGGGCCTGCTTACCTTGTGAACCACCAAAATGTTATCCTCGAAAGAAAACTCGAAGTTAATTCTGGGCAGGGATTCTAGGATGCAAGCAGAAGACATTAAACAGTAAAATTTGGAATCAAAGAAGGGTTTTTTTGTGGGGGGGGGTTGGCCAACATTTTTCTCCAATACCACACAAAGAATTTAAAACCGTTTGGGGTATGTTCTGAGATATAAATATTCAGTGAAGGATGCCCTGAATGTCTCTCCAAGTTTTGCTTCCTCCACCCCAATCTCTGAGCAGCATGTCAAGAAAAAGGATGGATCCCACTAGTTGGTCACAGCAAAATTCTGCTTGTCCTAAGCGAAGAGCAGGGAGTGAAAGCCACTGGTTGCTGCTACTAGGTAGGAAACACAGGGGGATCTTTGCACTGGAGGAGGCAGTAGGAAACCTGTCCTGCTGCTGGAAGAAGTATTCAGCCCAGGTGAAGACAGCATGGCAAGCACAGTTTTCCTTCCTGGTGTCTTCCAGAAACTATGAAAATATAGTAGGATGGAACCCATATTTTTTGCATGGCCAGTTACCAATGGTCACACAAAGGGCAAATTCACACCACATGAGAGCTGATTGTGGGTTAATTCATCCTCAAAGAGCTGTGGCATGTACCAGTCACTCTTCTGAATATGCAGCCCCCTGACGTGGAGTTGGCATGTCGTGCAAACCCAGTCAATGGAGGTTATCTGAGGGCTAGACAAAGCTTGCATAACCCATGGCCTGTTGCACCACAGCTCCTTGAATTTAAGTTAACCCATCATGGGCTGCCATGTCATCTCAATCAGGCCAGGGAGCTGCAGCACGACCTGTCGTGAGCTGGGGTTCCTCCCTTCGCACATTCAAAGCCACAGGCCTTTCTGGCAAAACATTCTTTATTGACCAAAGTGTTTTCCAGAAGCACAAACACCAGTCTCTGAGCATGCACAGAGCAGTTTGTCGTACCCAGTCTTGTTTACTTCTAGGAACTCTCTTTATGAGTATGTTTGGGGCCCATCCTTTTGGGAAAGGCCTTCTGAAAATGAGCATGCCTCCTTGCTACACGCTGACCCTCGAATTGGGCTGCCCTTCTCTGCCAACATCACATCCTGGGGTGGGAAGCCATACCTGCCTCGTCTATCTCTGAGAAACTCCCCTGTTCCAAGTTGCCTCCCAACAGTTATACAATAGCTGTGTGTTATTCTCAGAGGCTGCCTGTGCACCTGGGGAGTCTCAGTGCCTGGAAGTGCCCTCATTCTGCTCCACCTCCTCTGAGACCCAGTCAGAAGGCCTTGGGACTGTGAGTCAAAAGCAGCTATCTTTCTCAGTCCCAGCAATACCAAATCTTATGGATTTCTGCTTTTTATTCCCCAGTTTAATGCCTCACTTCTGGGATTTTGCATGGGAGACACATCTGATTGAATCTTATCTTTACTCCTCTTCTTGCTGTGTCTTTTTTGATTTTAAGCCTGTGGGCAGGACCTGTCCCATTGATCAGGTTGTATGTGGACTGCTCTGGTAGTTCCTTTGGCTGAAAAGCAGCGAGCAGATACTTTTAACTGCCTGATTAAATAGGGAGAAGCGTTCCCGTTGAACAGTCTGGACAGATGTGTTCTGCCATGCTGCTTTCCAATCCTAAGGAAGCGGATCTGTCCCATTCTGCTAAGATCCTGAGGACAGGATCTCAGTGACTTACCATTCATCTCAAAGTCTAACTCCTTCTTTGGATGGGCATGAGGTTAGGGAAATTCAAATAAGTGCCTCTTCTGCACCCACTGGCTTAGGCCCAGTTTAGTCCTGTTCACTGACATCTCCTTCAGCTGAGGCTTGGTCTGTCCATCCCCAAACCCCCAAACTCAATCACTGCATGCTCCTGGCTCAGTTCTCCCACTGTTCCTTTCCGGCAAGCAGCACTGCAGTCGCTGGTTTTAGAGGAGGACCCCCTTGAGGATGTGGGGCAGGCCAGCCCCACAACTTCTCTCCCACGACTTCGGGGCAGAGTGCCGCCAAGTCCCAGCCCTTTGCTTGACAACTGGGGGTGGAGGAGAGCAGCCGTTCTTCATGGGCCAGATTTGGTGCCAGTGCCTCCAGTTACTGCCTCTAGGAAATGGACTTATCCGTAATGTACCTGGAAACAGAACCCTGCTCAAGGTCTCAGGAGCAGGGGTTAGGGTGGTGCAGGGTTAGGCTCACTCTGGGCCAGTCACTGACTCTCGGCCCAGCCTACCTCACAGGGTTGTTCTGAGGAAAGAAGACTGGGGATATGTGTAATACTAAAGGATAACTGAGGTCGGGTCTGCCCCAGATGTGCCTCATATGCTCTGAGGCACACAAGAAAGAGTATCGATATCCCGCACATTCTTGCACTTAGCTGTGCTTTTCCCCCCAGCTAATGAGACTCTACAGGGAGTCAGTGTAACATGGACCTACTTACAGGATCTAGGTTTACTGGAGAGAAAAATGGAGGCTTTTCCTGAAGACAGTGAAGAATCAGTTCAATGAGGATCAGTGCAAAATAGATGTAAAATGTGGTATTCCTAAATCTGTCTTCCATTTGGTTCTGGAAAGAGAGAGAGAACCAATAAACAATGAAAATTTACTTCACTCAAGGGACAGGCAAAAGTCAACAAGAGCACGAAAGAAGAGGGATAAAAGAACACATTGGTAATATTGTCCATAAAATGAGAACCTTTCTGGCTGATGGAGCAGGATATAAATCCAATAAGTAAATAAATGAGAAACAAATTGTCTTTAATTAACTCTTAGAGTGAAATATTGATATTATTTCCTCGGGCACAGATGAATAATGGATAAGGTTTCCAATAAATACTAATGTTCAGGTGGCTATTAAAGCAAAGCTGAATAAAGACATGAAGAGTGCCATGTGGTAACCTTTGATTTGGTGTCCTGCTGGAATCCCACTATGGTGTTCGCCCTCCTTTTACAAAGGAGTATGGAAGATCCTGCCTTTGTGATTAGATTACTTTCAGGTCTCTTCCAGCTCTTACACTTTGATCACAGGATGGCAGCAATGCCGGAAAAGAAAGAGCAAGGGAAGACGGGGCTCTGGTTGCATACTCAACTGCTGTGGTATCATTACTCGGGGCTGAAAGCACACAAAAACATCAGTGGGTGCAAAATGTTGCTGTAATTCAATAATGGCATTCCTATTTTTGTTGCATAGCTTGTGCTTCATTCCCAGGCTCGGTTCAAGGTGCTGGTTTCGGACTCTTAATGTCTGAAATGGCTTAGCACCTAAGGACCACCTTCTTCCCTATGTCCCCCACTGAATGCTCCATTCTGCATCAGAGGCCTTGCTCCCAGAGCCACTGCTGAGTGAGCCAGAGTGGGCAGGCACTAACAGCAGGTCCTTTCTGGTAGTGGCATCCACTGTGTGTGGACTGCCCTCCCTAATGAAGCCTACCTTGGCACTTTCTTTCAGAAATTTGACCACCAAACTATAGCTTTTTCAGAGGGCTGCTAGTGTTTTTCAGTGTCATAATCCACAGGACTGATGCATTATTCTTGGCATTTGGCTCTTTGTAATTGTGTATTTCATTTGTTTTTTATGTACTGCATTATTATTTTTATTATGTATTGTTTTGAATCCACTTTGTTGAGAGAGAGAGAGAGAGAGAGAGAGAGAGAGAGAGAGAGAGAGAGAGAGACACAACAGGAGGAGAGGGGGGAGGAGGAGGAGAAATCCAAGCCTCGTTATACTGATTTTTATTCTCATGCCTCCTCCAGGGAAGCAGAGAATATGCCACATCACTCTGGTCCTGCCTTAACAGAGCAACTCACAAACATGTTCAGGTATTCATGCACTGTATGGCCTTCTCCCCTCCAAAGTGCACTGCCCTGCATCTCCAGCCACGGACAAAGTCGAAAAGCTTGCCTTATCTTTGTTTAGCATCACCGGATACCCCACCTATGCAGTGTTGGAGTTCCAGGCCACCACCCGACATGTATACGCCCACGCTTTACAAACACCAATTTCCTCCCAGACCAAACTCTGCCCATCAAGTATCCACACACTCACTACCTCTGGGGAAATGTTAATGCATGCAGGCACACAGGTCACACACCCCTTACCTGAGCAAAAGTCCCAATGATTTTGGACCGCAGAGGACCCACGGCACACAGCACACACAAGAACCAGAAGATGAGGAGAACCCCCGAGGACTGGACCCCGTGAAGCCTCTCGTACTGGATGAGCAACATTGCCAGCGCCTGCCAAGAAAACGATTGCGGAGCATGCTGAGCCGAGCCGGGAATGGCTGCCCTCGGTCCCCTCGCTGGTGTTCGAAGCGTGAACCTGAAATGCTTTCTTTGCCGTAGTTGTGCTTTATTTCCCACCCCCTGCTTTCCCGACTTATCAAAAAGCTGTGCCTCAGGATGAGGCAAGAGCATATTTATAAATGCACATAAGAAGACAATCTCTTCTTCTTTTTCCTCCTAGAAGGCCTGGCAATTACAGTTCACCTTGGGTATCTCATACACACTTTCAAGTCAGACCTCATTTTACAAAGCTAGACTTTTAGGAGCTCACTAAAAATGGTATCTGTTTTCTTGCCCCTGCACTCAGAAGAAAAATTCCCAATAGTGCAGGGCAGGGAAAAGCATCCCCAGCACCCTATTCATATTCTCCAACACTGAGTTTTGAATTCTGCACAGGAATGCACACAAATAACTAGAAGGAAAAAATATTATTTAGGGATTTGATCACTTCCTGTCCCAGTCCCAAAAGAGAAATCGTTATGAATACTTTAATGTTAGCTTCTTTTTTAAAATGTCACAAATTTCTATTATTTCCTGCAGGATTGGGCCATTATTTCAGAATGGCAAAAGCAGAGCAAACATGTTTTCCATCCTAGCAGAGCAGCACCTGTGGGCTCAACAGGTGCCAACAGAGACAGATGAGGAAGAGAAAGGATGTGTGTGAGTCACATGCTTCTTCTACCTTCTGTCAAAGCCATGTCTGTCTCCTCTACACCAGGGTGGAGGGAAAATGCCTGGAACAGTTCTTGGACGCCACCTCATCCTTCCCACGAGACAATTGCCAGCGTGACAGGAGCAGGCAGACCAGGCCAAAGAAGGGTGAGGAGGGAGAGTCCATAGCGGTGGGCAAGCCCACCAAGTCCATCTGGGCTTGTGCTAGCCATGTGAGAGGGGAGTGGTAAAAGGGAAAATAAGCATGCTGTTTCCAGGATTAATTACCCATCAGCTCTCCTCTTAATTCCTGGGGTGTTGCAAGGAATGGGTGGCTTTGGGTCCAGCTGATCCAAAGCCTTTTCCACTCGCTCTCTAGAATTGGTCCAATTCTTGCCAATAGCCCCTTTGGAACAATGGTGGCAAAGGAATGGTCAATTCAGTACAGGTGAGGAGGACGTCTGTGGGGACACATCTTGCTCTGCCCAGTGCACCAATTTCCCTTTCCACAAGGGGAAATCGGGACCTGCACCACCCCTGGGGACTCCAAGCTCCATTACCTTTATTTGCTGTGCAAAACCTGCTCAGCACCTAGCGATTAACAGATCAGCAGCGGTCCCTGAACTTCCACAGAACTGCAATGCTTGTGCTAAGTGAAGGACAGCACATCATCCTGCTTAGCATCAACATTGTCCATGGAAGTCATCACATCGCTCATTCATTCATTCATTCATTCATTCATTCATTCATTCATTCTATTTTTACTCAATGTCCCAGAATAAAAAGGCATACCAACCATTGTGATGCCAACAATTAAGGGTGTTACAAAATACACGGTTGGTGGTGTTCTGCCTTGAGCAATTCCATGGAAAGCATAAAAGAGATTGGACCAGCAAACACACCAAAGCAGGAAAGCAAATACCTTTAAAAGGAAAAAAAGAAGAAGAAATGCATCACAACTGTTAAAATGCACTCGGATGGGATTGCTTAATTACTAGCAGTGAGGCTGTTCGGCTGCAACATGATGGGGGGTGTTATTTTGCTACCCCCACTTTGCTGTTGCCCCCACCCATGCCTCGTTCAAAATATTTTCTTTGGAGGACTCAGGAAATCCCAAGGGCAGCTTCAGAAGAAGAGGCATAAACTGCGAGGAGGAGCACGTGGTGCTGGTGGGGGGGGGACTCTGGGCACAGGGACCGTCACATAGAAAGTCCCTTCGTGGTGCAGCGAAGGCTGGGGCCCGGTCGGTCGGTCGATGCAGGCCAGATCAGGCTTGGCTTGTTACCCACCTCTTGTTATGCACACAGAAGCAGCACTGCCAGCAGCCGACAGCACGCACTGTGCAACCCAATGGGCCCTTGGCTCAGCAAACCTCCCCAGCTCAGGGACTTTCGGGGCCACCAAAGTCACACTGTTATGTGCACATATTTTGAAATGACTTTTTTTTGCGGGGGGGGGGTACACTTTTTGAAAAACTGTGCACAGCTTTGGAGCACCCCCACAAAATGCAACACAAACTCCAGAATGTGCAGGTTTTGATGGTAAACTTTGTTCCGACCTGTTGGGATCAGGAAGTACACATTTCTCACCCATTCCTATTTTAAGCTACTCAAAAGGGGCAGGCAATCTTTTGAGCCCGGGGCACATTTGGAAATGTGGAAAACTGTCCTGGGCACCAGCACAAAATGGCTGCCACATACCATGGTGTGGCACAGCTAGTCATAGCAGAGCAGGAGTATGCCCAGAGGGACTCATCCGGCAGTAAGACAGTGGCAGCTAGTGGCTTCCACCTCCTTTTGAAAATAACAGCATTTAACAGAAATTGGGAGGGGCAGGGTGTCCTGGTGGGCATTAAAGAAGCTGCCGGGTGCCCGTGGACACCATGCTGGCCATCTCTGTACTATTTATGGCAAATGAAAGCAAAAAGGGTGAGACTGAAGGACCCTGAGCAAAAGCTGCAGCTGGACTCGAGGGTGGCTGCACCAAGTCACGCAAGGCAGCGTGACCCCGAGTGCCCTACCATCCCTTGACTTTGTAATCTTGGCATAAAGCTTATACAAACAACCTGCAATCTCATTCACCCACATTGCCATGATTGAGGAAGTTGCACAAGGCTAGATGGGCTTCCTGTGAATTGTTAAAAGAGGTCATGATCTTTTAAAAATTGAACTGTGACCCAGTAGCTACAAAAGCACATTGTCTCAGTACAGCGTTTTTACAACTAAGCAGAGATTTAGCTACTGACTTCACTCAAAGGTGGACTGCATCCACGGTTTATTAAATTGGGTAATTATTACAGTAACACAGTAGAGCAGTGAAGTGCTCGTCGATTTGCAGCCCATTTCGCTGATGAAATCGCCAAGTAACTGACTGAATGCAGCATCTCAATGTAAGAGATATCTCAAAGATGCTTCCTGAAGATTTCCTCTACCCCCCTTAGCTAAGAAACCCAAGCAAGTCACATGAAGCTTTCTGTCTCAATCAAGAGACACTTTCTAGAAGCCACAGGATGGCTCTGCCGGTAGCCAAAGCTGACAGCCCTGCAAGGTGGCAAAATGCAGAGTGTGCCACGTCAGAAGAAGGCCTAGATCCAGCTAATGTGCAGGGCATGGAAGTGTCCTGGTTTCTCCCAGCCCACCAATAACCAGCTCACTTCCTGAGCCTTCCTAGCAGGGGCAATGCATGCATTTTCAAAGCTGCTCCCTGCATTCATGAGAGCTAGGATCATGCTTTTAGAAACAGGTAAGCAAAGCAGCTTATATACTCTCTGGTACAGCTAAATTCTATGCTTCCAGGAGAGGTTTAGCTGCACAGGATGAACTAGCAGATGATCACAGTCAACCCGGTGCATGACTTTTCCTCTAGTTATTTGTTTGCCTTTGGCACAGGATGCTGCTCCCATCTGTAGTTTGCAGTTATAATGATGCAGCTGCTTGGGAAGGCTGCTGTGGGAAGTTCGACATGGACTTACCGTTTTAAACCTGCACAGCACAGACAGTACAATGTAGCCTCGATTGTTGCGTTTTAGATAAAAGTAGTACAACAGCAAGAGGCACCAAAGATAGAAGCACGGGATCCATGCCAGGACCGTATTCTGGAAACACAGTGTTAGGTCTGGTGTGTCAGTATGCAGTGTGACGTTGGGATCCTGCAGGGGAAAAAAGCACACCGGGAAAATACAAGTGAATGCAGACCCTGGACGAGGTTCTGGTGCTTCCAAAGCTGCACCATGAATCAGCAAAGAGCTGCATGTCTTGGCAAGTTTTTCCAGGAAGATGAGATGTCAACCAGCACAGCCCTTTGAACCATACCATACTCCTGGAATGCACGACAACAAGCCACTTTGTCTAGCGCAACCCAGTACATGTGTGCCTTGCATTCTTACCTTCCATTTGCCTCTGTGTCCTTCAGAGGATAGCTCCCAAGGTGGCATCCTCCAACTGTGCTGGACCACAACTTCCAGCATGGCTGGCTGGGGGATGTTGGGAGTTGTAGTCCAATGCAGCTGGGAGGCTACAGGTTGGGGAAGAGCACCTCTGAGTGGCACTAACAACAAAAATAAAACTGAAAGCATCGATGTGAAGGCACTAGAGCAGTGTGTCCCCACTTCCGTCATCATGGGGATTCCCATCCATGGTGCTAGTGGGCCCCCAGACAGGTTCATCCCAGCCTACTTTGGAAGATTCCCGGAAGGCACAGATTTAAGCAAACCAGGCTTCTTAAAATTCCCAGAATTAGCAGCTCCTCTCCTTGTTTGATCCAGAGCATTGTTGTTGTTGTTGTTGTTGTTGTTGTTGTTGTTATTATTATTATTATTATTATAACATTTCTATGCCGCCCCTTGCCGAAACCTCGGGGCGGCTTACAACAAAGCATAATCCTCTCTTTGTTTGATCCAGTGTTTCCTAATGCTGCATAGAGATAAGAACAGTGCACTTCATTCTGAAATACCCTTCTGCTGTGTCATCTTGCTCCTAGAGCAACATCATCTGAAATACCATAATGGGAGTGTCAAGAGAGAAAATGTCAAATATTGACTGGGCCAGAGTTCAGCTTCCTGAGAGTCTCAACTTTCTTTTCCTCCCAGTTTTAAAAGCAAGTTTGCAACCCATATACTCATGTCTGGGGGAACACGTGTGGGAAATCCCCGATTAAATCTTGAAAGCCAGGGAAGCAGCTGAATAAGATATCTGTGTCCTACATAGCTCACTGCCTTTCCCTAACACTAGCAAGACTAGAAAAATACGCAGAAATCAGACATATTTATTTTATTTGGGCTAAGATGCCTACTCCACTTTTCTCCTCCAACAGAGGTGCTCAAGATCCAACGATAAGGATAGAAGTAGAAAGAAAGAGACAGACAGACAGACGGACAGAAAATCAACATCATGGGATAACTTGATAACTAGGCTAAAAGCAAAAAGAAAAAGTATTCAAGGAAGCAACTTACAAATACAACAGAGAGCCCTGAGGCACCTTGAAGACTAACAAATTTATTCTGGCATCAGCTTCCAGGGGCTATACAAGCTCAAACAGCAGCAAAGTTAGTGTGCTACCTTACGAACGTTTAGCTAGCAAGGAGTCATGTAGTTCTCAGCATTCCCCCATCAGCTGGCATTTATAGGATTTGCTTCCTGCCTAAACATGCATAGGATTGCACCCAAAACAAAGCTTGTTGCAAGAGAAGCGCTCCTAAGGCAGTGATGGACTGACACGAATGAGGGGGCACAGGGAGTTCCACTTGTGCAGCACGGACCCAAAAGGCCCCTTGTGCGTAGGCAGCAGGCACGCTGCCAGGGCTGTACTCGCTGATCATGAAAGATGAACAGGTTCATATGGGACAAGACTATATTTCAGGGAGCTGGTACGCAAACTGGTTGTGCCTGCTCAGTTTTCACAGCTCACTGAGCAGGTGTTTCTTGGCACAGTATTTGGCTAGCTGAGCAAAGGATATGAATTACTACGACTACTAGCACTTTTAACAGAGCACAGGCAGACCTGTTCCAGCTGCCTCTAATGTTAGAGCGCTTCTTCACTCCCTTTCCATCTTTAAAATGCCCTGCTTTCGGTGCCTGCACCAGGAAGCAAGAGAAGAAGTGGTAAAATTTGCTATGCCCATAAAAGTCATCACAAGGTAACATGAAGTGAAATAGGCAAATTGGGAGCAGGAGGATCCTTTCTGTAGGAATCCACTGCTGTGTAAGCACACAAAGCGCTCTGGCTGCTGCGAAGATCAAGGAGGCAAGGACTTCAAAGGGTTGTCACTGAAACAGAAATGAAGCTCCCTCTTGGCCGGACCTGCAGCCCTAGTCTCTCCCAAAAGCATTTCAAAACCAATTTCCTCTAAAGAGGAATTCACCGCAACAGAGAATGAGGAAATCACGACCCCGGTCAGTTAAGGCAAGGACAAGCATGGCAGGAGAAAACACATCAGGGGCCCCTCCGCATCACCCGTTCCAGGCAGCAGCCCAGCAGGACAAGCAACAAGACGTGATCACAAGGGAGCCCCTTGGGCAGGTAGACAGCGTCTATGCGGAAGCAACAGCACGTGAATGGTACCCTGTGCGCACTGTCGCTGATGCGGGGTGAGATTTCTGCCGTGGCCATCATCCGACATTGCATCACACTGGACCTTTGCCACAGACCTATAGACCCCAGAGGAGAGCAGGAGGATCTCAGGCATTGCTTTGTTGTCTGTAGCCAGCAAAGCTGGGGGATGACAAAGGGCAGCAATCTTCTTTGGTGGCTCAGCTCAGGTGGTTCAGTTCCAAGCAACTACATTCATTAAGTATCATTGCTAATTCAAAAGAGGATGGCGCAAGTTTCATTCAATGCCTACAGCTGAGTCACTGCAATGGCAAACCCAAAGATGATTTTTCTCATTAAACGAGTAAAAAGCAGTCTGAGAGAGAGAGAGAGAGAGAGAGAGATGGCAATCTAGAGGCCCGTCCAACAATTTCCTCCCAATCCTATGTCCTGATGGATAGCATATTTACCTTGGGAATAAGTTAACATACATTCACACAGCAGAGAGGGTTAATATACTCCATGCTACTGCCATTCTGCTGCAACTGCTGAAAGATTACAGTCACAAAAATAGAAGAGAGAATGAAGGGATGAGACAAAGAAGACAGAAAGGGAGACAAGAGCTCACACAAAGAACTGTGTTCCAGAGGGTTAGCTGCATTGGTTTGTTGCAGCAAAAGCAACCAAGAGTTTCCCTGATGCTGTATAGATCAGAAAATATAGACCTATACCACCTTTTGTGGACTGGAGTCTATTCCATCAGATGCACAAGGTGTTTGGGTACACATGCACACACTTCCACAGTGAGTGGGGATGGGAAATTATAAACCGTGGGAGGGAAGGGGCATGACATGCAAGATGTGTGCACAATTGCTCCAGCGGCCATTCACAAAGCAGTGCAAATTACAGCATCCTGGCACTGGCATGGTGATTTACAATTACGATAGGATAGCCATCCACTCTAATTTCAGGTCTCCAGTGACAGAATCTGAACTGGCGAAGCTGAGAAGTTGCCAGCCATGCTTCCGATTTTCTTTATTCCAGAATGGCCACCAGTTCTCTCTCTCTGATTTCCAAGGAAATACATATACACAAAATGCGCTCAGTGAATGATTTGGAAGAATTTAAGCAATTAAGCTCACAAACCTACATATGCTTAAAAAGAAAGAAGTACTATAACTCCAGGAGAATCCTAAAAGTTGTAGGACCTGTTTCTTTTGGAGCATGTGGAGGGCTGGACCCAAAGTCAATTCAAACCAGGGGTACACAGATGGGTAATGAGGGTTGGAAGGGGAGAAGTGGGGAAGAGGCTAGCAGGTCAAGAGCTTCCTCACGTGTTATGGTGGGACAACACAAATATTTTCTCTACACACCACATCCAACCACCAACTGGAGCCAGCTGGAAGAAACATATACATATATCCATGGTACACATGCTTTAATCATTGCTTGGAAGAAAATAACATTAGATTCCCCCTACCTCCATGCACTAAATGGGAAAAGGGCACAAACACAATGTGTGACGTAACCCTGATTTTCTTCATTATGGTGCCACCATGGCTGAGGATTTATATTCCACTGCGCACATGTTGCTAGTCATGCTTAATGCACAGTTGTCAATGTTACAAATGCTAATATTCCCTGAAGATAATTGAGGAGCAACCTAATGATTTCTGGAAGGTCTCACTCATTTTGGAGCAAGACCTTTTGTGCCTGAAGGCGTTTCTTCTTCACACATGCTCCAGTGACTTCTAAATACCAAACCACCTAACTCATCTTGTTCAGCTAATGGTTCCCACAAAGATATAGTTCTAGGTCACTATCAGTAAAGATATGTTATGTTAATGCCTCAAAACAGTATTGGATTAGCCTTGCTTATGAAAAGAGGTAAGAACAGTTTGTTTATTACAAAAACAAACTCAAGCATACCATTTCTATAGCATCACTTTGTGTTTACATACGTATCAACATATGTAAGACTGTTAAGGAGTTGGTAATGCTTTCTGATGCCTAGAAACCAGAAGGTTTTGCTCCCTCCTCTGCCCCTGGAACTCAGCAGTCTATGTTGAAGCAGCCTGTGAGCATGGATTTAGCTTGTTTTATTTGGACAGTAATATTTATTGAGAAATAGAGGCTGATGGGCTGAGGTTAAAGAAACCACATATGGTAGAGTTAGTCTACTTGCTTCCCCCAGCCCGGCACTCCACAAATCCTATTTTCCCTGAAACACTGTTGTTTCCCTGCACTCTGTTTACCTCAGGGCACAACCTTATGGCCTTTGGATACAGTCTAGATGGCCACAGGAAGATTCTAACCTTGAGAAAGTGCTAGGAGGTCACAGCCAGGGTTCCAAACTTGGGAGTGCCTTCCCTGCACCCTTGCAACCAGAACAGTTCTTTCCACTCCAGTTGTGCCTATGAAGTCATAAGTTGTAAGTGAAACTTAAGAGCCAGTGTGAGGGGAGGGCATTCGGGGGGGGGGGGGGGTGGGGGGGGGGGGGGGCGAGCAGTGAAGGGAGAGGAAGGAAGGTCCTCTTCCATGCAAGCAAGGGTTGCTGGTTGAAATCAGCCACGTGTTATGAGAGGCAAAGGATGTGCTGAGACAATCCTTGTATCCTTCTGC